ATCAATGAATGAAAACTGTTGCATTATTCAAATACTGCACATGCACATATTGTATTTTTGTAAACAAGAATCTGTCTGGTATAAAATATTAAAAAGTATTGATGAATCATCGATTCTTTTAAAGGTACCTATGCATTTTGCAGAGATCAATTTTCTCAAAGGTCCTGTGAGCTCATTGTAAATGGGTTCTGCACCTGCTTTTCATTCTTATATTTGTAGGATTCTATAGGGACAATAAGGAACAAAATTTTAGAATCCAGCTTTTAGAAAAAATGTTCAATATACATACATGTAAAGTCACCCACATGGTGCAGTGGTTAGAGCACCTGCTCTAGAGTTGCGGAGTAAGGAGCTGATACTTACATTGTGGGTTCGAATCCACTGCGGGACGTGGAGACCAGTCCTTCAGATGAGACCCTCAATGTCACTGTAGGTGTTGGCATGAAAAAGATCCCTCACTGCTCAATGGTCTTTTAAGTGCCGAGTATAGGTATAAATTTGCAGCCCTCCACCAGCAAGTGGTGGCGTCTCCATGTGAGTGAAATATTCTTGAGGGGGACGTTAAAAAAATAAACAAACATATATGGAAAATGGTAAATGATGGACATAAAAAAATTGCACAGATTGACCCTTACAAGATATAATTTCATAGTTGCCTGTGTGAAAGCTAATCATGGAAACAACAGACTACTTCAATCCATAACAGCTGGTACATTAAAATATAGACAGATAATCAAAGGCAGTGCATGACAGAAAAAAATGGTAGAGCTGGTAGGATGGTTAAGAGTACATCATCCATCTGTCTATAAAACAATTTTTATGCCTCTATTGATAGGATGAATAAAGGTATGGGTTTGGGTTTCCCCCTCTGTGTCGGCTTTTTGGTTGGGTAAGATCTTTAGACTGTGAGATTTAGGACAATCAAATCTAGTCAGTGCATGGTTGCATTTTAGGGGAATGCAAGTTACAACCCTAAGGTTGGTTGAAGTGACCTCATTTTAGGATTTCATGGAAATAGAAAGTCTGGATCATATCTTTCACATGGCAAGGCATAGGGCAAATAAACTTGTCATAAGATGCATCATTGAGGAATAGTCTGTCATATGGCCCAAAAGTAGGTCACAGTGACCTAATTTTGGAATTCTATAGCTTAATTTACATCATCAAATAGTGTCTGGATCGTATCATGTAGATTGTGATACCTAGAGTCATCAAAACTTGTCAGTTGATTGGGGTGGGGTGGGGTATAACCCAAAGTTAAATCACTGTGACCTCATTTTGGAATTCTATGGCTATGTCCATAGTCCAATCATGTTCAGGTCATATCTTTCTCACTGTTAATCAGAGAACTATCAAACTATGAATTTTGTTCCCATTTTTTCGTTGATTCTTTCAGCAGATAACAAAGAAGGCTCATATATGTACTCTTATATTGAGTGCATGCAAAGAGGGTGGAAGACAAGGTACTTGCCCTTCAAAGAAGGTTACAGATTTACTGGCCATTCACTTTGGTTTTTCAAGATGTTGGGGATAGAGAGAAAAGAGGAAGAAACACATCTCCAAAAATTATAGTGAGGCAGAGTTGTCATAAGATGGACCTGGAAGTTGTCATAACAGTAGATCTGGAAGAAGACATGGTTAGGCAGATGTGTCATCCCACTGAATCCAGAAGAGAAGGTATGACTGGGCAGAGAAATATTTTTTTTCATCTGATTTAGATGTTATTGCTTGATGAACTGATAAAATTTAAAAATACCATGGATTGATAGACATGACAGCATGAACAGCAATTATTATGTCAGTGTAGAGTACAGCAGCTGTGATGTCTAGAGACTCCTCCCTGCAGATCATTTTTCACCCTGATCAACGGAGCTTTTTTTGTGGGGGGGGGGGGGGGGGGGGCTGAGGCTGGAACAGAAACAGCATCATACAAATGTTTATTAATATTTACATCCACTGAATATTTCTTAAGAAAACTGATTTCATCAATCTATTAACCCTAAATTAGTTAGAATAGGTTTTTTTAAAGCCATCTATATGAAGAATTTCTTAAGAAATGGGCTCTTCCATCAATGTAACGTCCATTATGTACAGATCAGTAATGCAATACTGATTGTCCATTATGTACAGATCAGTAATGCAATATTTTATGTACTTTCAACCGCTTTATACAAAAAATAATACAGATATAAATATAGATTATAAAATGTGTTAATTTATTTATATGGGGATAAATGATAGCAACTATTGCAGAAAAAATTTCATAACCAGTGTGTGTGGGTTATGTATAATTTTTTAGCTCTACTGGTCTCTCTACTGGTCAGAGACCAGAAGAGCTTATGTGATAGGAAGGTGTCCGTCGTCCGTCCGTCTGTCTGTAAACAATTTTTCAAAACTCTACTCCTCCTACAGTTTTGGTCTGATTTCAATATAGCTTTGCACAAAAGAAGACTATACTAAGATACATAATTTAGTGCATCGGTTTTTGATTTTGATGAACGGTGTTACCATGTTTACTTAAAATAAAAATTTCTGTGAAAATCCTTTAAAACACTACTCCTCCTACAGTTTTGGTCTGATTTCAATATAACTTGGCACACAGGTAGACTACACTAGGATACATAATTTAGTGCAATGGTTTTTGATTTTCGATGAACGGTGTTGCCATGGTTACTAAAAATAGAAATTCCTGTGAAATTCCTTTAAAACGCTACTCCTCCTACAGTTTTGGTCTGATTTCAATATAACTTGGCCCACAAGTAGACTACACTATAAAGATACATTATTTAGTGCATCGGTTTTTGATATGAACGGTTTTGCCATGATACTAAAAATAGAAAATTCTGTGAAATTCTTTTAAAATGCTACTCATGCTACAGTTTTGGTTTGATTTTAATATATTTTGGCATACAAGTAGATTACACTAAGATGCATAAATAAATGCTTGGTATTTCATTTCCATGAATGATGTTGCAATGGTTACTAAAAATAGAAATATCTGTGAAATTCCTTGAAAATGCAATTCCTCCTACAGTTTTAGTCTGATTTTAATATAACTTAGCACACAAGTAGACTACACTCAGATACATAATTTGATGAACTAGTTTGCGATTTTGATGAATGGCTTTGCCATGGTTACTAAAAATAGAAATTTCTGTAAAATTCCTTTAAAACATTACTCCTGCTACAGTTTTGGTCTGAGTTCAGTCTTACTTGGCACACAATTAGACTACACTATGATACATAATAGTGTATATCGGTTTTTGATTTCAGTGAATGACGTAGTCATGGTTACTTAAAATAGAAATTTCTGTGAAATACTTTCAAAATGCTACTCCTCCTACAGTTTTTGTATGATTTCAATATAACTTGGCACATAAGTAGACTACATTAAGATACATAATTCTATTTATTGCTGCATGTTGCAAACTTTCAAATCCAAGTGCTACTTTTCCTTTGTTATACAGGTACAGACCAGTAAAGCTACAGTCTCATCAGAGACTTCTGATTTCTGCAATAGCTTGAACCATTAATTTTCATATTAACAAACCAAGAAAGCATTTTATAGTTTAATTTTTTAAAAAAACAATTAAATAGCAACAGTAGTGTTTTACTTTTTAAAAAGTATCAAAATCAATATCTTGAGAATTGTTTCTTTGTCTACTGCAAGAGATAACACAGGTCATATTTCACCAGGACAAAACCCCAGAATACACAACTAGCTCCACCCTACTTGAAATTGATCTGCATCAGGATTTAGACATTTGAACCAGATCATCCTTACCACCCAGATCTAGTCCTCATGGGTTTTTCCACTTATTCAATGAAGTCCAAGTTGAGAGCATTTTGAGGAACTGAAAATACCCAACCCATTCATCATATAAGATTGACTGTGTTATTGTGAGAGAAATGTGCTTCAGGGAATTGTATTTTAGAGTGCATGTCTGTTTGGCATTATTTAGGTACACATCAGTTATTTCTCTTCCTGGATAGAGGAACTATTTAGTAGATGCTTCATTACACAAGTATGTATGTTAAAAAGGGAACTAGGTAATTCTTACTATCCTTAGCATTATCTGAGGAGGTAAGAATGCCTAGGAGCTGTAGCATGCCAGTATCCCTCTACAGATGTACCAATTTATGGACAATCTCATTCCTACAGAAAGAGTGATTAATGTAGGATTAACAGACTGCCAATCACAAGAGAAAGAATGACCTTGACCTTCACCTAGCTAATGGGGACATTGTGTGTGTCTGTAGTTTGGATCCTTGTGATGAAGTTGATGAAGTACACACCAATATGTTCAGAATCATGATTTCCTGCTCAGGAAATCATTAAATGATAGAAATGGAAAAGAGGAATCAATTGACTAATATACTGTATAGAACACACTAAAAAGTTCTTGTGATAACTTCATTTATTTAAGTTTCCAACAGAACTCTAAAGAATGTGAAATTTGATCTAATCAGATTATGTGTAAATTATATGATGGACTTAATTATCTCTAATTATCTCAGAAATTTTTCTCTGAACATCCAGACATTATATTCCTATTTCATCTTAATGAACCAGATGCCAAAACATAATACCATATATCATACACATAGTAGTATTTCATTTGACTCGTAAAAGAAATTACCCCTTGTTTGTTAGTCTCCTCTTTCAAGTTTGTTTGTATTGGGAAACATGTGTTTTAGAGTTCTATGATGTATACTCATTATGCAGAGATTTGTCCCAACAGATTTGTGGAATCATCACATGATAAAAATTCTTTACAGCAGAGTATCAGAGCATCCTAATGACAGATTGTCTGAATCTGGATGTAGGATTCAGGTCTATGAAATTGTGGGCATAGCCATGTGACATGTTGATACATTCATCTGACAAAAGGAATTGGGTAGCTGCCCATAAACACTGTATAGGTCGATCCACATGATTATGGAAGTGCTTCAGCTGCTGTATGATTAGGACATCACAAAGTCAGCAAGGTAAGAGGAAGGAGGGCCCATTATCTTCAGTTTTACTCATGTGTTACTGAAGTATTGAATCCTTGATTCTTTGTCTCCTTGGATTATTGAGAATAGAAGACCATGTCACTGTAATGCCATAGAAATGATTCGTCTATAATCTTAATGGAATGTCTGGAGAGTATCTGCCTGCTCGTGTGCTAACAGGTAAGAAAAGGGTTGAGTAGAGGTTTTGTTGGACTTAATTTATTGTGGTTTTTCAGTGTACTCCAAACGTAATTGTTTAAACCTCCTTTTGCTAGGGGGAAAGTGTACAAGAGTGTTCAGGTGGGATAGTTTTACCAATATGTGAATGTTAGAGGTGTGCATGTATTGCACTAGGTGCTGTTGGGTGTTTTCCTTTAACTGATATCATGATATACCAGAAACTCCTACAATTTTGTGTATTGATCAGAATGATAATTTAACACTAAAACCAATTATATGTTTCAGATCCTAAGGAAACAGGAGTGCAGTAAAAACTTAAAGTAAGTGCATTGATTTTATATAATTCTTCTGAATGTTAATTATTGTTAACTGCAAAGGTTCTTTCAGATATTCTTTCACTTTTTGATTTAGTTATTTTGGTGGAGAGATAGCACAATGAAATAGAATACTGTAAAAGGTGTGTATCTACGTCATTTTGACAAGAATTATAGCATAGATTGTAGTGGATTTCTGGATACAAGGGATGATGGCAAGCACACCTCCTATGCTATCATAATCCCAACTGATTTCATCTAATAGAACTGACATCCAACAGATATTTTATTAGAGTTGGTGCATAGCAGAAACACCAGTGTTGATACAGCAAATAAATATGTTTTCATATTTGCTCATCAAACTTTTTCAGGCCTGTCAATTTGTAATGTATATTTATATATCTATATATGTAGTATAGGGTTAAATGAGGAACATTTTTTTATGGGTGCTTGGTGCATCGGATGGTCAGACACTTTATTTACTGTGATGGAAAAATATGTTACAGTGTATTAAAGGAACTTCTATTTGACTATAGGTATTGAATGCATCTATCAGAGTGGCAAACAGACACTTGTATAGCCTGTGTAAACTGAATAGCACACAAAACAAATAGTGCTCAGTTGTGTTGCATTAAATCACCTAATATTGGATATGGTAGTGTATTTGTACAAAGAGTATGTGGCACTTTCCTTGTTTATAACTCGATCCACTCTGTAAATCCTCTATGGTCTGTGTTGTTGAATTCAATCTACAACATTCAATATTTTAATGCAGATAAAGATGTAATATATGGAATATAGAATTAGATTTTTATGCAAACGTGTTAATTTACTGAATTAAGATTGGTAGTTTCTCCTTTGGGAATTGAGGATTCACAGAGTTTATATACATGTATTAAATGCATCTCATAGAAGTGATCTAAAACCAAAGTTAACTATCTTCATTCTCAGTTTAAGCAGGCAGTTTCTGCAACTGATTTTTTTTTCAATGAATTTATTTTCAAAAGGTATACACAAGACTCAACTCTAACTAATATACATCCACCTGTCTATCGGACAAGTAGCCAACAATTAACTTGTACAAATGTATTTTTTACTCGTCAGATTCTGCACAGATAAAATTGTAAAATTTTATTATCCAAGCTGAAGTTATTGTAAAATAAAAATACTGGTACTGAAGATTTGTTAAATCGTGAAAAAAAATTAGATGTCACTATTTAAAAAAAAAATTACAGTGTTATATGAATTTTGTGGGGATTCATTCACTCTGTTGTATAATGATAAAAATTTTACTTGTCCAATTGGACAAAAGTTTGTGGAGGATGTCTGATCACAAAATGAACTGGACTTGGGACAATTGGCTAAATATGAATATTGAGTCTTGATACAGTAATACTCGGTTATACAGAACTTGCTTATAAAGAAATCTCAGTTGTATATATATAATGAACTTATTTACAAATTCTCAGGGTTGTCCCTAAGACCCGGGGGCCAGGGAATTCCCCGCCTATAACCTATAATGACATAATCCCCTGGTTATTCTGGTATCCCTTCCCAAACCCCCTTCTACTTTTTTAATGTCCCATGCTATTTCAATTGTTAGGGACAACCCTGAATTCTATAAAAGACATTTCTATATGTTCATTAGACAATGTCAGCTACAATTGTATAAGGAAGGCAATTTCAAGGTCCCAGGAGTTCCTTATATCTGAGTTTTACTGAAGTACCTTTATTTTATTTTTCAATCCAGTCAACTGAATTTATTAATGATAAGGGATTTTTACTTTTTTGTGATTGTATTTTTCTATCATTTTGACTGATTATTATCATTTTGGAAAATTTGACAGAAAAAAGAGCGATCCATTCTGTTTTCTCATTAACTTTAGTACAGTGTCAATTATAATTGTTTTTTTCACCACATGCTTTTTATCAATATTGCAACTCATCTGCAGAGAATTTCTCTTAATCTGCATTAACTGTCCCCCCAAAGCAGTCTTTCATAATTGGATAGATTTGATCAAGTGTAGACAGAAGTGATGAACTTCTGATAGAAATGAACCATAAACCAAATTTGTGGGAGGTTATTGTCACTTCAGCAAATTTAATGTTGATCTCTTATAGAAGGTTTCCTAGAATTATATAAGATTTCCATGTCTCGTTGTATTTAATTTATTATTGGAATTGATCTTGTTGATTTAAACAATTGAGTTTTTCAGGTTGATTTGTATTTAATGTTTTCATGTTAAAAAAAGGAATATTATTTTATAACGTTGATGAAAATTTATTCAATTTATGTTATTTAAGATTGAGAACTAAAAACTATTAAAGGTCAGTCATGATTCTTTTTGCCCAGTATATTATGACATACCATTTTAGAAAAATTGATAAAATAAAATGTTTCAGAAAATTTTCCCAATTATATACAGGTAATATGAATTCTGAGAGAAAACTATAGTTACATCTCCCTGGCAGAGTTCTGAAATTCTCCAAAGGGGAGGTAACTTCCTGTGTTCATCAAAAAGATATTAGATCAATTAGCAGTGATGATGTATGAATCCTGACACACTTCTGGTGTGTTCTGCTCTTAGCAGCCTTTTAACTCCAGTAGAGGAATATCAGAATATATACACTAAAGAGGAATCCCTCAATTAAAGCTGCACTTAGGATAGATTTTTTTTCTTCAGTATTGAGAGGCAATCAAGTATAAAATACAATATCTTAAACAATTACTGTAAAGAGTCTCAGAAGCATCTGACTTGTTGAAATATTGATAGATTTTAACTAGAAAACAAAATAATACCTGTCTTATAGTTTGTTTGTTGATTTAGGGTCTTTAAAACATGGCACAACATGACATTTAAATTTTTTGCAACGAATAAAGTCGGATCAAAAGAAGCGTATGTGTAATTAATTCCTCCAAGTGGGTATAGAGGCATTGTGGTGGAATTTATACTGCGTAGAGAATGGTGGCTGATGGAGGCTTTCCTCTCGTAAAAATTGACTTTGTACGTCTATTGATTATCAACATGATGCGTGTGGATTGAGTGACTAGGATAAAGTTTAGGAAAATACTTTTTTGAAAATAAGGTAATAAAATTATTGAATATTTTGAGGGCATTTTGTATTTTATTATTTTTTCATGAGGGGTTGTTTCTTTTCTGCTTCATATTAAAACAAACGGAAGCTATAACGGACATATTTGTGTACACTTCTATACTTACTTGGATTACAAGTTCTCGGTGTTAGGTAGTACTTATACAAAGATAACTAATATAAAAGTTCTTTATTGAAGAAGGAAATAACTTACATACTACAGGGAAGTGTGTATTTATTAAGGTATTTATTTAAAATACTGATTTGGTTTGATTACTAAGGTTTGTTCATTTTATACTCCTAGTAATATATATGTCAATTTGTCTGATAATGAACAGATGTATTCTTAGATCCAGCACTTTCATAACTGAGTGTTGTATGTATTATTCTCTAATTTACTGATACTGAAAGTAAGGTATTTCTTTTCGATGTCGATAATTTGCATGGGTGATTTCATGAAAACTAAATTGTCAGGTGTACTCTATTATTCATCTAGAACAGTCTCTTGATTGTGATAAAACACATATTGAGCTTCAGCTCCTATCTAACACCTAGATGTGGATAGAAGACAATAGATTATTATTGATTTACAATTAATCACACACTACAGATGGGATTAGACTTATCCAATGTTATGTTCTATTTTCCCATCTAGATCTTTATAATACAGGGTTTTTGTCCTCTCTTGCTGGGATATAATGCTAACATATTTACTGTAGTAACACTTACTATGTTTATTGCCAGTCAGTTGGAAAAGTGGACATTCATTCCAGTCTGTTATCTTTTATCAGACTGGTTAAATATTCTAAAAGCAGAAAACATTTCAAATAATGCAACTAAAACTAATTATTATATGTCATAATTCTGTTAGTACATTACAACATGAGATGTCCTATTATCTTTTGTAGTTTGGGCTATATGAACAGTGGATATTGACTGAGGTAGCTCAGTCAGTATATCACCTGACTAATGTAATGCCTGGTTCAATTCCTGGTCCAGCCATAATTTTTTTCCTTTCCTGTTGAACTTATTTTTAGTATGTTTCATTTTCAATCAGTATTATAGATGATATCAGTTTTTCAGTAAAAATTTGAATTTTCAGTTATGATATAGGATGCACTTTTATTAACAAATACTATCAAGAATTATATGAATTGGCATATAAAAAGTTCACTGAATAAATTTTGTGTTAATAAGTTTTCAAAATAGTCCATGTTTTTCAAGGGATTGCCAATTTGCATCTGCTGGCAGCAGAGCCATGTTCATTTAATCAGAAAGAGTGGTTCATTCTTCGTTCATAATTAACTGGATAGCCAATTTATCTTAGAAAGTGCACATTAACTTTAAACTCTTCTGTAATGAGATCTTAAAAGAATGGTGAATATTGATCGTAATTTCATACATGGATTGAGAAGGTGGAGGAGAATTTACAACTGATAAGCACAGTTTTAGTTCATTCTTTGTTGCCAAGCTCATCTTAAGTGAATTCTTCTTGTTTGATCAGAACTAGTAAAAAAAAGTTCTTTGAATGCATGTGCAGACCTGAGAAAAAAATTGAATACATGCCTCGGTAGAGTAAAAAAAAAGCATGGATTCAGTGCAATGACATTTAAGTATTCTATCTTTTTATTTTTCGTTGATCCGTCAATACACATAGATGTCAGTAGATTAAGTGGGGTGCAATATTACACGCTAGAAGGTTGTAGATTATTTCAGAAGAGCTTTAACATTTAACCATGATTAAATCTTGAGTAATCTGAAAATAAGATTTAGCTGCCTATCAGTTCTGTGTTAATATGTACAGGTAGTCATACTTGTCCTTACATAAACTTATTGAACTATTTACGCTTATATATTTTTAAAATGTCAAGAGCCTATTGTAAATGACCTTATTATTTACCATTTGCCAAAAAAATCTTTTAAATTAATTATACAATTATGTTTGACTAAAAATTGAACACAGAGAAAAATGGGAATTTTTTTTTTTTTAATTTGCATTTGATCAATTCTGGTCAAAATGTCTTTTTAGAATTTTACAATCATTGATTGAAATTGGCAGCTCTCAGATGAATTTTCTTAAGTATGTGTTAATGGAGTTATTATAGCATCACTGCACTCCAGGGAATTAAGCACTGCCTAACACACAGTGAAGTATGAATGTATTTATTACTCCTGTTCTGTTAAAAAATTCTTATTGGTGATTTTTTTTCTCATTTGATTTTGTTTTAAAGTTGTTAAACTATTGGTACCATTATCAATTTGCACATGATGAATTATCTTTATTACATAATTGCTCCAAAAAATTGGGAGAGGGTTGCTCATGAAAAATTGTTTGTCAGAATATGTTTTGTAAAGATAATGTATCTAATCCATTGTTTCATGGGGTTGTATTCTTCACCTCATCTACACATTTTGACACTCGGAGCTTTCAGGAGTTTAAATCAACCTGAAAGATACTCCTATTGATTTCCACACAAAAAGCAGTTTTTTTTAGCACCACTGTTTTGTGATTAGTTTTTAAGTACAGAAGAAATGAGTGACCTGGTGATAATGGATTCATTCAAGCTTGAGTGTTAGGGATTATATTACACCATTGGGTGGCAATTACTGGGTACAGTACATAGTATAAGTGACTGGGGGAGATTTTAATGCTTGATGTGTAAAGTTATGGTATGCATTGAATTTGGCATTTTAATACACATTCAATATTTTGTAGGTAATAATTTTACTATAATGACAAATGTGTGATAAATGAGTTAACTTAAAGATTACATGAAATATGGAGATAACTAACAGTAATCCAGCTCAAAAGTCCATTGAAACAATGCAATGGAGCAGAGCAAACACTGACTTAGTTGTGAAGATAATTAGAGCCAATGACATCATTCCTGTTCACACTAAATGTGTTTGAACTAGGGATGTCAATTTTGTCAATAATTCATATTCGAATATTCAATGAAAGTATTCGAATATATTTGAATATTCGATAAAATAGATATAATCTGGTTTATTTTAAATGTGCATCATCATACTCTCATGACAGGTTTTGCGTCGCTTTTTGGAAGTAAAGCTGGATGTGGAGCTTTAAAGGTGTATAATAAGGAATTCTACATTTGATATTTGTCAATGTTTGAAATAATTAATTGATTTAAGCGTGTACAACCGAAATATAATTTTAACAAAGAATATCAATACAAGCTCAAACTGACGAACCAGTCGTCTAACCAGGGGCAAGATTGTCGCTAACTCTTCATATCTGAATACATGTAATTAATTACAATTACCTGCCTAATAAGAGATATTATCTCTTTGATACAACGTTTTGAAAATATAAACAAACACTTCCATAGAGTATTTTCATAGGTCATTAGCGTCCCGATAATGATTTTAAAATATAGGAATATATTCAACCCGAGATAATCAATTAATTGAAATTGAATTTAATTTTACCTTACTCGAATCAAAATAATTTAGAAAATCGTTTAGATAAGAAAGTATGGAAGAAGTAAGAAAGAAATCAGGCGATCGAAAATGATCGTTCGTTCTAAAAAAAATAACGGGGATAATTCCGCACTCTTTTTTGTGAAATATGAAAAACACCGAATATTCGAATCTTAAATTCATATTTGAATATTAACGCATCGAATGAATATTCGAATATTCGTTGACATCCCTAGTTTGAACTCAACTGAGATGGAACCGATATCCTAGCACAATTCAATTTAAACAGGTGCCACAACAACTAATGTTCGTATCCTGGTCATGGCACCAAAAAGCTCATCATTATGTTTGTACATGTGCTAAATTTTTATCCAACTGAAAATGACATGGATTGTTGAAAGCTTTAAGAAAAACGTGAATGGGTAACTACTAGGATGATAAGAAGTTAAATATAATTTTTTTTATCATGTTTCTTTTTTATTTTTGCAGGTATCCATTTATGAAGTCAAAGACATTACCATACAAAAGGAATAAACTACTTAACAAAATCAGACAACTACCATTTTATCTTCCCTATTTTTCCATCAGTCTTTAAATTGCACTCTCAAGACAACTTCTTCAGTGATTTCCATCTTAAAGAAAACTTGATGTCCATCTGTTAAGACCTTGGACACAGTGGTATGGATACATCTATCCTAAAGTGAACAACAGGACAGTAACAGTGTGGGAGATTTTAAAATGACTTGTTTTTTAAGGATTATATTACTTTGTGGTGTCCTTTCATTAGTATTAGCCAGTGAAGCCCCATCCACTGGCAACAAAACAGAGAAAGAGCATGCCTCCATCCACTTAGCTACCATTAAGTTTGACTACGTCAAGCAGCCACTTATTATTGCTGTTTTCATCTTTGCTGCTGGGATTGCAAAACTAGGTAAGGTTATTACCAAAGCTAGGTAAGGTTATTATCAAAGCTAGGTAAGGTTATTATCAAAGCTGGGTAAGGTTGTTATCAAAGCTAGGTAAGGTCGTTATCAAAGCTAGGTAAGGTTGTTACCAAAGCTAGGTAAGGTTGTTATCAAAGCTAGGTAAGGTTATTACCAAAGCTAGGTAAGGTTGTTATCAAAGCTAGGTAAGGTTAGGTAAGGTTATTATCAAATCTAGGTAAGGTTAATATCAAAGCTAGGTAAGGTCATTAACAAAGCTAGGTAAGGTTATTATCAAAGCTAGGTAAGGTTGTTATCAAAGCTAGGTGAGGTTGTTATCAAAGCTAGGTGAGGTTATTATCAAAGCTAGTTAAGGTTGTTTTTAAAGCTAGGTAAGGTTATTATCAAAGCTAGGTAAGGTTATTATCAAAGTTCGGTAAGGTTATTATCAAAGCTAGGTAAGGTTATAATCAAGGCTAGGTAAGGTTATTATCAAAGCTAGGTAAGGTTATTATCAAAGCTAGGTAAGGTTATTACCAAAGCTAGGTAAGGTTGTTATCAAAGCTAGGTAAGGTTATTACCAAAGCTAGGTAAAGTTGTTATCAAAGCTAGGTGAGGTTATTATCAAAGCTAGGTAAGGTTATTATCAAAGCTAGGTAAGTAAGGTTAAGCTAGAGATCAATTATCAAAGCTAGGTAGGTTATGCTAGAGATCAATTATCAAAGCTAGGTAAGGTTATGCTAGAGATCAATTATCAAAGCTAGGAAAGGTTATGTTAGAGATCAATTATCAAAGCTAGGTAAGGTTAAGCTAGAGATCAACTATCAAAGCTTGGTAAGGTTATGCTAGAGATCAATTATCAAAGCTAGGTAAGGTTATGCTAGAGATCAATTATCAAAGCTAGGCAAGATCATCCTAGAGATCATTTTTTATCAAAGCTAGGTAAGGTTATGCTAGAGATCAATTATTACTGTCTTTTTTCTCTGTTTCTTTATATTCCATCCAGTATTTCAGCTTGCAATTGTGTTTTGTTTAAAAAATCAACAAAGTAAATCTGGAACTGGTCCCACTTATCTGACTTAGGAAGTTTTCAGAGTTTTAAATTACTTATCTATAAATACTGAACTGTTGATCTATAGGTTCTAATTTTACTTTAACAGTTCTGAACACTTTTTCTGAATAGCACTAAGTATGTATTCTGGCCATGATGTATTTGGCTTAGATAACATTTGTCAATCTATAAAATCTTGTGTACAGAATGTACAGGTACTAATTATAGGTCTTTGACACACACATTCAGAAGTTTTATTTACCTTAATAATGGTTTATGTAAGACAATCTTGATTTTTTCCCCCTCTCTTTTCAGCTTTTCATCATGCTGAGTTCATCTCGTCCAGAGTTCCTGAGTCATGGTAACATTTGTTTTTCTCAAATAAATTTTGTTTTGTTTCTTCTAAGGAATGCATCATAACTATTTCTTTACCATTTTATCTGATCATGCCAAACTGACTGTATAAAATACCTTGTACAAAAAAGTAATTGCGGTAATAATCTGTAGTTCATTTCTACTGCATGCCAAAAACCCATAAATATTATTTTCATGTGTAAAGTATTGATCCAAGGTATGCTAGTACATATGGACTGTCCATACTGGGACAAGGCATTTATGTGGCTTCAATCTTATTTTCTTCTTGAATAATTGTAAGCCAGTCAAGTAATTTATGTACTAGAAACGTGCTACCAGTCTTGTACTCTCTGAAACCAAAAGTAAAAGCATCTAATAATACATTTAATATGATGATTTCTTGATCTAATTAGATGAAACCATTAACATTCAGACTTAGTATGATGATATCCTTAAAAGGACAATATAGCACAACAAATTCTACCAGCCAAATCAATACAAATTCTTCCTTTGTGTTAATGAAAGGCAGAAATAAAAAAAATGTCAGGCACACATATAAATCAAGCAGTAATAGTATCAAAGATTAAATCAAAGAGGAAGCTGTTTCAAAATTAGCTGCCAAATACTAAACAAATCAGCTGACCAACAGAGCAGGATCAACTGACCAGTTAAACTAGATCATCTGATAAGTAGAACTGATCAACTGACTATGGAACTAGATAAGCTGACCAACAGAACAAGATCAGCTGACCAGTAAAACAAGATCATCTGACCAGTAGAACTGATCAGCTGACCATGGAACTAGATCAGCTGACCAATAGAACTTGATCAGCTGATCATGGAACTAGATAAACTGACCAACAAACCAAGATCAGCTGACTAGTAGAACTGACCATGGAACTAGATAAGCTGACCAACAGAACTAGATCATCTGACTAGTAGAACTGATCAACTGACTATGGAACTAGACAAACTGACCAACAAAATAAGATCATCTGACTAGAAGAACTGATCCACTGACTACGGACTAGATAAGCTGACCAACAGAACTAAATCATCTGACTAGAAGAACTGATCAACTGACTATGGAACTAGATAAGCTGACCAACAGAACTAGATCATCTGACTAGTAGAACTGATCAAGTGACTATGGAACTAGATAAACTGACCAACAGAACAAGATCATCTGACTAGTAGAACTGATCAAGTGACTATGGAACTAGATAAGCTGACCAACAGAACTAGATCATCTGACTAATAGAACTGATCAACTGACTATGGAACTAGATAAGCTGACCAACAGAACTAGATCATCTGACTAGTAGAACTGATCAAGTGACTATGGAACTAGATAAACTGACCAACAGAACTAGATCATCTGACTAGTAGAACTGATCAACTGACTATGGAACTAGATAAACTAACCAACAGAACTAGATCATCTGACTAATAGAACTGATCAACTGACTATGGAACTAGATAAACTAACCAACAGAACTAGATCATCTGACTAGAAGAACTGATCAACTGACTATGGAAGTAGATAAACTGACCAACAAAACTAGATCATCTGACTAGTAGAACTGATCAACTGACTATGGAACTAGATAAACTGACCAACAGAACAAGATCATCTGACTAGTAGAACCGACCATGGAACTGGATAAGCTGACCAGCAGAACTAGATCATCTGACTAGTAGTACTGATCAACTGACTATGGAACTAGATAAACTGACCAACAAAACTAGATCATCTGACTAGTAGAACTGATCAACTGACTATGGAACTAGATAAACTAACCAACAGAACTAGATCATCTGACTAGAAGAACTGATCAACTGACCATGGAACTAGATAAGCTGACCAACAGAACTAGATCATTTGACTAGTAGAACTGATCAACTGACTATGGAACTAGATAAACTGACCAACAGAACAAGATCATCTGACTAGTAGAACTGACCATGGAACTGGATAAGCTGACCAGCAGAACTAGATCATCTGACTAGTAATACTGATCAACTGACTATGGAACTGGATAAGCTGACCAGCAGAACTAGATCATCTGACTAGTAGAACTGATCAACTGACTATGGAACTAGATAAACTAACCAACAGAACTAGATCATCTGACTAGTAGAGCTGATCCACTGACTACGGACTAGATAAGCTGACCAACAGAACTAAATCATCTGACTAGTAGAACTGATCAACTGACTATGGAACTAGATAAACTGACCAACAGAACTAGATCATCTGACTAGTAGAACTGATCAACTGACTATGGAACTAGATAAACTGACCAACAGAACAAGATCATCTGACTAGTAGAACTGATCAACTGACTATGGAACTAGATAAACTGACCATCAGAACTAGATCTTCTGACTAGTAGAACTGACCATGGAACTGGATAAGCTGACCAGCAGAACTAGATCATCTGACTAGTAGAACTGATCAACTGACTATGGAGCTAGATAAACTGACCAACAGAACTAGATCATCTGACTAGTAGAACTGATCAGCTGACCATGGAATTAGATCAGCTGACCAATAGATCTATAGTTCTAGGAGGGAAACAATATGACTTGAAACATTCTTTTGATAAAAAAAGGAAGCTCTCTCATATAGATAATTAGTATGTTGAATCTAAAGTTACATGAGCTAACAGTATAAACCACATTTCTAAATAATTAAAGAAATATCTGTATGGAATTCAAAATCTGACAAGCAGGATATTTATAATGTATGTTAATTAAAGTATTCAAAACTACAGATGTTGACCAAAGCCATTTATCTATATAAGCATTCAACATCATTTCAAACACTGTGAAGTTATCCAAAATTAATTTATTACATGGAAGTAATTTTTAACAGAATAATTTACAAGATTTTACAATCAGCTTAAGTTTTTGGTCAAAGTCTTTAAGGTTTCTTGTAAAATTGATTCCTGAATAAGAGGGGGCATTTCTTAGATGTTCATTAAATTAGTGTCTGCTAAAGAGGTAAAATAATACCTTTGTTCTCTGTTTCAGCCTTCTAATTATCCTAGGTATCATTGTCGGTGCTATCATGAGGTAAGTGACAGGTCAGAGATTGGTAATAGACTTCATCATAGACTTCATTATGATGATTTAATTTTTTTTTTTTGGTTTAAAGACAAAGTTATTGTGGTACTTTGACAGCAGTTAATGAGGTACTCAATACCACATCGATAACTATAATTTGAAACAGTTTTATCATAAACTATTTTCCTTTCTTTTTTTGAATGTTGTTTGTTGCCTGTGTTTGTTGATATAAACTCTGTAAAAAATGTATACATCAAACAATGTTGATAAAAAAAGTTAAGAGCAGACAACCAAATATCAAATTCAACAAAGAATTAGCAAATAGGAAAACATCTTGATAACATTTATCAGGACATATAATGTAACTTTTCCGTGTATTTTAGCCAAACAGAGTCAGCGAACTGCAAACAACCAGAGCTTGAAGGAAACGCCTCAGAATTGGCGGGTGTCAGTGTAGAGCACAGAGAGCCCAGACAGGCTATATCAATGACCTCCAGTCTTTTCTTTCTGTGTCTACTACCCCCGTAAGTATTGCCTATTCTCTCTGTGTCTACTACCCCGTAAGTATTGCGTATTCTCTCTGTGTCTACTACCCTCACAACTATTGCCTATTCTGTGTCTTAACTACCCCCTTATGGTCTCCGACCTTGCTCCATTTTTTCCTAATTTTTTTCTCAACTTTACCTCAAACAATACAGATTTCCATTTCACACTCTGGATGACTTGGTATAATATATCACAAAGTGACTGTAAAGCTATTAATATATTTCTGGACCTTCACTTCAGATCATATCTCAAACCTTATAATGTAAATAATTTTAGGTCTCAAAATCAACAATTAAGTGATATATTAAAAAGTTGGAAGTACTATATGTGTACATAAATTGGCTTATTCAAAATTTTGTGCATTCACTGGGTATGGATTTGTTGGTGTAATCATGAATTAGTGCTAAACATGTCAGTATTATATTTATAAATGACTTCTTAGCGGTACTCATGAATTAGCGCATTGTTGTCCATGCTAAAGTTGCTAAATATAAAGCTGCTTTTTAAGTACACATAGAGTATTAAAAATTGTGTGTTATCATTTTTAGCTGGATGAACCATAAGAGTAACAGTTCCCTTGTTTCTGAAGAATTCTTGGTGTTTGCCTGGTGCTAGAAAATGTTTTGAAGCCAAAATTCAAAGAAATTAATTGTTTTATAAGACAATATTGTTCAATCAATGACTTGAGAAAGTAAATAATTTAGTGTTCACTGAGGAACACAACTGCTTGATTAATGCTTCAGGTATAAATCAAACTCAGGAATCTTTGTCCAATTGGTTGGCAGCACACAATATTGTTACACCAGGGAGTCATTACAACCAAATCCTACACACTACATTAATCCTTGTTCTCTCCCAGCACTACTTCTTTCATTGTTTTGTATTTTCTATTATTTCTTAAACTGTTTCTTTGGTAGTTCTATTGTCCCTCTAGAAAACTGAAGAGTTTTTTTTTGTTTGAAGCAGTATCCATAGCCTTCCAATTTAGACTTTGGTGCATCTGACTCTAATTTGCATACATTTATATATATATATATATATATATATATATATATATATATATATATATATATATATATATATATATATATATATATATATATATATATATATATATATATATCAGATTGTCAATTAGATATAAAAAAAAATGTTGAAAATGTGTCTTAAATGTGGGGCAGCAGTGAGAAATTTCATTTACTTCTTCATGTTATAACATTTTTATGTAAGAAGAAAAGTGTGACTCAGGTGAGCATTCTTGTCCTTGGGACACTTGGTCTATCATAATGGGTTATAGTTATGATAAATGTCATAATAGTTTATAGAGATTAAATGTAATGGGCTGTTTGGGTGTTTTCTTCCTTGATAATATGAACTGAAATGCAGCAAGTTTTTGACTAATATGTCTATTCATGTAAATCAGTTTTCCCATTTGAAACTTGGTTTAATGCAGTGAGTTAGCAGTGATTCCCCAATGTCTGTCCATGAACTATTTGTTAGTCTTCTGGTCTATTGCAGTGGGCACTCTGTGAGCTTTCAGACTTTGTCACTGGTCTATTGCAATGGGCACTCTGTGATTTTTCAGACTTTGTCACTGGCCTAATGCAATGGGCACTCTGTGAGTTTTCAGACTTTGTCACTGGCCTATTGCAATGGGCACTCTGTGAGCTTTCAGACTTTGTCACTGGTCTATTGCAATGGGCACTCTGTGAGTTTTCAGACTTTGTCACTGGTCTATTACAATGGGCACTCTGTGAGCTTTCAGACTTTGTCACTTGATCTAACGTAGTGATGTATCAGTGGGTCTTTCCACTTTGTCACTTGGTATAACATCATGTCAGCCATCAGTGGATTTTCTGTTTAAACATTTGATCTTTTAATTTAAAAAGCCAGGAGTGGGTTTTCCATTTTTTCACTTTGTGTATTATAAAAAGTCAGGAGTGGGTTTCCACTTTTTCACTTTGTGTTTTATAAAAAGTCAGGAGTGGGTTTTCCACTTTTTCCACTTTGTGTATTATAAAAAGACAGGAGTGGGTTTTCCACTTTTTCACTTTGTGTATTATAAAAAGTCAGGAGTGGGTTTTCCACTTTGTGTTACATAATAAATCATCAGTGAGTTTTCTTTTTTAGGTATAATGTAATGAGTTAACTGTGGGTTTATCATCTTACCAATTCTTTCTCCAGTAGAAAACTCCATTGTTTTATCAAAACTTGGGTAGTATCTTCAAATTTACAATATGCTCTACTTTAGAAAATGGAGGCGTAAATATTTTTTTCTAGAAAAAGAAAATGTTTCATTTCACAATAAATGGAACATGAAAAAGATCAACGTGGAATTCTAAAGCTGAAGGAAAGAGGTCCCAGTAAATCAGGAAAGCTAAAGATAGCAGTGGTAATAGAAATCCTTATGTGGTCTTAAGCAAGCGTCTTGTGAGGTTCTCTCTTTATGTCATTTAAATTATGTCTGTACCTTGATAAAGCTAGATAGTCTTTACAGTCCTTCAGTTCCCTGAAAGTAAACTGTTTGATTAATTATTCATTCTAAAAATCGATAAATGGTAGATCTGGTTTCACATTCTTAATGATAATGTGGCCAATTAAAGAAATTCCAGCTCTACATGTCCCAATTATCTCATTTGTTTGAGATTCCATGATGTGGAATTAAATCATAATGTAATATATCTTCTACTGATTTCTCTTGTAAGGCTTTATATAATTAATTTTTAGTTTCTCATCCCCTGTCAGGTCAGGAACAATATCCATATTGCAGTCTTTTCTCAAAAGTAAACTTGTATTAAAATCTTAGTGTTGAAAACTTAGATAAAAGTATAGCATGATTTTAATAATAAATGCTTTATAAAGAGGCATTGAAGGAATAAAGTGTCCTTTTGATGATTAAATTATGTGACAGAGCAAAATAATAACTTATATCTGCAGTCTTTTCTTCCTGCAGAATTTTGTTTTTGCTGTGGAAAAAAATTGATAATGAATTCATCCTCTCTGCTTAACTTTTATTACGGTAGGAAAGTAAGAAAAATGAACAAACGCACTGCAGAATTAAGGGCCAAGCCCCCCCCCCCCCCTTTTGTGTCACAAAATTTTGTAAGGAAAAATTAATATTTTTTGTTTTAAAAAAATGCTTTTATTATATATAAAGTACACCTAAAATAACTTGAAACTGTTTATCAGAAATAGAGAGACAAAATTCTTCCAGGGGCTTAAACACAGTCACTGTAATAAAGTTATGGGATCAAGCCTGTCAAAAATGGTACTCTTCACAAAATGTCAATGGCATTGCTGGACAAAAATAATGCTCGTCACTATAATGTCAAAAGTAAAGCTTGACAAAATGGTATTCTTCACCATAATGTCGAAAGTAAAACTTAACAAAATGGAAAGCTTTCCAAACATGTCAACTGTAAAAGTTGACAATAATGATATACTTCACCAAGTTGAACATGATGTTAACAGAAAATCTTGAAGTGTGACTTACAGATGTAAACTATGTAAACTCTCTTTGCATTCTGGAATATTTCTTGGAATTATAACTTGTTGATGAATAAGAATTTCAAGATATGGATAAAATAAAGGTATCTTAGCTACATGAAGCAAAATCTATGATTCCCTGTCCTAATAAGGAAGGTTTGCTATAGGTGTGCACTTTTCAAAGATATCTTGAGATTTTGAAGTTTACTGGTATAAATTTTTTTCGTGTGGACCATGTTTGTAGAGAGTATCATGTGAAGCTTATATATAAAACAGAAATAGAACAAAATTGTTCCATAATGATCAGATGAAACATAAGGGCCTTAATTTTGTTCTAAATATTTTAAAATCTTCACATACACACAGCTCTGTAATAAGTTAATTATTGTAATGGAAAAATTAACACAATGTCAAAAAGATAGTAAAGAAATAAATCATCTTCACACAAAGTCATCAAAATCAATTAAATTGTTCAATCCTTTTTTTAGCATTATTTTGGAGTCTGCCTACAGTCTACATGACCGAACATTTTTTGAAAATGTGGGCAGTGTCATCATCTTTGCAGTAATAGTGAGTATGTAACATATTTTTCATGTAACAACAGAAGCAGGAAATTGTCTTTGATAAGTTTTTATCTCACCCAAGCAACAATATAAACTGAGTTTTGTCTAGATACTAGATATTTTACCATTTTACAGTATGCTACAGTTAAACTTTGTTACCTTAAATGTAGATATATGTCATATATGTATGTTAATGTGTTGAAGAAGTCAACCATCCTATCTCAAAATTTTGAATATCTTAAGATTTTTTTTACAGTTTTACTTATATGTTCATGATATCAAGGTTTGACTGTAGCCTTAATTTTGCACAGAGCTACATTTGGATATTGGATTATCATCATATTTACATATTAAAATAAAGACAAATGACACAATATTTAATATTTAACGAGGCATTTGTATGTTGTTTTTCATCAAATTGCAATTCTGAGAAATTCATAGTTACATCAGATATTTATTATGTGCATTTGACAGTAAATTGATATTATATGTTGTTGATTAAAACTCCTATTGATTTTCAGGGCACGGTGCTTAACTGTTTCCTAATTGGTAAGTCACTCTGGACAAAAAAAATTGATTAACAATTCACGAGATTTCTCAATGATACAAAATGTGGTAAATTGTCATGAAACAATTCAGACTTGAGACACTGTCGGTGAAGAGCGGGCCAACATATTAATTATAGAGAATTCTAATGGCTTTGCAGCAAAATGTTTGAAAAAATCAACAGGAGGTATTAACGAGCTGTAATTACCCATTATAATGGTATAAATCGTTCCATTCCTAAAACTTCCAATGTAATTAAGGTTTTATTATTACGAATTAATCTTTGAAAATGTGTGCACATGTCTAAACTGATGAAAGTAGGAGTGCCATCAATGCAAGTTCACTGTATTTCAAGTTTTTCAGGATCTGAATGGTTTAGGAATCAACTAGGCTATCTAACACTAAGAGAATTTTTGTCCAGGAATTATAGTGTTAATTGTAGTTAATACTGCAGTAGATGCACAACTAATTAATGGCATCAAACTCAACAATTCAAATTTGTCTCATATACAGCAATTTTATTTAAAATTTTTCATAAATAATAAAATCTGATTCCTTAGGGGGAAAAAAAAACAATCTGTTGTAATCTGTAATCTCTATATTTGTATATTAATCAGGTAAATTAATCTGCTATTAAAATGAGTTATAAAATTTACTGTGGAATCATTGTTGGTAGGGGGACCAATGTGGATTTCGTGGGTCGATCATCCTTATGATGAGAATTTATATCCTCACGATTGAATATTTTGTCAACATATTGATTCATTGAATCTTCTGTATAAACGAATTAACCTCGAACCAATTTTGCTTGCCCACGAACGTTGACCCCCTTGAATTAAAATGATTCCACCGTATCACATATTGATAAAACTAAAAAGATTTTATTTGTGCATGGTTCTCTGTAGTTTTAGTATAGCATTATTCGAGTCTTAATGTCATTTGGACAAAATCACTTGGTGTAAAATGTAAAAATTCTTTTCCATATACCATAATTTTATTTCGATTTAATTTTAGAAGATCAGACTTGCCCTCAGGGTTGATTATTATCATAAGATTTGCCATGATGTCACTAAAATAATTTTAAACAAGGTCTAGGTAACAATTAAGGTTCAGATGTATCTGTATTCTGAAGTATCAGACATTGCACTTTGGTTTGCTTGTGACTAAGAAGTCTGTGAGGATTCCATGATTGTTAGAAGGTCAATGTCACATGAATCGGAAGTGGAATGTTCTTTTGGCTATGACATTTTTATGCTTTACCGTGAATGGTCATATTTTTCATACTCAAATATTTATGTTGCTCACAACCAGAAGTGTTACAGCCATCTACCAACTACATTTTCCCAAGATTCAGGCTAATGGGAATTGCCATTGCAATACAATTTTTTAGCAAGCTGGCAGAGGTGTTCTTTTTTTAACTAATTTGATTGATTTTTATTGTTTTACATCCCGTTTGAGAATCTTTCACTCATATAGAGACGTCACCATATACATTGTACCGGCAAAGGGCTTCAAATTTAGATGTTTACTCGGCACTCAGGGCCATTGAACAGTGAAAGTTCTTGATCATGCCAACGCCTACGGTGACACGGGGCCTCAGTTTTTAAGGTCTCATCCAAAAGACCAGCAACTTTCACTTCAAAGTGCCAAGCACTTTGCAAAGGAACAGTTGCTATCTATTATTTATTGACTTAGGTCAGTTGCGGCTGTGATTCAAATGCACGACTTTCGTATCATGGGGCTAGCACTCTACTGACTGAGCTATCGTGATGGTCAACTAATCTGAAGTAAGCCCTTTCTGTGGTTGCCCCACTGGGGCTCAATGCTTAAGTTACTCTATCTGTATGTGTTTACTTGTGATGAGAAATAGGTAACATTATAAAAGTTGCCAGATGGTTTGTCGTCAATATATATAAAGTTCTCAGTAATTATGCCCCGCCATGAATATAGTGTTTGTCATGTCCATCTTCCATCCTTCCCTCTGTCCTTCCATCACACTTTGCCTTTAGCTCAGTTTCAAAGAAACTATTCAAGCCTTGTGTTTATTTTACCATTTACGAGACCTACCCTTTATGCTGCCTCTTCCCTTGATAGTATGGGGTCTCTACATTTAGGTGTAAAGACTTGTGTTGTGTATATTTATTTTTCCATTGACAGGACCTACTCTGTATGCTGCCTCTTCCCTCGGTGGTATGGGGTCTCTACATTTAGGTCTAAAGCCTTGCCTTGTGTTCAGTGCCATCATAGTCGCTGTGGATCCTGTTGCAGTATGTATCTTAGAATAATATCTGCTGTAATAAACATATCTTTATAGCAAGTATTAAATTTCTTTTTCATGTCAAGAATCCAAACTTAAATCAATGGCAACTTAACAAAATTATTTTTCAAATTTTTGTTGTATCTAACATTGACAGATTTTTTTCTGTGCTATAGCTTTTTCAAGTATTCAGAAAAATTACTAAGAGCTTATAAAGTTTAATAATCTTCAAGAAGATTTAGTCAATGGCTTTGACATTTGCAATTTAAGGTTCAATGATACTCTGATAAGAGCGATAACTCTTAATGAGATAAATGTCTGTTATTCCTTTATAAATTTGTCAAGTTGTAATCTTTTTTGTCCAATTTTGCCCCAATAAACTCTGCTAAAAAAAATTTCCATTTTGCATATAAAACACATTTCCTCTGGAAAATCAAAAGCATTATGACAACATTTTATATGAATGACAGAGGGATTGTGAACCTTAAGTTATCAAATGGACACACACATAATTTTTTCCCCTTGTATAAAAGGAGTCACACATTTTAAAGCTCACAATTAACAACTTTCTGATAATTGTATAAATTTTTCTTTGTTTTTTTTTTTAAATTGTTTTTTAAAGTCTTTAAAGCCAACACAAAGAGTCTATTTTCTTATGCGTTTTTTTTTTTTTTTTACATTAGCATTGACATTTTTAAGACCAACAGAAACTAGAATACAGCAATCGATGGCTGTTTTTCAAAACGTTACATCCTCGTGAGAAAATGGTAGGAATAAATAATTGAATTTTCGATGGTACGGGAAACCTTTTGAGATACCTTGTCACTCTGGGTCTTTCCTGTGTTTGACACTGGTTTACATTAATCAGAAAAAGACAAAAGTCATCATAACATTCATTCCCTCTAGATTAAAGAATTTGTACAACTAACGAGTTCTGTCACAGTTTGACCAGAAACTTGTAAGAATTCATTCTTTGAAATAAATCAATTCTGCAGCAAGAATCATCCTGTATCCCTTGTTTTTCTGTTGTAGACATTGAGTATTGATACAATTACCTAGTATTCCTCTTTATTTAAATTAAATGAAATATTTTTAACAGGAAGTGAGAAAATGTGACTGACCAGACCAGCATTTGAACCTGGGCCCCTTAACTTGTGCTCTCTGAGCTATCTGGTCACTAATGAAACCTGCCCTACCCTATTGTCACCAACCAACCTGGGCCCCTTGACTGGTGCTTTCTGAGTTATCTGGTCACTAATGAAACCTGCCCTACCCTATTGTCACCAACCAACCTTTACCCCTTGACTGGTGCTCTCTGAGCTATCTGGTCACTAATGAACGAACCTGTCCTACCCATATGCTTACTTCATTAAGGTCAAGATCTAGTGAATGAAAGGTCCTTTCAGATTTCTCAACTTTGAGAAATAAATTCTTTTAATGATGCTTTATAACTTTAGCTTGGTCAAGTAAGGTGTTTCGGGGCATTATTTGTAGGTAAACAAAATGAAAAATCATATTTTAAACTGTCATTTTTAATGAAAAATTAAGAAAACCAGTCATGAATACGGGAGTCCATATCAGACAAAGGAAATGAATCCAGATTGCCAGATTGAATCCAGATTGTCTCTCAGAAAACGGTAAATTGTATGTTCTTGGCCTCTGCTTTAAAATAATATTAAATTGAATATAGGTATCAGGATTACTTTTCACATGATTTCAAATTGAATTCCATGAAAATACTTTATTTTCTACATAATTCTATTAGAGCCGTAAAGTACGGGAAAAAGAAAGTTGAGATTGATTATGACGTCATAATGGATCTAGCACCAAAAAGACAGTCTAAAGTCATTTACTAGATCTTGACCTTAAATGTGTTTTCCCCCAAAGACACATATCCAGCAGCCTTGTCTCTGGCAAGTTTTAATGCTTTGGCTAGACACTTCAGTTTGAAGAGCACTTGTTTAAAATTGTTGTCAAGGTTAAAGTCCTAGTCTGGTCCATCATATACCCTTCCTTCGTGTAACATCTGGTGCACTGCCATGTCCTAGAAATGAGAGTAAAAACTCAGTGATGAGCCTGGATTGATGTCTTTGGGTACAAAGGCATTTGAAGTAGGGAATAATGTGGGGTGGTCAAGTAGATTTGTTCACCACTGGCAGCATAGCTCACAGAATCTGCCACATTTGTTTCATATTTCGATGTTTTACTGACTATAGACAATAATGGCCAACTTATAACTACTGATTAAGTGTTGGACATGTGGAATGACTTCAACTTTTCCATCATCAACTTCCCTTATTTTTGTAGCAATATTCCAACATCACCTGCATATGGTGTTTGTCTCCCAACTGATTCAATATGCAAAAGCATAATCTGAAAATGATCAATTTTTAATCCAAGGCGTAGTTTGAACTTTATTGTCTTTTTCCCTGGAGTTGAAGAATTCCAGTACTTAAAGGAACTGTGTGCTACATTTTTATGTCAATATATGCTGTTGTGCACTTCGTCTAAAACAAGTTTGGATAAAAAAAAAAAACATCTAGAATTTATGTTAAGTAATTTTTGTGTATTTTTCTTTGAATTATACAAGAATTTTTATCAATTAATATCTTTACAAAACCCCTGGTAATGCATGCTGATTTTTTGTCTATGAACATCTGGTGGCACTATAATCTTAAATTAAGAACATTTTGAAAAATTATCAGTAGGTAAGGTACGTTGCATATGTCCTTAAAGTCAGCTTTTTGCGAATTCTAGTTGTTATAATGATCTTCATTGAAAATACACCCTATCGTTGGGTCGTACTTTGTCTGATATGTTTGATACCATTTGTAAGGTTACAGCTTTTACACTAAATTTGACTGAGGAGTACTCCGTATACCTGATCAATACATAGGGCTCATGGCGGTGTGACTGGTCAACAGGGGATGTTTACTCCTCCTAGGCACCTGATTTAAACTGTGGTGTTTTTTTTTTTGCCCTGTTCATGTTTTGTTTTCTTTAGTGGATTCATGAGATTGATCATTGTTTGTTATCCTCACCTTTTACAATTAGTAGAACATGTCTATAGTTCAGGGGACCCAGGTTCTAATCCCTGTCTGCTCTGTCCCATTTCCTGCCTTCATGTTATTAATAGGATAGGACTGTTACATAAACAACTTATTATTCTAGGTTTTGAATGGCGAATGGTAAATTTGTTTGTTTTATCGCGCTAGAACAAGTATCTCTATTTAAGTATTTATCAAATTAGAAGTCCCAAAATCATTAACAGACCATAATTTTCTTGTAAAATATCAGCAGGAGAGCAGCCATTTGCATTTTATGGATTGCCTTGCATCTGTTTTCCAGTTTTATTCATTTGAAAGCGAGAAAGGGTTAAGCTGAAATCCTTAGACAGCTATGCATCACTCTATTTTAATTCAATAGACTGTTACTTGCGGATTCAATCCATTTCTTGTCTCTTTAGGTGCTGGCCATCTTCCAAGAAGTGGGCGTTAACAATGTTTTATACTTCTTGGTGTTTGGAGAATCACTCTTTAATGGTAAGAACAATAAAACAGTTATATACAGATTATGTGTACAATTATTAATTCCTATTGTACTATGTCCACATGCTCAGACCTTTGTAAATCTACATTTATACATCATAACACATTGTAGAAAGGAATTTTTTTATCCAAAAGATATTTATAAAAAAAAAATTAATAGTTCTCATTCCATCAAAACAGGTTGTCATATATTCTTGGACAAATTGAACAAGTGGGGAAACATTACATATAAACAAAATGTTTTCCCATTTCTTTATTTTTTTTTTTTTTAAAACGTAAATCATTATTGAGACACTATGACTTGGTCATTGTAAGTCATATTTCATTGTCTTACTCGATCTATAGCTGGTACTAATCATATTTTGTTTTCACAGTTACACTTATATATCTATGTAGTACATACAACAGACTAGTAACATCATTTCCTCTCAATACAGATGCTGTAACGGTGGTGCTATACAATATGATGCAAGAATTTAACAAGATGGAAACCGTCCCTCCTATAGAGGTAACATATATGTTACTGCAGTTTTGAAAAATAAAGATATCATTTTAAAAGGTTGGGACATGTACATGTATTCAAGACAAATTTTATTTATCCCTTCCAATATCTCAAACTTTGGTTGTAAATTCATATTTTTAGCCTGAAATTCCAAAGAGCAGTTTATTGGAGATTTTAGTATCTTGCATTTAGCAGCTTTATGCAGTATGGAGTATTTTAGGCATCGATCTGCAGATTATACACATGCTAATAGGCACTGAAATCAATTCTTTTGATGAAAAATTTTTCTATGGAAAACTTAAACCAGAATTTAAAAATGGATAAAATTTTTATCACATTGGAAACATTTGGGAGACATTTTTGTTTGTTTTAAACTGCTGTTTACTTTTAGCTCACCTGACTAAGCCTTGAGCTTTGTACCCCCTTTAAAATTAGTTTCTTTTTTCTTACTTTTTTTGGCAAGCATAAGTTAATTTTTCTCATTCCAACTTTTTTATTCCAGGAAGCCTAGTCTGGAACCAGCATTAGTGTCTTAATCATTAATGATAGTTCTGGAGGCATGTTCTTATATTTTGGAATGAACAGAATTCCAAAATGATGTCCATTAAAATTGGGAAAATTATACATATCAATGTTTAGGGGAAATCAACATGTAAAAGTTTTTAAAAACTCATCTTTATTGGTTTTTAGTGTTTGTAATCAACTTTATCATTTACAATGACAACACCATGGCATTCAGTTGGGAGAAAGCTACTTAATATGCATTAGGAATGGGGCTGTTCAGCTTCATGTCCCTGCAATTACAGACAACCATGTTGAAAGTTTTGAATCTTTTTTTTTTATAATAACTACAGTACATGTATATATATATGTTTGATTGTAGGTGGTTAAAGGTTTAGTATCGTTCTTCATTGTAAGCCTTGGTGGTCTGTTCATTGGGATTTTCTTTGGTGTTTTGACAGCCATCATCACCAAGTACACCAGTACTGTCAGAGGTAAATTAATTATAAAGGCAGCTCCAGTTAATTCTATATTGTAACATCTTAGACACCCTTCATCCTTTGTTTCTTCCCAATATGTAAATTCTGACAAACGTTGAGAACAATTTCTTCAGAAAATAAGACTTGTACAGTAAAATCAAGTGTAATATGATTAGTTGATTGTCAGATGGATAATCAACTTTATAAGCTGACTTAGGTTGTGTCGATCATTTCTCTAGCCAGGCAGACAATAGAGCCCACAGCAAATCAGAAATAATAAACATGCAATATGTGCAGGATTTTTGCTAAAAATGTTTTTTTTTATGAATACATTGTACCAATACAGAGTAACAAGTAACCCTATCAGTTTTTTTTTTTCAAGCTCTATAGTTAAGGGAGGTAATTGATGTTTTTCTCATAATTATATTTAACCTGACTCTTCTATTGTAGTGGTAGAGCCGTTGGCCGTCTTTGTGTTAGCTTACATCTCATACCTTGTAGCAGAATTATTCCATTTCTCAGGTATTATTGGGTAAGTCAATTGACATAAGGAAAATTTATAATTTGACTTTTATGTAGGCAAGTTCCGATCACATTAGACAGAGGTAAGTTAACTGCAGTTTTGTTTAAGATTGTGCTTCAAATTAAAGGTTATCAAAGGTTTTATCATATAACTCCAAATATGTTGCACTTAAATTATAAGAAATAATTTCTATGTACTCATTTGCACTTTTTGATAAAATATTTATTTGTCTTCAAAAGTATTAGTTACGAACTATTCATTATGAAATGCTCAAATATCTCGAATTCCATGGATATGTCAAAGTGATTTGGAAGTCCCAACCACTTATTCTTTATGTATTTTATCCCTGATATCTCGAATCCTCGGATATCAAAAAAAATTTTCTCGGTCCCATCGAGTTCGAGATAATGAGATTTGACTGTATGTTAATGTGCCTTCTGTAACTTATACATCCATGTCATCTTTCCAAGTTGAGGGTTTCTGATTCGCTCTGCTCTACATAAACCCTTGACCGAATAGACTAAGTTTGACAGGGTTTACACATTTTGAACTCTTATGACCTCTGCTATTGACCAATCAGAGTAAGCAATTTAAATAGAGAATGCGAGACAGTATTGAAAGTTGGTAATAAATTCCGCATAACTTTTAACTCCAGAGCTGAGACAATCCTTTAACTTGGTCATTCAATGTAAAGACGTTTTCATTGGGACTATAACTGGCGTGTTTTTATGTTTAAGATTTAGTTTCAGGTTAGATAAAACAATTTTTTTGATTGGCTTATGTAAACTTTAATGAGGCCAATCAGACAGCGGACTTCTTACTCCTTCAAAGTCAGTCTATTCGGTCAAGGGTTTGTGTGGAATGGAGTGGATCAGAAACCCATGACTTTGGAAGATGGTATACATGTATGTGCCTGAAGTTTCATTTTTACTTTGGTAACTTGGTGGTACATATAATTGCTCCATATTTAGGTAATTTATGACAAATTTACTTTCAGTTTGATAGGCTGTGGACTGACACAGGCTCACTATGCATTCCATAACATATCACAGAAATCCCTTACCACTATCACATACTTCAGTAAAATGCAGAGGTAAGTTCTAACCTCACAGAAATCCCATACCACCATCACATCAGTAAAATGCAGAGGTAAGTTCTAACCACACAGAAATCCCATATCACCATCACATACTTCAGTAGTTCTGACCTCACAGAAATCCCACACCACCATCACATACTTCAGTAGTTCTAACCTCACAGAAACCCCATACCACCATCACATCAGTAAGTTCAACCTCACAGAAATCCCATACCACCATCACATACTTAAGTAAAATGCAGAGGTAAGTTCTAACCTCACAGAAATCCCATACCACCATCACATAATTCAGTAGTTCTAACCTCACAGAAATCCCATACCACCATCACATAATTCAGTAGTTCTAACCTCACAGAAATCCCATACCACCATCACATGCTCCAGTAAAATGCAGAGGTAAGTTCTAACCTCACAGAAATCCCATACCACCATCACATACTTCAGTAGTTCTAATCTCACAGAAATCCCACACCTCCATCACATACTTCAGTAGTTCTAACCTCACAGAAATCCCATACCACCATCACATACTTCAGTAGTTCTGACCTCACAGAAATCCCATTCATCCATCACATAATTCAGTAGTTCTAACCCCACAGAAATCCCATACCACCATCACTTCAGTAAAATGCAGAGGTAAGTTCTAACCTCACAGAAATCCCATACCACCATCACATCAGTAAAATGCAGAGGTAAGTTCTAACCACACAGAAATCCCATATCACCATCACATACTTCAGTAGTTCTAACCTCACAGAAATCCCATACCACCATCACATCAGTAAAATGCAGAGGTAAGTTCTAACCACACAGAAATCCCATATCACCATCACATACTTCAGTAGTTCTAACCTCACAGAAATCCCACACCACCATCACATCAGTAAAATGCAGAGGTAAGTTCTAACCTCACAGAAATCCCATATCACCATCACATACTTCAGTAGTTCTAACCTCACAGAAATCCCGTACCACCATCACATCAGTAAAATGCAGAGGTAAGTTCTAACCTCACAGAAATCCCATACCACCATCACATCAGTAAAATGCAGAGGTAAGTTCTAACCTCACAGAAATCCCATATCACCATCACATGCTTCAGTAAAATGCAGAAGTAAGTTCTGCTCTTCTTTGCATATTATTATATGTATTTTTTTCACAACAAAGTTAGACATAACTTAATCATAAATTTGCCATATACATGTAGTTTAGAGCTTTAAACTGATAGAATGGTATGTCCCTTCAACATGTTGAAGTAGCCTTCCAATTAAATGATAATATTTTGACCCGTAAATGTTTTAAAATGCCAACTGATCTTGGAGCAGGGTAAGATAAAACAAACTTTAAATCAATTTACAATTCACCAAAAAAACATGAGCTCTACTGAGGCATAATTCTGTCATACTGACACATGTGATGATTTAAATTCATTAAATAGTATGATGATTTGTTTTTTCAGTGCTCTGAGTGACTGTATTATCTTCCTATTCCTGGGTATTGGTCTGTTTAACTGTGAGATTATGAACCTCAGCCACTGGAGATGGGAACTAATATTGTGGACATTGTTCCTCTGTCTCCTCTACAGATTTCTTGGTCAGTTACTACAACAGAATACTCAAACTAATTGTAAAAATGATCCATGGGGATAAGAGTCTGTATCAATAAGTGTCTCAGACATGTGCCATTTTTTGCTTTGTTTCTCAAAATGCCAATCAAGAATTCCAATACTTATGCATTAAAATATACTATTGTGGTGGTCAGACGAGTTCGATCACCTGTGGCCAGATAGCTCGGTAGAGCACCTGGCTGAAGATTTAGGGGGCCTGGGTTCAAATCCTGGTCTATTTCTTTTCCTGTTACAAAATCTTTTATTAATGAAGCATTACTTCAGACAATTTTGATGTTTAATTTAGAGCACAGTAAATAACTGGTACAAAACAAAGAATCTCATGTTTATCATGTACAGTAAAATCCAGACACCACTTGTTCCAAAGAAACTCGCTGGATTAGAAAACATTCCAATTTTAAACAAAGAGCTGGGTACGTTAAGACCGATTTACAGCCCTGTAAAATCGGCAAAAATTAAACGCACGATTGCATTCTATCAATTGTATCAATTAACTGTTAAGGTTTCCCTGTGTGCGAAATAGGAATAAATTTTCTCAACTCACGTGCCCTTTCATTTATATAACGTTCAAAACCGGTCTAATATTCCGGAATTCCCCTATTTTGGACGTTTTCCTCCTCTTCAAGTCTATATTTCGATATGGCCGCATCCAAGTATGTATGCGAAACTTTGCAGAAAGAACAAATACACTACGATTTTTAATATTAAAGAGAAAAAATAACCTTACAAAAGTGCGGCCACATCCGTTTTTACAAAAAATTGAAGTAAAAATGCTGCATTTTTGGATAGACGTCACCTTTTCTCCACAATAAAATCTATATTTTTAAAGAAATTAATTGTTTATTTCTATATCTGAAGGCTTTATTATTTTTTTTATTGTTTTTTAAATTCAATTCTGCATTTGAAAAAAAAATTAATTTAATACAATTATTTATGCAAAAGAAAACCATATGAACCTTTCTCAGTGAAATTTACTATGGGACATTACATGTAAATTAGTGACGCAATGCATTGAAAAAAATGACGTCACAAAGAGCAATCATGTTGAAAATATGTACTTGAGACAATTTCTTTAGTCTTCACAACTATGATAAATATTCAATCAATAATTACAGCATGAAAAAGTGATTTAACGACATAACTTGGGATGGTTCAGACAATCAATTTACATTTAATCCTATATGTACAATGTACCTCCAATTAAAATGCGCGACTCTTTCATAGTGGACATTGACTTTATTTGACTTAAGAAAAGATTATTTTTAACATTTTTATTGAAAATCATCAGCTTTCTTAAGTATGTTTTATTCTTTTTCAATTTATATATGTCTGGGATTCATGAATGTCACAAGACAATAGCTAACGTTTTTCTTTTTTTTTTGGGGGGGGGGGGGGGGGGAGGTAGATTGGAAGCTTGTCTTACATGTATAGTTGTCACCATTTGAACATTTCTTTTCAAAACTTGTTATCCTTGTCACTGTATTGTTGCAGATTTTTATTTGACAAAATGAATTATATCAGAAAAGATTCTAGTGTTTTATCGAATAATCAGGAAGTGTTTTATATATGACCAAATACTTTTAAATCTGCCACTGCCGACCTACATTTACTTATTGAAGGTCAGCAGCTGGGAATGGAAAAGTTCTTACATGTAGTAACACTTATTAATTATATATACATTTATCATGCTGATCGGAATATTGACATCAGTGTTTTCAAGTAAAATTGGGTTTAATTTATAATTTACAAGGAATTTTAGATAATTATGTTGACCAAGTTTATATGGCTTAAAAAACGTATACAGTGGTGTACGCTTTCGGTTTTTTCTACGAAAATTTAAGTGAAACATGATACAATCAACCTTTTTTTATTGTCTATAAATAAAGATTATCTGTTCTCATGCAGTTCTGTAAGAAATACAAACACGATCTTGCATTACTTGTGGACAAGACACCCCCTTTCCGCTCCGTAATCGATGGTTTAACTCGTTATTTTTTTTTTTTTCATAAATTGTTTTCCTAATACATTTTAAGGCATTCCAAGTCTTGAAATGAAAAAAAGATTACTCTATAGATATTTATCTGTATAAAAAACGAATGTACATATTAACTACATGTACACTATTGTTAATCTTGAAGTAAGCGAGTATTTTTAAAAGGATTTCATCCAGATTATCCATAAAATAATAGTAATATATTTCATAAGAAATATGTTTAGTATTACAATAGATGTTCATCGCGGGGCTGAAGGAGCGTCCTGTCCAATATCACCTCTGTGAAAACGGCGGTGCACATTATCGCTAGATTTTAAAGATTCAACGTCCGTCTGTGATGATAATCCGTTCCAGAAAAAAAACAAATTAAAAGTATTTTATCGTTACTACAAGGACAAATGCACAAGGAAATGCCCCAGAGAGTTAATGTATCCAAAGGAAGTGATAAAATTATCATTGTCACCGAAATAATTATTATATCAAAAACATGTATCTTACCTACGGCTGTGTAACATGCAAACATAGGGAGGAGTTCTAAATAAAATCTTTATCTATTTTAATGCAGTTTTTGTCTTAGAAGATGACGTGATGTATAGTCTTGCAATTCATGTCAGCAGTTTGTTAGGTATATTTTTAAAGATTTTTTTTTTTATCAGACACTAACATGAAAAAGAAACATAATCAAGCTAGTGTTATAATCCGGGAATGGCAAGGATAACTCTATAAAGAAGTACTGTGACGTGTTTTGCGTATTGTTCCCACAAGTAACAAAATAACATAAGATTTCGTATAATTTGATAACTGAACTAGAAATAAAATCTCTATATAGCTTATAAAAAGGGACGTGAAAGTGAATTTTGATTCTTCTATGTGAGTGTTCTGTTATTCTGCATTTCGATTATTTGTATTTTGTCTCTATGTAAAAAGAAGGGGGGGGGGGGGGGGGCTTACTGATAATCAAGTTATACATGTACATGTACTGTAATGAGTACCAATAAAAAAATTATATCAAGAATTTGATTTAAAACTAAATACATCCCTTTCCAATTTCCTTTGGCTCCCCACTGGACTGTGACCGTTGATCGATCTTTTACTGATCGATATCAATGTAAGTGTCTGCCGTTTCATGCTGCATTGCTTTGAAGACGACAAGCGCATATTTTCATAGCTGACGCGGATAAACTCTATATGAAAATCATACACACAATATTATATCATTATTTTTATAACTTTTAGTTTTAGGAAATTGTGCCCGTTAGAGTGTACTACAGGCTTCTGAATCCCTTCCCGAGAATTCGTGTGCATTTCCTGTCGAATTCACTACCCAGATTTAGGCATATAATTTTCAATTTTGTTAATCAAATAATGAGTATGTACATGCAAAGTACTGTGTTTGTCTCTAAAATTAAATTATTAGCATTGGCTATATAAAATATTTTGTTCTTCGAAAAATTGATCTAAACAAATCGCACACCCTTTTTTAAGCCTTCGGAGATTCACGGTTTTTATTTGAAGCAAAATTTTTCAAGGTCTGTAACGCAAGTTATGATAAGGCCATTCCAAGTTTTTTTTTCTATGTGCAGTGTACGCGGACGAATTGGTTTTGAGGTTATGAAATTAAAAACAAACACAAATTAAAATTGATAAATACAAAGCTTTGAAACGCAAACACAAAGTTAACTCAAATTAAAGTCAACAAATACGAATCTCTGAAATGCATTTTATTCTTCTGGGATTGCCATCCCTCTTTTTAAGTGGTGTATTATTTTTTTTATTTCAATAAACTAGTAGTTTAACTACAAGTTTTATGGCGAGGAGAGGTCTCAAATGATAATAAGAAATTCTAGAACTGTTCTGAAAATGCTGCGTTTTTCCCCTTTTGGTTCGTGTGTTTTCTCGGATAGGAAGATAAGTTAGAATGGATGCTAAACAAAGAAAAAACTTGGAATGACCTCATCAATCAGGACTCTTATAACCGGTCTCCTCTTGTGGTTTTAACGTAGAAAGTGATTGTGTGTAAGTATATTGGGGATTGTTCCTGGTTAGGGTATTTTACATGAACCATGCAGTAAAACGGATCCACTGGAATGAATAAATAACGATCTATAAAAGAAATCCTAACATCAGAGAAAAAATTTTTAACGCAGTTTAAGACACCTCGTAACCCCGTAATAGTAATTTATACGTTTATAAAAAAAAAAAAAAAAAAAAAAATACGAAATTAATAGCGCTGCTATTTGTTGGAATGGAAAAGGGGAGTGGTGTTGATGGCTTTTTCATTGCCAAAAATCCAATTTTGACAACTTTATATGGGACGTTCCAATTTTCTTTCTAATACTGATTCATGTATCTTTAAAAATTTTAATGTAACTTCATAGACAATGCGGAAAATGATTGAAGAAATCGTTAGGACATTTTTACATAAAAAATGATAAATTTGATACGAGCACATTTTTAAAAGAAGTACTACTTTGTCTCGTCTGTATGGATGAATCAAGCTTCATTACTTGTCTGATGAAATCGTTTGTAATAAAATTATATTTTCCTTTAAATTATTATACTCCTTCCAGCTATCAAAGATACATTACGATGAATTGAAATAAAAGTTCAAAATTGTTTTCTGGAACATAAGGCAGGTTAAAGTAAATAGTTTCCGGTTCAGAGAATTTACAGATTTCTTTTAATGTAACGTTATAAATCAGTAACGCCGTGATGACGTTATCACGTCAAAATTTGTAATTTCTAAAGAAAACTCCCCATTTTTCGAGACCTCTGATGGAAAAACGGTTTGTGATAATTAAAAAAAATAAAACGATTTTGAAAGGACACATCGTAGGCATGTTTGTAAAAAAGTGAAATCAAATTTGGAGACAGGGCCGCTCTGTTATACTTAACGTACCCAGTTCTTTACTGAAAGGGACTTAAAGTTTACACCTTTTTAGGCAAGATTTCAGAATAAACAACATTTAAACAAGTTTCAATGTATACATATACCTTTATTCATGTCTGAATTTCAGATAGGAACCTTAGCTATAAGTAAATACTATGTAAAATCTCCTTATAATTTTGTTTTAACAATTAATATCGAAAAATCAATTAATTTTACTTTTTAACTTTATTTTGGTACCAAAGAGTTGTGGCTGTGTTTACTGGTAACAATATGTAAAAAATGCTATGCATGTCCAAGTGTGCTCATCAATATACTTTTAACCTATTTTGGTATTCTAATTAATGTTAATCTTAGTATCTTAATCAAGATTCTATTTATTTTCAGTGGTATTTTGTCTTACTTGGATAATAAACAGATCTAACAGGATGAGAAAAATCCAGAATGTGGAAAAATTTATCATGGTATGATATAGTTCATCACCACCTTAGATTTTTTTTTACTATTGGAGTACAAAGATAATTAACTCAGCTAAAATACCTTACTATAAATCTATGGAAATTAGATTTAACAAATTCAATTTTTAAAAAAATTACATTTATTGGCATACATTCCTTGTCATGTTGAGAATGTCTGTCATGGAAATAGTTGATTTGTATGGCCATTTCTTTAATAGGCATATGGGGGTCTCCGAGGAGCTGTAGCTTTTTCCCTTGTTGATTTATTGAGCCATGAAGAATTCAAACAAAATAAGGACATCTTTATGACAACTTGTCTGGCTCTTATCTTCTTTACAGTATTTGTTCAGGTCAGAATTTGTTTTGTTGTTGTTCTGTTTTGAATGTTATCAGAAAATGGAATTTTGAAACAGAAGTGATTTAGATAAGTACTTTATAACTGATTTTGTTTAGAAGATCAAATTGTATTTTGATTAAAATACATGTGTATTTAAAAGAGGAAATATTAAAAAAAATTATAATACACCAGTGTAGCTTATATTGAATTTCTGTTTTAGGGTATATCTATCAAGCCATTGGTCAGATTATTACAAATCAAACTACAGGAGGAACAGGATTTAAAGCTTGTTGAAGAAATCAACACACATGTAAGTCTGAAAATATTAGCTGTATGTGGCATTTATAGGCAATGTTAATTTAGAAATTTTCACTTGACATGTAAGTCGGGATGTGTTTATCTGAGCAAGTCTTGTCACATGTTCTGTTTCTGGAAATGTTTACCAGTGAAAGTTTGTCACATGTAAATCTGGAAATGATTTCTTTATAAGTTATGATTACATGAAACTCAGGACATACTGTAAACCGATTTTTATTTGAGAAATATCCGCCAGTTTTGTGACCTTCTTTTCCTCGCAAATATTTCTTGCCACTGCAAACCATTTATTTTTTGTGCATTTATGTACGTCATTGTTACATACCTTAATCTGTGTCATATTTAAAGTCATGAAATATTCACTGTTTGTATGCATACTTTTAAATATTAACATTATAGGAAGTGTTTTATACAGTGAAACATATTTGTTATGTATATACACAAAGAGTGGTTTCATTTAAGTTTAAGATCATTGACAGTCAGAGTCTGTTGTTGTTTCAGGTCATTGATCATGTGATGGCAGGAATCGAAGAAATCCTCGGAGAACATGGAGAAAATTATTTCAGAGTATGTATTTCTACCAAATCTCTATACTTCATATGTAAAGATATGGTAAACAATGGAAAAGAAATGTACACGTGCATCTCCATTAAGTCACAGTAGCAAGGGGGGACATGATTGTGAACTTAACTACATATGAAGCATAGTTTATAATTTCTGTTGATCCATATACAGTCAACTTTGGTATCTCAAACTTCATTGTCTCAAATATCATGAATATTTTGAAGTGTGTTTTAAGTCCTTATTTTAACCTCGATATCTTGAATCCCCAGTTATCTTAGTTTTTTTTTTTTTTTTCCCAAGAAAATGGGATTTAACCGTACATGAAATTTCTCTACTTGGGCTGATGATTTGATGACCATTAATTTTGAAAGCTAATATTAGTCCAAGAATATATACACTGTTATATGTATCTTCACCTTGTCTTTTTTAGGAAATAATTGAGTATTACAACAGGAAGTTCTTTAAGGTGTGGCTGATGAAGGAACCGGTCAGTATGGATGAGCAGATCATGTCCTGCTTTGAGGAAATTGCTCTACAGTAGGTGTATTCACTTTTATCATCTTAATGATGTGCTTAATAGAATACAATACCAGAAATCCTGGAAGAAAAGTGGAGAAATTCAAAATTAATGTATTAAGTGTTTGTTTTTTTTAAACTGAAAATATTCATTAACATTTTTTTTTTATTTTTCATACCTGTATAACATGGTTTTCTCTTTAGGCAACACTTTGAGAACTTACAAGGTAGTGCAATGATAAATTCCAAATATGGCAATCTTGATTTTCCATGGCTTCATCAGGAGGAGAGCAATGATGCCGAGTAAGTAACATTTCTAGTATAGAAGCACTATAACGTTCTGAAATATCTAAAGAACCTATAAAGCACTAATGAAGAGCAGAAATGAGTAATATTTCAAACAAGAGATAGAGATTTACTGGGTAATTGTCCCATGAAATGGTGTCCTGTATGAGAATCTGTTTTATATAGTAAATTATGGAATTTTAAAACTCTAAAATTTTTGGACAGGATATACATGAGTGAGTAAAATATAGACATCCATCCTTTAAACTCATGAACAGTCAATAAAAAGTGTCTCATTGAATTGCAGTAATTTGTAGTCATTGATTTGAACAAATAATGATGGATGTTGTTCCTTCCTCCCCTTATCATTCAATAGTCTAAGATCGGTGGATCAAACCCCTTCATCAGTGTGTTTATAATACAGATATGAACAGTCTAATCAGTAATGTCTAATGTTCCTCGTACAACTTTAAGATTTACAACTACTAAATACCTCCAAATAATTGGATTGTTGAATGTTTTTCCTGTAGTTTCTGTTAGAAAATACCTTGAATACAATATAATAATTTAGGAGAACTTTTAATAAATCTTTTTACTCTGTAAAAACTTTCAAGACATCTCTCCATAACAACTGTCTATTGCATTCCATCTGATCAAGGGATGCTTATTTTTATACCTTTACCTTTGGAGGAATGTTTAGACTCATATATCCAGGTATTGTATACTATACTGGGAGAATATTTGATTGACCTGTCCTGATATTTAATACTCTAACTATACTGGGAGAATATTTTGTTTCACCTGTCCTGGTATTTAATACTCTAACTATACTGGGGGAATATTTTGATTGACCTGTCCTGGTATTTAATCCTCTAACTATACTGGGAGAATATTTTGATTGACCTGTCCTGGTATTTAATACTCTAACTATACTGGGAGAATATTTTGTTTCACCTGTCCTGGTATTTAATACTCTAACTATACTGGGGGAATATTTTGATTGACCTGTCCTGGTATTTAATCCTCTAACTATACTGGGAGAATATTTTGATTGACCTGTCCTGGTATTTAATACTCTAACTATACTGGGAGAATATTTTGATTGACCTGTCCTGGTATTTAATACTCTAACTATACTGGGAGAATACTTGATTGACCTGTCCTGGTATTTAATACTCTAACTATACTGGGAGAATATTTTGATTGACCTGTCCTGGTATTTAATACTCTAACTATACGGGGAGAATATTTTGATTGACCTGTCCTGGTATTTAATACTCTAACTATACTGGGAGAATATTTTGATTGACCTGTCCTGGTATTTAATACTCTAACTATACGGGGAGAATATTTTGATTGACCTGTCCTGGTATTTAATACTCTAACTATACTGGGAGAATATTTTGATTGACCTGTCCTGGTATTTAATACTCTAACTATACTGGGAGAATATTTTGATTCACCTGTCCTGGTATTTAATACTCTAACTATACTGGGAGAATATTTTGATTCACCTGTCCTGGTATTTAATACTCTAACTATACTGGGAGAATATTTTGATTGACCTGTCCTGGTATTTAATACTCTAACTCGTTACTATTAATAACTCGTTACTATAGGGAGGAATCAGAAGGAGAGATCAGTGATGGCTCGGATGACCTGGTACTTCCTGCCGTCACGGTTCGTCAGCCATTAGCTCCAGACAAGCTACCTACTGGCTACTGGGACGAGGAAAATGACAGACTGAAAAATTTCTGTATGCTCTGTCAATTACTTTTATGTTACTTTGCACAGATATATATATACACTGTAGATTACCTAATTTTATAAGCAAGACAACATTTTCATAAATTCTGGATATTATAGTATATAATCTATACTAAAAATATAAACATGAGAATGAAATTTTCATGAGCAGAACATCTGGCCTAATTACGCAAAAATAAAGTTCTTGCAATAAAAAAATGATTAACAGTAGTGATTTACAAGTTGTTCTTAAAAATTAAAAAATATATTTAAAATTTAAAGGTGATTGAAGTTTAATATTATCTTTAAAACCCTGTTATAACAAGAGGAGATATTTTTTGAATTTGTTTCTTTGGTATCATACAGTGGAGAGTAAGAGGAAGCAGCCAGGAATGAAGAGGAAATCAATCGTCCCCGCCTTCCTGAGAAAACCAGAAATTTCCCAGGATCCCACAGCACAGGAACTCAAAAATATATTTACGCCATCTTATAGAGATGTATGTAGAACTTTCATTCAGGGATATCTCCTGTAAAGTTGAACTTAACAAGGTTCGCTCCTGAGCTTTTGAGCAGATTTTTATTTTAACCTATATTTAAAAAAATCTGCGTAGTGTTTTAATTCTTACAATAAATTTGGATTCTACAATGCCAAATAAACTATATTCAGTTAAAACTCCATGATTAAATTCCATACCAAAAGCATTAACTGAGGAACTATATTTTGTGGCGGAAGGTTTTCTAGAAGAAAATGATCAGTTTTTCTCTTTCGAAGTATTTAAAGTATGTTAAGTTTGGATTCCTATTTTTACATGCAGTCTGCACACAGAATTATTTTGAGCAGTGAACTGTTTTATACTGGTCCTAAATTATATATTTAATAAACTGTCATGAATTCAATCATCATATTTGATAAATAAATCAAAAAAATAGCCCTAATTTAAGCTCGAAATTAGCACTATTTTAGTAATATCTAAAAATTAACATCACAGACCCCCACTTTTAACTTTCTTTTCTGAATATACAAGATACTTTTAACCATTCTTCTTAAATTCAGTAAAATGTCATTACTTTTAAATGAGTTTTTTGCTTGTTAAATTTGTAATGCTAGCAAAATGAAATTTTTTGAGTGCAAAAAGGTCAAATTATTGAACCTGCGGAGTAATTTAAAAAAAATTTTCGTTGTCAAAAATTTTAATGGGTCTATTCAAGATGAAATAAAACTGTGTTTGTTCCCATAACTTATTTGAATAAAAAATATCGGAGGAAAAACTTAAAAAACTGATTTATGTGTAAGACGTTTTTACAGTGCAAAAAGGTCAAACTAAATGCTCTGTAGCGCCAAAGGAAGCGCATTGACCCCAATTTTTTGTTTTGATTTTTAATTAAGCTATGTGTATAAATTCTAAAAATATACTTCATAAAAAATTCTCATTACTTTTGATGTCAGGATCCAACCTCCTTAAGCCCATGGTCATTTCTGATTATATAAAGGTGGCCTTAGCAAAAACTAATTGAAGTGCAAACCATTCTTACAAAAACAACAAAAATCAAAGATTTGAAAAAATAATACACATATTAATATTGCTTTGACTGTATCCTTGTAGGTACAACACAGAAAACTTGATAAAAATTTGAAAGATGATAGTTCAACGAATTTATTACGATATCTACAAGATAAACAATTCAGAAATAGAAGAATGTCTCGAGCAGTATTCAAAGGCTCTAAATCCAATAGTCCATTTGGTTCTAATAAAGCTTTACACCATCGTGGAGTCGTGGAGAATTACAAACGCAGACTCAGCTTAGCTGTACCAGAACGGCCAAAGTTCGTGAGAGGACGCTCCCCCTCAGATGTGACAAATTTACGTGGTGTAAATTTAGATAATTTTATTGATGGAAACTCTTTACTTCCTGATCCCCGATTAAGACCGATCAAATTGGAAGATAATCCTGACAAGCATTATATTAAAAATGAAACACACCGAAAGAGTCCCGATCACATTCACGAAGAGAATGAGAAACCTCTGAAACGGTACGATAAAGGTAGCCCTAAAGGTGAGAAAGCACATAAACGACCATTACTCTCACAGACAAAATCTATTTTTACTTCCATCTCGGAGGAGGATCACACTGAAGAGGAGGAGGAGGGAGAGAATGTACAGAGTAAGGTCACGGAAAGACTAAATGGAGGTCAAGGTCACTCAGGAAGTGACCCTGACCTATTACAAAGACATGATAGTTCTGGACAACACACTAGTGGTATCAGGAAATCCTCGTACAATAAAGCAATGAGTGATCCAACCAGTGAAACAGTCGAGCTTAAAAGTTATAAGAAAAAGGATCAGTAACTCCTGCCATTCATTGTTGTAGCTCATCAGAGCCATTTTTTTCTCTAACCATTGTTAGCCCATGAGAGTGATTAAGATTTTATTTTTCTGATCAGTTTGTCTCTTTGTTATACTTTCACATAAAGGATACTACATACCTTATGAAATTAGCCGTATAATCTATCTTATGTCAGATGCCAGACTTTGCCAGTAGTCTTGATAACACATGCTAAAGATTTTAACAAAGGTTTTCTTTATTGCTTTCATAATACAAGCAATTATATGTTATACAACTACATGTATCTACATACAGGCTATGAAGGGGTTACATCTAGGTGGTATATTAACTCTGTGACCAATGAGAGGTCACATACAAAGCTGTTTGACATTATACTGATCTTCCTAGTCTAATGGCCTAGCAGTGTGTGAAAAAGTAAGAATTTTTAATATCTTATTGTTTGAATAAGGTTTCCTGAATCAACGTTACCTGAAGCCAAGAATGCTCCACAGTATATTTGTTTAGTTCATTCCAATTCTCAGCATTCTTGTTTTCAGTGTAATTGTCATCAGGTGAGCATTATGTCCCCTGACTTCCTGTTGATCTTATAACTATAGATAAGTACTGTTATATAGGATTACTCTTAGTTGTAATGATACTGATTTGTGCATTAATTCACCCAGCTTTGTTTTCACATGTGCTTATTTTCCTGCATTTTTTACTCATATGAATATTATTTTTATCAAATAAAGAGATTGTTTAATTAGTTGTTTTTCTGGATTATGTCTCACAAAAACATTTGTAATTATCCTTATAAATCTGAACATAAGATCTGAAATATTATATGTGCATAATCTAAATAAATATAGATAATCAAATTCAAGTATGGTCATCATTTTTGTTGACTACTTGTATATCAATCTCTATTAATTTTTGAAATATTGTTAAGGTGCTTTATCTATTTTTGGAGATTGAACTTGTTTTTACATATACAGCTGATGGTTTATTTTTGGTTGAATGAGTGTTTGAATCATGTTGAAATCTAATAATTTAATCTAACTTACTGACATTGCCTGTGTTGTGTTTACACTATTTATTACAATTCTCATGCAGTAAAATAGTTTCAACCTTTACAAGGCTCTTTCATTCTAAACATAGACTGTGATCTACATGTACATTTTTCTAGTAATTTCTTAGAGATATGCTATAATCACTTTGTTAAATTGTACCAGTGGGATTGATATTATTGTATGTTAATTTGTGACATTTTCTTTCTGAAGAAGAAATCCTCTCTATTTACACACTTTATTAAGATTTTTTTCCTTTTTCGTTGAATTGCATGATTACTTGCTAATTGATAGCATTAATTAATTGTAATTTATTATACTGTATCAGTGGAAATTTAAGTGAGACGCGAATTTTTTTAATCCCAAAAAATTTGTATAATTTTTAGTGAGAGATAATTTTCCCAATTTTATAATGTCAAGAGAGATAGCTATAGTAAACGATACAGAATAAATTGCTAGGGATATTTAATTTTAGCGATTTCAGAACCCTCACTAATATTGCCAAAATTTAATCATCACTAAAAAATTCTGCTTATATGGGAGAATGTACAGTTGAACTTCAGTATCTTGAACTCTGATATATCAAATACCATTGATATGTGGAAGTGATTTGAAAATCCCAACTGCTTATTCTTTTAGCATTTTACCCTGGATATCTTGAATCCTCGGATATCTCGGAGTAGTTTCCCGGTCCCTTTTTGAGATAACAAGGTGACTGTAGTTAAATTTTTTTTGCACATGATTATTTATTTATTATTTATGTTTGATTGCTTGAAGTTGAACAATCACCAACTAGCTCTTGATGACTTGATGAGTATACCCATTAAGTGAAAAAATTTTTAATAGTATAATATTAACTAGACATTTTTACACTGTAAGAGTTCAATGAAACATTTTTTGCCATCATTTGAGAGTTTATAACATTATTTTACCCTATGTGCCATGTAGTTAGCTATATTTTTTTAAGTATGATGTAAATGTTTACATATTAATTGGCAATCAGGAGTTACTTCCCCAATATTAGCACTCAGCTACATAGGTAGGCATATTTTCAATAAAAGTGTGGTTTTATACTCAGTGATTTATTAAGATGTGTTTTTTTTCAATAGACAAACTTGTTATATCCAATGACATATTTACAAACCCTAAACTTTTGAAAACTATACAGATGGAGGGAATATATGTGCATTTTTGTAATATACTGTAAACCAATTTTCATTTGTGTGCAAACACGTCTTGGTAAGTTTAAATATGGAATATTTGCTAATCATTGTCACCGTGAACCAGCATGTTGTTTCAGTGACTTGTTAGGAGCTATAAATATGTCACAGGATCACAAAAGATTAAAAAACAGAAAGAAATCTCATTTTACAGTAACTTTGTTTTAAGTAAATTGTAAATCAACAAAAGGGACTTCAGTAAACAGATGAATGCAGAATCAGTGCAGTGATATTTACAATGTTAAAATAATATTATATAACATGACTGTAAAATAGTACATTGTATTTATTTAAATTGTTATAAAAACTTACTTATTGTCTCAGTGTCTTGTTATAAATTTGTTATTAATATATTATTGTGAGTTTTTGTGATACACTGTTGTTGAATTTACATAATATTCAATCCTCTGTATGAGTATTGTATAAACAATGTTAAAAAGGTGATGAACTGGGATTTTTTTCCCCTTAAAATTTGAAAATATTTATTCAACATGTTCATTCAAGCAAGTCTTATTTATTGTGTTGAATTTTTTGAAATTTCATCATATTAATATCCATTTGTTTTGAGCAAACACAGAAGCTTTCATAGAAAAATATTGTCACATTTGATTCCAAAAAAATTTTAGTGTAGAAATTATTTGTATTCTGTATAAATTTGTCATTTGCCATAAACAATCTGCTTCAAGATGCAGTGAATAAAATTGTGTCATTGTCGAGAAGACCTTTTGACACACTCACCAACTTGTTTAAAACATAAGTTTGAAGCATAATATTGAGGTTTGTTGAATAAAATTTTGAAACAAAAATATTGAACCTTACAGTTTTTTAAATATTAATGAAAAATTCTGATGTTTTATTTCATTTGAGCAATAAAACAGGGAATAATTTACCAGGGAAAGAACCAGTGGATCATTGTCCCATTTTGTTGAAGGTTGAGAACTAAAAATAAAAAAGAAAAGAAAAGAAAGCTTAAGAGAGAGTGGGGCACTATGCATTCAACAATTTTTGTTTTTGTCAACTGAAAATATGTATTTGCTGTTAAATCTATAATATATACCACAATTTTTTTTATTTTTTCTGCAAATTTTCCATATTTACCCTATTAATGACAGAATTGTATGAATTTTATTGTTGAAGGTACATAATTCCTTTTCTTTGGGTCCATTAAGTTTAAGAAACATAAAATGTGAATGCATAATGATCAGGGTTCATAATGGTTACATGTAAAAGTTTTAGCTAACTCAGTTTTTTGAGAAATGAAGTGTACAATAAATATGTATATTATTTATAAATCATTATGGGAATGGACTTACTCCAAAAACTTCAACTTATCACTCATCCAGAAAATGTAGATCAGATCTAGCATCTGAAGCAAGTCTAGTACATGTAGTTTTCTACACTAGATGCATCATACGTACTTGCAAGTTTAGTCCACGAAAGGCCTACAGTTACAAGGAATAAACCTGTTCCAAAAAAAACTAACTTGATCATGCACTCATCTAAATGTAGTCAGATCCAAAGCAAGTCTGGTAGCTTTCATCCCTACATGAATCTTCTAATATGCAAGTTTGAGTCAAGATAGGGTTTACAGTAACTTAGGAATGGACCTGCTCCAGAAATGTAAATCTGTTCACTCGTTTGGAAAATGTAGTTTCAATCCAGCATCTGAAGCATGTTGTTAGTGTTCATCCCTAGATGCATCGTCCATGAAAGTTTGGTCCATGTAGGACTTATAATTGTCAATGAGACCTACTCCAAAATCTTAAACCCGTTTTTAGCTCACCTGAGCTGAAAGCTCAAGTGAGTTTTTTTTTTGATCACCCGTTGTCCATCTTCCGTCTGTCCATCCATCTGTAAACTTTTCACATTTTCAACATCTTCTCAAGAACCACTGGGCAAATTTTAAACAAACTTGGTACAAAGCATCCTTGGGTAAAGGGGAGTTTAAATTGTTAAAATGAAGGGCCAAGTCCCTTTCAAAGGGGAGATAATCAAGAAAAGACAAAAATTGGGTGGGGTCATTAAAAATCTTCTTCTCAAGAGCAACAGGGCCAGAAAAGCTGAAACTAATTTGGAAGCATCCTGGGGTAGTGTAGATTCTAAATTGTTCAAATCATGACCCCTGGGGTAGGGCGGGACCACAATAGGGAATTCAAGTTTTACATTGAAACATGTAGTAAAAATCTTTAAAAATCTTCTGATGAAGAACCACTGGGTCAGAAAAGCTGAAACTTATGTGGAAGCATTCTGGGGTAGTGTAGATTCTAAATTGTTAAAATCATGACCCTTGGGGGTAGGGCGGGGCCACAATAGGGAATCCAAGTTTTACATTGAAATATGCAGAAAAAATCTTCAAAGGGAGATAATCAAGAAAAAACAAAAATTGGGTGGGGTCATTAAAAAATCTTCTGATGAAGAACCACTGGGCCAGAAAAGCTGAAACTTATGTAGAAGCATTCTGGGATAGTGTAAATTCTAAATTGTTCAAATCATGACCCCCAGGGGTAGGGCGGGGCCACAATAGGGAATCCAAGTTTTACATTGAAATATGTAGTAAAAATCTTCTTCTCAAGAACCATGGGGCCAGAAAAACTGAAACTTACGTGGAAGCATCCTGGGGTAGTGTAGATTCTAAATTATTAAAATTGTGACCCTCGGGGGTAGGGTGGGGCCACAATCGGGAATCCAAGTTTTACATTGAAATATGCAGAAAAAATCTTCAAAGGGGACATAATCAAGAAAAGACAAAAATTGGGTCATTAAAAAATCTTCTCAAGAACCACGGGGCCAGAAAGGCTGAAACTTATGTGGAAGCATCCTGGGGTAGTGTAGATTCTTATTGTTCAAATCATGACCCTTGGGGGTAGGGCAGGGCCACAAAAGGGAATCCAAGTTTTACATTGAAATATGTAGTAAAAATCTTTAAAAATCTTCTTCTCAAGAACCACTGGGGCAGAAAGGCTGAAACTTATGTGGAAACATCCTGGGGTAGTGTAGATTCTAAATTGTTCAACTCATGACCCTCGGGGGGGGGGGGGGGGGGGGGAGGGCGGGGCCACAATAGGGAATCCAAGTTTTACATTGAAATATGCAGAAAAAAATCTTTAAAAATCTTCTTCTCAAGAACCACAGGACCAGAAAGGCTGAAACTTATGTGGAAGCATCCTGGGGTAGTGTAGATTCTAATTGTTTAAATCATGACCCTTGGGGTAGGGCAGGGCCACAATAAGTACTACAAGGGGGGGGGGGGGGGGAATCAGGTGAAAAACAGCAAGGCCAAAGTTACTCAGGTGAGTGTTGTGGCCCATGGGCCTCTTGTTAAAAACGTTGACCTGTGGCCACTCTTATGGAGAAGCAGCATCTGAAACCGGAATGGTACAATGAAACATACTGGATGCATTATCCAAGAAACTAAGGCCATCATTAAAAATATCTTTGTTTCCCCTAACCCGACCCTAAAATCTGAAGTTGGGTAGGTAGGTAGGTAAATTATTTTTTTTTCTGACAGCAGTTATGAAAATACATTCTAAAAAATTGAATGATATCTTTATAAATAGGAAAGAACAAAAACACTCCTTAATCATGGTACATTTAATTCACGAAATGTTTCAAGAGTGTAGGATTCTAATAAGCTAAAGATATATAATAAGATTGATATGTCGCCAAAGTTTTATAACACGAACTAACCCTCTGTGGCCACATGCTGTAGGTGCCAAATCAGAGTAGAAAAAAAAGCCACCGTTCTGATAAAAATGGATTTTGATGAAATTGTATTTTATAAAGTTAATAAACAATAAAAAAAAATTTGAATGATCTTGTTTATAAAAACTTTTCAGTCGGTGCGATTTAAGTGGGTCAGTCGTGTTAGGGGAAACAAAGGTATTTTTTATTTTGGCCTAATGCACTGTTTACACAAATGCACATTAAATATTTTATTCGCAGTAAATTCATACAAAGTAAAATAATGCAAATTAAATTGCATTCACATGACAGTTTATGTCAAGTTAACCAATGTGCATTAAAATTTCAGTTCTACAGTAAGGCTATTATGATGTCACTTTCAAATCACGTCACCTTGGCAGAACAGATCCATTTGACATGCCATAGTGACTGCATACATTGTTGGAGATTAACTTATTTTTTTTTTTTGTTTTTCACTCAAAAATAGCACATACCTATATCTGACCACTGACATATGGCATACAGGACTTAATTTTGCCACTACTCATGCGTCAGAATTTAATTCATATTAGCTTCTCTTGCATTCAGATGCAGGTAATGCGAAGTAATTTGAATTAAACTAATTCACATTAAACTGTGTGAATTCTGTGAACACAGTTAAAATTTACTTCACAGTGGACTTTTGCGAGAAGCACTGACTTTTACAGTCGATGGCTTACTTTGACATTTAAACCTGCCTTATGTACGGAGGAACGGAATTGATAATAGACAAGAAAACCCTAATAGTGGTTATAGGTATGGTGGTAGGAGCACTAACATGATTTACCGGTATGCAATCAATGCAAGAGATGATGAGAGGCAGAACCACATACCTAAAATTACCTTATTCGTGAGGTTAGTACCCCCTTTCAATCTAATTTTTCTGAAGGAATGAAATAGGGAAGAAAAAACATATCGGAAGAAAAACAAAGCAAGAATTGGTCAATGTGGGAATGGAGGGGTTTGAGGGTAGGGTGGATGACGATCCCTTCATAGACAACGTAATATTTGCTTTGAAATGGCCCATTATCATCGTTTAATTAACTCCTGAGCTTAATGTTTATATCGCAAAAGAGTTTCCGTATAATGTCCTAGTGTAAAAGTAAGTCCTCGTTTGTAAAAGTCAGCGCTTCTCGTAAAAGTCCAGTAATTAATGTTTAATTGGAATTTAACTTAAAGGACATATGCAATGTAGTTTGAACTATATTGTCTTTTTCCCTGGAGTTGAAGAGTTCCGATCCTTAAAGGAATTATGTGCTACATTTTAATGTCTATATATGCTGCTGTACACTTCTTCTAAAATAAGTTTGGATAGACAAAACACCTAGGATATATGTTTAGTAATTTTTGTATATTTTTCTTTGAATTATGCAAGAATTTTCATCAATTGATATCCTTTTAAAACCCTTGGTAGTGCATGCTGATTTTTTTTTATTAGGAACATCTGATGGCACTATAATCCTTAATTAAGAATATCTTGAAAAATTATCAGTAGGTAAGGAACTTTGCATATGTCCTTAAAGTTAAACTCTGTGATCAGGGCATAGAAATCCTCTCCAAAAACTTTAACCTAAGATGCTGATGCCAGGGGTAATTATATAAGCTCCCCCAACTTCATTGACATGCGTTAAAAAAAATATGCTTCTTGTAAAATTTAAACAGATTTTGAAACAAAAACCCTACATGTATTTTTTTCATATTTTTATTAAAAGACATTGTAAATACATGTAATACATAAAATATCCAGGTCAAGGAACATAAAAACATAAAGGTATCAAGCACTAGTCTAATAACGAAAATAAATAATCATATCTTGTTTAAAATCAGGCTAAAAGCAGTTCTCAGCACTAGAAATCCATAATCAAATGTAGCAAGATGTTGACAAGTCCCATCTAAGAGTCATCAGAAAGTCAGTCTTGTAGACAATAGCAGCTACAAATGGACTTTGTCTTTAATTAAGGTCATGCATCAATACAACCAATTTCAATGCCAATTAGGTTTTTTCCTCCTGGCATTCATCAAAGACTAATACCTTTTTCAAGACAGATCTCTATCAACTCTGCATGATTCAGTGTCAACATTTATATGCTTCAATGTTTAATCAACTTATTTCATTACTTAAATACATGATTGTATATATTTACATACAGACACACATACAGACAGACAGATACACACACACTCACACAAAAGGCTATACCGGTATGTGAAATTGTGGCATTACAATTATAAATATTTTACACAAGCAAAACATTTTTTTTTGTTGAGAAACATATCTTGATGGAAATTTTTCACCATCTCAATACAAAATGTCACTAAATCGTTATCAACATAAGACCCAAGGAAGGCTATGCCAACTCATAACTAGATGTAAACATGGAAAAAAAACTTACGTATATTTCCATATCATCCTGGGAGGCATAAAAAGTAAATTTCTAGTACTAACTTAATCTATTACACACCATGACCAGTTTGTCTCCTCAAAGTTTTTTTTGAGTTTTCTTTACACAATAACAACATAATGAAAGACAGCACTGGGTAAATTGATTGTGAGACTCCCTGAGAGTTACGTTACTTCTGAAAAATCTTTAGTTAGCTAGGAACATGTAAATGTGGACTAATTTGGAGATATTCTGTAGTAGTTCTGGGTCTGTGGGTTGTGTCTGGGTTCAGTAATTGTGAGACATTCTGTAGAAGTTCTGGTTCTGTGGGTTGTGTCTGGGTTAAGTAATTGTGAGACATTCTGTTGTAGTTCTGGGTCTGTGGGTTGTGTCTGGGTTCAGTAATTGTGAGACATTCTGTAGTAGTTCTGGTTCTGTGGGTTGTGTCTGGGTTCAGTAAGCGTGAGACATCATGTAGTAGTTCTATGGGTTGTGTCTTGGTTCAGTAATTGTGAGACATTCTGTAGTAGGCTTGGATCTGTGGGTTGTGTCTGGGTTCAGTAATTGTGAGACATTCTGTAGTAGCTTGGGTTTTGCTGGTTGTGTCTGTAGTGGGTCCTCGAGCTCCAAACTTTATTGGCTCCTTGATAATTGTCTTGAGCATAAGGCTGCCACTGGAAATTACCAGTGCTGTAGTTGTTCACAAGGTTGTTCATGAAATTATTCTGAAAGTTGTTCATGAAATTATTCTGAAAGTTGCTCATGTAATTATTCTGAAAGTTGTTCATGTTCTGGTTATAAGACTGACTGTAAGAAGCAGGCTGATACTGGGTTTGATACAGGTCATAGGAAAGGTTGTTTGTATAGCTAACTGACGAGCCTTGGTAGTTGTCAATATAGCACTGAGAAGGCTGGTAGGAATTCGTGTAAGGTGCCCTCTCCCGAAGAGGGGGGTTTGAGTAATGTCCCCTAGAAGAAGGTGGAGTACTGACCATCCCCAGTATCTCTCTCTGTACCTTGTTCAAATCAGCCTGGAGTTTGTCAAAAGATCGCCGCCTGGAGTTTGGAGTTGAGGCATTCGATACACTGAATATTTCAAGTTGCTCCTTCTCCCCCATTGTCACAGGCTTAGTGGGGTCTACAGACTTCCTCTGTCTGTTCAGATTGATGCTGCCATTTGACAGTCTGCGAGTGTTGACAATCGTCCTGGCATTCTCAGCATTCTCTGTTACATTTTCTTTGTTATTATTTACAGAAGACTTCAAACTCACAGTTCTTTGGATCTCCTTTATAGAAAGGTCTGAAGATGTACTTGACACGACAGGTGTAGCCTGGCAGTTTCCATTGACATCAGTCTTTGGTTTGTTTCTGCCTGGCATTTTCTCACTCCATGCATCAGCAATGTGGGTGAGTAACAGGTTAGTGATGTGGCGATGAGCTTTCTGGTCCCAGTGTACACCGTCCTTAGCTCTCAAGTCTAAGCGATTTCTCAAGTGGTAATGTAGGTCAAGAATGTCAAATCCATGTGAGGCAACAACCTGCTTTGCAAAGAAGTTAGCTTCCAGGATATCCAGTCTAAGAGTGCTTTTCATGAATTCCACCTCAGGGACAAGAAAGCCTCCTCTGACGTCTTTAGCTATAGGTAAGGTAGTGTTCCAGATGACCAGAGAGTCCTCAGGAAGACACTGCTTAAACCTGTCAAACAATTTGTTCAAGTTTTCCTTGTATTCATCCACTCCATTTGAGCCATATCTGTTAAAAAAAGTCGGAGCTGCTAACTTCTGATAAAATATTTCAGGATAAATTCAGGTACATTTTATAATTTAATCCATAATATCTTCCTCTTATGCGGAAAAAAATGAGTTTATGCCTCTGAAATTGATTTACTATCTAATGTTTTATATAAAATACATAGAAAACTGTCAAGAACCATATATGCAACCTAAAACCTCTAAAAAAGTAGATCTATTAACCACAAAGTAACACTCAGTTGGAGATGCATGGATTAAAAACAGACCAGAACTTCCTTTAAAAAGTCCACTCTCATTAATATAAATCCATTATGCAACAAATGCTGCCAATCCTACCTGCTAATGTCCCAGAGACAAGAATTCATGATGACAACATCGGGGGACAGTTCACCGGACAGATCTGTCAATATGGATTCCATGTATGTGCTGTAGCAGCGAGTGACAAAGTAGAACCGCAGTAGGTGACAGTCAGTCTGGTATTGCCGAACCTCCCGATAACCTACGCCATTGTTCATGTTCGATTTCTTCCCGCCTTCAATCAAGGTGTCATTCTCAAAGCAAAATTCTCCCTGAAATGAAATGATATATATTGTGAAACATATATACTAGTATGTAATTTATTTCTTAAATTATTCTCTGATACTGTACAGCAGGTTAAAGTCGTGGTTGGAAAAAAATCACGATTTGTTCAATTTGCAGCAAATCATGGTCGTTTAAATTTTTGGAAAGGAAAAAATAATGCAACTAGAAATATGTCCATAGGACATGAATGCCCCACTGAGGGTATATTAGTAAATTAATGCAACATGAAAATTTGTATTAGTGTATGAAATTTGATGAGATAATCTTGAATAGTTTCTTTAAAATTGAAATCTAAAAGGTTGGATATAGGTGATAAATTCTGACCAAATTATGTATAAGTGCATAAGCATACATAAATATATCTTAACTGATTTCTTTAAAACTATTAAGCAAAATTCAAATTTAAGAAAAGTAAGGTCAAGGTCACAGGAAAGTTTAAGGTCAAACATTTTTGATGCAGTTGAATAGTTCTCACAAATACGTATCAGCATATTAAGTTTGGTAAAAATATTTTGAATGGTTTATTTAAAACAGAGCTAAACACTAATTTAAAATAAATGAAGTTAAGGTCAAAGGAAAGGTCAAGGTCAAAAAATTTTGATGCAGTTGAAAAGCTTACATCAGTATACATGTATTAGTATATGAAGTTTGATAAAAATATTATGAATGGTTTCTTTAAAACTGAGTTAAACACAAATTGAGAAAAGTAAGGTCAAGGTCAAATGAAAGGTCAAGGTAAAAAATGTTGATGCAGTTGAATAGCCCTCATCAGCATGTATCAGCATATGAAGTTTGACACTAATTTAAGAAAAGTGAGGTCAAAGGTCAAAGAAAAGGTCAAGGTCAAAAAATGTTGATGTAGTTGAATAGCTCTTATCAGTATGTATCAGCATATGAAGTTAGATAATACTATCCTGAATGGTTTCTTTAAAACTGAGCTAAGCACTAATTTAAGAAAAGTGAGGTCAAAGGAAAGGTAAAGGCCAAAAAATGTTGATGCAGTTGAATAGCTCTTGTCAGTATGTATCAGCATATGAAATTTGATAAAAATATCTTGAATGGTTTCTTTTAAAATTGAGCTAAACACTAATTTTAGAAAAGTGAGGTCAAGGTCAAAGAAAGTCAAGGTCAGAAAATTTTGATGCAGTTGAATAGCTTACATCAGTATGTATCAACATATGAAGTTTGATTACATTGTCTTGGATGGTATCTTTAAAACTGAGCTAAACATTAATTTAGGAAAAGTGAGGTCAAGGTCAAAGGAAATGTCAAGGTCACAAAATGTTGATGCAGTTTTATAGCTCTCATCAATATCTATCAGCACATGAAGTTTGATAAAATTATATTGAGTAGTCTTTTTGAAACTCAGCTTTGAACTGAGCTAAATGCAAAGTGCGATGAAAAGACAGACGGAAGGATGGACAGAAGATGGACATGACAAACACTATATGCCCCGGCCACATCCATGGCGGGGCATTAAAACTTTTTTTCAGTACTTCAAGCATTTTCCTTATGTACTGTGCTGATTCTGAACCCGATTAAATATTAATAACTAAACACCAGACTGATCCTGATTTGAAGTCAAAATGTACGAATTACAATGTTATACATTCAGATAAATTTTCTTTTTCTTTCTTTGTGTTGTTTTTTTTTCTTTCTTTTTAATTCAAATATTTTTGAAATACATATGAGTATATACTTAAGTGATTTATTCAAGTGTTTTTAAGTCTCATCCAACATGTTATAAAAGCCCTTTGGCAATTGTTTGTTTATATGTATGTTTTGAGTAGAGTACCCAAATCTACATCTGTAAAAGTTGTCAGTATCGTAGTCAAACTGTTAATAAAATTGAATTAATGTGTAGTGTTACAGTTTAACAGTTTTTTCCTTACCATGTTTACTACACAAGTGCCTCGTTTAATAACCATTAAAGATAATGACCGAGTGATAAGCACGGGTGAAATTTAACAATGCATGTTTTATAATATGTAATTACATCGCATCTCTACTGGGTGGCAGAGAAATAGTGATTGATGTATACCTACATAATTAGGAAGACAGTCTACATCTCCACTATATTAAGGTCAGACAATACATTCCTCGAATATCTGTTTTGTATTTCTTCGCAATATATAAATAAAATATAGATAATAATCATCATTTTGTGATATCTAAACTGTTTTCAAAATGTCTTTAAAAAGAAATATGCCAAAATTTATGATATTAGCAATTCAAGTGATTTCCTATAGGATTATATAGGAAACATCATCCTCTTAAAATACCTCGAACAAATTTCTGGCAAGGTGCCTCAATTTTTTGTGAGTTAACTTGTAAAAGAAGCAATACTTTAATGACAAATTCTTGGGGAAAATTATATATTATTGAGGAACGTTTCTTCCGACCTAAATCACTGCTTTTCTGTCTGCACGGAAACACAAATAGAGTTTACGAATCTAATCATAGATAACAGTAATATTTCAATTTTTCCTGATAAATTTTTAAAGAATTATTCACTGTATGTTGAATTCGTGGAATATAGCAAATATTAACGAGTTAATTTCCTGCTGTACAGTTCTTTAATTGGCTTTTTTTTTTCTTCAGAAAATCATCTAGGTTTACTGGTAGTTTATACAAAATATGAAATGTTTTTCTTGTATGAGGATATGCTCTATGAAAAGTAAATTTGATTACTACTGTAATTTTACAATAAATGTAAACCTTGGTTCTTAGCTGTCTGGATGTAATATAGTCATTCTTCTGTAACAGAAGTACCAAGTCTTTGTATATAGCTCTCTGATCTACAAATATAAACATGTGCCAAAGTTTAGTCACCAATATATATAAAATACATGGTTACTGTCTTGAAATATAAGCGATATTTGGGCGAGGGTAAGAAAACGTGATAGAGGGCGAGGCTTGCCAAGCCCTCTATCACGTTTTCGACCCGAGCCCAAATATCGCTTATATTTCAAGACAGTCTCCATGTATTTTGTTTATCCCGCAACACATTTTTACATGACCTCCAAAACGAGCTGTTTTCAACCGATTTAGGTACATCTCTGCAGTTGAAACTAAGACGCCATGGCGTAAACATTGCAATATTCATGACGTCACTGTGAACGTTGGAATACGTGCACGAGGCTTTATTAGGGCATTAACCAAATAAAGCTCTGGTTTATTAGGTTACCTTTGTTAGGTCAATACAAGGGGTAGTTGCAGGATAAAACCAATTATCATGTAATGTACCAAAATCTTGTCAGGCCTAAGAAAACAAGCTAAATCAGAAAATTTGTGACTCCCAGGGAAAAAAAGAAAAACGGTAGAAAACCTTAAAAAAAATGCAGAAAAAAATAAAGGTTGACCTTGACCTTTCAGCTTTTGGTCATCAAGTCAACAGGGGTCTTTTTAAGCTACAGAAATCCATGACCTTAAGTTTTATTGCAAAAGCTTACAGGAACTAAAATTAGTAAAAACTATGTATGTGATACATATATATATTTTATATATATATATATATATATATATATATATATATATATATATATATATATATATATATATATATATATGAATTTGAATTTCTGACCTTTGTCTTTGACCTTTTGACCTCAACATCAATTTTTTTTTTCAAGTCATATTGATTGAAAGTATAAAATTTCATTGCAAAATCTCAAAGAGAAGTAATTTTATCACTAAGAAACTCATTTTATGCATGATATAAATTTTTATCCTTGGCCTATAGATATCAAAATAATTAGGGTCTTCTTTAAGTCATTGGCAGTTAATTTATGAATTTCACTGAAAAATGTCAATGAAAACTACAGTTATTATCTGAAAACCATTTGTTGTAAAGTATGAATTCCTGACCTTGACAATTTGGGACCTCAAAATCAATAGGGATCTTTTATAAATACTGAGAGTTAAAACATTTGACTGAAAAAGCTCAAAGAAAACTATAGTTATCATATGGACATTTTTTTTTTTGCAATGTATGAATCTTTGACCTTGCCCTTTTGAACTCAAAATCAATAGGAGTCTTCTTGAAGCCACAGGGAGTTGTGATATAAAATTTCATAGCAAGAGCTCGAAAGCTTTTTCAGATATCATATTGAAACTAATGTGTTACACACAGATGGACAGATAGATGAAGAGACCCAAATTAATATATAGATCTCCCATTTTCAGTGAAAGCAGGGAACAAAAATATGTTTACGATTTCATGCTAATAGAAAATAAGGTCAGTTGGTAAGATTTTGACTGAAGTCTGTTCTCAGTTTATCATCTTGAGGCCTGTTCTGATACTCACTTGAGTCTCCTATGACGACTATAAACCTATTCTTCAGGAGTTTATGAAGGTCCTCCTTCAGAAATATGTCTGTTGTCACTACCATTGTTGACTCTTCTAGTAAAACAAACAAATAATAATTGTAAATGTCAGCACAGTTAAACGAACTGTAAAAAGCACAGACCTAATATGCATTTTGTATATGCTACTGTTTAATTACAACAGCTTTTACTGTAAACAACTTTGTGATTTTTTTTCAGACATCTTCTAGCAAGGATTGCTATAGTGCCCATTAATTTGAGCTAAGAAAATTTGTCATTTTTATTTTTGTGTGTGAATTTTTCACAATTAGATATCAATTTTGAATTTTGTGTCAAGATAGGCTATTTTTTCTGACTCACTCAATTTTTGCTGAAAAATTTACTTTTTAACATTAATAATTTATACTGTCATAGGGCATATGCATGTACTTGTAATGATCCTGGTCTTTATGTAGAAGCATATTGGGGGGAGGGGGGGGGGGGGGGGAGTCAAAAGTTGACCTGATTCATTGGGTAAAAATCCTTTTAGATAAGTACACAAATATTTAGCAAATCAAGATTAATAAAACACAAGCAACAAGAAGATTAGTCAGGGAATTTGTGTCCCCTGCTTAAGGAAAAAAAAAAGGTGAAACATCTGAAAGAAATGCAGATGGAGTAATAAACAAGAGGCCCAGGGGCCACATTGCTCACCTGACCACTTTGGCTACAAAAAAGCTGAGGTATGAATTGAACAAACTTGAATCTACACCTCCTAAGGATGCTTTTGAAGAACTGAACAAACTTGAATCTATATTTCCTAAGGATGCTTTTGAATTAATGAAGTATAATGGCTTTGCTGTTCTGAAGAATATTTTTTTTTTATCTATATATCCTTTATCTTTTGTATAACTATGATCCCCTGTTATGGCCCCTCTATACTCGGGGGGAGGGGTTCTTGATTTGAACAAATTTGAATCTACATTACCTGAGGATGCTTTTATATTATCATGACCAATCACTGCTTTGCTGTTCTTTAGAAGAATTTTAAAGATTTTTTTCTATGTATCCCTATGTAAAACTTTGATCACCCATTGTGGCTCCACCCTACCCCCAGAAGATTTTGAAATGATGCCATTAATTTTTTAAAAATTCTTAATTATCTCCCCTTAGAAGAAGGCGTGGCCCTTCATTTGAACAAATTTGAATCCCCTTTACCCAAGGATACTTTTTGGCAAGTTTGGTTGAAATTGGCCCAGTGGTTGTTGAGAAGAAGATGAAAATGTGAAAAGTTTACGACAAAAACAACGACAGACAATGGACAAATTTCGATCAAAAAAGTTTACTTGAGCCTTAGGCTCAGGTGAGCTAAAAAGGCTGACCTTGACCTTTTAGCTTTGGCATTAAAGTCAATAGGTTTTTTTTAAGTTAAAGAAATTCATGACGTTAAGTTTCATTGCAAAAATTTAAAAGAACTAAAGTTGTCATCTATATGAAAACTATGTATGCAATTTATGAATTTCTAAATTTGGTCTTTGACCTTTTGTCATAAAAAATAAATTATTATAGATTTTTTTTTTTTCAGTTTTATTGATTAAAGGTATAAAACTTTGTTTCAAAACCTTGAACAGAAATAAAGCTATCAAGCTATCACCAGGAAAACTTTTTATGCAAGATATTAATTTTTCTCCTTCAACCTTTTGACCTAAAAAATCAATAGGAGTCTGCTTTAAGTCATTGGGAGTTACATAATTTCATTGCAAAACCTCAAAGGCTTTTTGTCCACATCAATAAAACAAGAGGCCCATGGGCTTTGAGGTACTGATGTGATAATCGTTCCTATATACATTACTTATGTGGCGGTGAGACGGGTTCGATCGCTGGTGGCCAGATAGCTCAGTTGGTAGACAACCTGACTGGAGATTCAGGGGGCCCAGGTTTGAATCCCAGTCTGATCTGTCACATTTTTCTCTTCTCCTATTACATTTGGTGCCATGCCATGCCCTGGAAGTGACAGGTGAAAGGCCTGCCAGTGAAGAGCCTGTTGGTGTTTTCCGGGACCGAAGACCTTTAAGGAGGGAGGATTTCAAATTTTTCAAAAGTTCCTTGGAATTTTTAAGTATCCACATCTGATTTACACCACTTCTCAAATTTATTATTTAATTGCACAGTACTCCTGAAGTTTCTCCTTCACTGCTGTTAATATTTTAGTGAGGAGTAAAGAAAGAGGCTTGGTATCTCTAGAACATTTACTGGAACCCGCTATCTCTGTTTGTAAAGATTTTTATGAAGCCAACTCAGGGTGAAAAAATTGAGTCGATAGACAGGTGACAAAATTTTTTTTTTCCCTAGAAAATTTCAACATCAACGCCAAATTTTCAAAATCTATTTTACAGAATGCATAAAAAAAATTGCTTCCTGGAGGTTAAAAAAAAGTTTTGAGCCGGGCCCTTTTCAGCCAGTCGGTCGGGAGAGGGCAGTCAATTTTTTTAAAGATGGCCTGACATATGATTTTGAATATTTTCCTCCTTTGAAAGGGAGCTATGGGTATAAGTTGGATTACCACTTGTAGAACTAAAATACCAGTTTCTCTAAAATACAATTAAAATAATGAGCCTTACAAAGACAATGTTGTGACCTGCTTTGTCATCTAGGACCAGCACATACTGACCGTGTAGTCCAATTCTTTTTTCACTTCTGAATTATTGAAAACAGAAGGATAGATGGTTTTCATATTGCCCCTCAATGGCTTACTGCGAGATTTTGACATACATCTTATACATTTAATTTAAACAATATTTTATTATGATTAAACATAACTGGATTGGACAGCAGGCACTGCCTATATAAGTCCTCTCCACAATACAGGTCAAGTCATACATGTTACAAGTAAAGATTAATTACATAACATTGAAAAAATATATACATGTGTATATTCTAAAGAGATTTATATATAAAAAAAAAAGAAAAAATAAGTAGGAAAAACAATATAAATGAGCTGATGACACTATATAAGTTTGCATTTAACATATATGACTGATAATTATAATAATACCAGTATAAATGTAAAAAGTTAGTAAGATGTTGGTTCTGCGGTTTGACAAAATTAAAAAAAGAAGAAGAAACAATATCATGCAAATCTCTTTGTGGATGCAATAAATTCTTGAACAATTTTAGATACGACAATATTTTGGTCATGAGTAAGATTATTGTCTCCATTCAAAATAAGTTGTAAGGATATAGGCATTGGTAATTGCAAAGTATTAAAGTTTTGCATAAGGTTTTGCTTTTGTACACAATATTTTGGACATTTCATAAAAAAGTGAAATGATGTTTCAGAGCTATATCCGCATATGTCACAATTTTGATCTTCCCTTAAAAAATGATTAAATAAATCAGCATTTAAATTACTAGCATTATTTTGCAATTGACAATGTAATATATTCATTTTACGATTTCCATAGTTGTAATATTTCTTAGGTTTTAAGCAGTATATATTCTTTATGGCAGTCTTGAATGATGAAAGAGTAGAAAGGTTTCGAATATTAAAGGGTAAATCATTCCAAAGTCTTATAGTTGAAGGAAGGAAACTTTTCATAAATGAAGTCGTTTTGGCTTGAGGAATATGAAATTTAAGATTGTCCTGATTCCTTAAAGGATAAGAATTATGTGGTAAAATGCATTGTTGTAATAAATCTTGCAAATACTGGGGAGCTAATCCATACACTATTTTTTTTCTATTTTCTTCTTATTTCAAGTGTATCCCAGCCAAGATCTTCATAAAGTTTTGATCTTGATGAATTAATCCTTAAGCCTGTTATTGTTCGTGCAGCTGCAACTTGAACATCTTCTAGTAATTTTGCATCTCTATCAGTACAATTATCCCATACAATGTCTGAGTATTCAAGAACAAGACGAATAAAAGCAAAATATATTTTTATCAAAGCATCCCGCTTAAGGGTGTGCTTTAACATTCTTAAGATATTTAATCGATTACAGGCTTTGGCAGGAATATCAAGTATGTGGGATCCTCAATTACCATTCTGCTGAAATCTTATTCCTAAATGAGTATGTGTTTCAACATTTTGAATAGTAGGCCCATCTTCACCAAATCAAATTTTTGGATGGCATAAGTTTTTCCTGCTAAAATATAAATTAACTGTTTTACTAGTGCCCTGTTCACACGGTGAGTTTAATTCGAATTAAACGTAAGTTACTGCGAATTAAATTTGATCCGCGTTCACGCGGAGAATTTAATGCGAATTAGTTTAATTCGAATTAGTTTACTGTGCATTAAATTACTTCGCATTAATTAGCTCCGTGTGAACGCTAAGCGAAGCTAATTCAAAATAAATTTTGACGCATGTGTAAGGGCAGAATTAAGTCATAGGCCACATGTCGATGGTCAAATATAGGTACCTGTGCTATTTTTGAGTTGAAAACAAAGGAAAATTATTTTAATCACTTAAATGTGTACAGACACTATGACATTATGTCAAATGTATCTGCTCCGCACAATATGACGTGATTTGTAAATGACGTCATAATAGCCTTACAGAATAGCCTTGTTGTAGAAGTAAAAATATAACTCGCATTAGTTTACTTCGCATTAGCTGTTGTGTGAACGCAATTTAATTCGCATTAGTTTAATTCGCATCATTTTACTTCGCATTAATTTACTGCGAATTAAACTCTCCGTGTGAACAGGGCATAGGATTGAATCTTATACATATAATCTATTCTGAAGTGTCAAGGTCTTCTTTTTCATATCTGGCCTATGGCCTTGCATGATCTTCCACAGAATTCATAATATTTATGAAATTATGATATCAGTTGAGAGATTGGGGTTCCCTAAATTTTAGTGATTTAAGGTATTAACTATATTTATTTTATGTCACCAGAAATAACATGCCCAGCAGAAGAAGAACATGAACACATTGGAGGATTATGTTTCAGATGCTCAATATCCAGGCCCTGTAAAGTTTTCTTATAGGCCCTAATTAATAATGTTTATCAAAAGCTGTTATATAAAAATGTATCAGATGTATGTTATAATCTCACATTAAGCGATTGAGGGGTTTAATCTAAAGCTAAAAAAAATTCACTTTCTTCATCTTTTGCACATATCCAAAAAGGCCCGTAAAATATTCCATTTCGGTACTTGGTCCCAACCTACAGTATATTATGCGTATCTCTGCTTTTACATGACATCTTGCAATGTTAATGAATTTTTCGTTAAATGGTAATCTCCTTTGAAAAAGACGGTAAAAAGTAGGATGAATGAACTTGGCCAATTTTCTTGAGACTTCCATTGCAGTTTATAATTTTTAATCACCCAGAGTATTTCCATCAGCACGATACACATAATTCAATACTTGTATGAACATTTTTAGATCTTTTAAACAAGAAAAATATACTTTTTCTGTGAACTTACCTAATACTTACACCAATATTCCTTCGATCTTCTGAGTATTCATGTAACGACTGCTTGGTGAGTTGTGTTCCACGTGAATTGATTTGGGCGAGTTTATTGTTGATTATCACAAGGGAGGGTAGGTAATTGTAATCAGAATTTAACTAATTGATGAGGACAAATCAAAAAAAGTCATTTCTAAGAGCTCCTTAAACATTTCAATCAATCATCTATTTGTCTGTTTTTTGAAGTTTTCCATTGATATCTAGATAAATCTTTCTATCTTTTTGTGATATCCTCCCTCGACAAATGGAACAATCTAAAATAAAAACAGAGGGAAATTCAAATGATATCAAGGATTAAGAAAGAAATATTACATGGATTTGGGCTGAATTAGGAGGAAAGTCGTTCATTTTGACAGTAATGTATCACCGAGAATTTATTTGCCGTATATAGCAGTGTCGTTTTGATGATTCACTCAGTGGCGGATCTAGAGAGGGGTGGAGGTGGTGTTAAGGTATTCAATGTATAAAGAAGGAATTTTGAACATTTTCGAATTGTCTAAAACTAGTTAAAAATACATTGCTAGAAAACGATGAAAGTGAAATGAGCCAAATTCACATGACTGATAACAAATAAGAAGCCGATCATTTTGCAGCTGAAAAGTTTTTGAAGTTATCTGCCCTTAATGAAAAGAAGAATTTCTTTTTTATTTTGTCAAAATATCTGTGGTAAATGATTCATTTTATTTCATATTTTAATAAAAAGAGAGTTTACGCATATTTTCACCAAGAGATTTGTATGAAATTCACATTACTTTTTACAATATCTTAATAAAACATGCACTGCCCATAGACGTCAATGTAAAATTTAATGTGCAATTAATTGGACAGTAATAAAAATTTTATAAATTCATTTGGTGGGGTATGTTTATTTCATAACACCTTCAAAATGTTACCATGATTAATCATTTCGAACCATTCACTTATTAGGTACAAAATATGGTCGTTATACATTGAATACCTTAATTTGTATCTATAGAGTATTTAAGGACATGCGCAACGTACCTTACCTACTGATAATTTTTCAAGATATTCTTAATTGTTTAATGCTATTTTTAGAATGATTAATTTACGTATTGTAGACACTCACGTACTGTTATGGGGAGATGATTCGATTAGCATTTCTGAAAATGAAAGTTTATTTTTAAATGTACAATTGTTTATTAAGAGATCTGGTCGTTTTTGAATTTATATATTTAATTCATTTGTACATACTACATCAAGTCAATTTTGTACATGCACAACCTATGTAAGATAATCGTATTGACCTTTGGTTCCAGTGTAGTTTAATTTTTAACATTATTTTGTGTAATTGTTATAACATGGTTGTATGCCAACATGTTTGGTGAATCAATAAATTGAATTGAATTAAAGGAGAGGACGTTCTAAGTTTTAAGAACTTGTGTCCGATCCTTTTGTTGTAATATCTAAACAATAAAATATGTTCAAACCATTCTTAATTTAAGATTATAGTGCCATCAGATGTTCGTAGACAAAAAATCAGCTTGCATTACCAGGGGTTTTGAAAAGATACCAACTGATGAAAATTCTTGTATAATTCAAAGAAAAATATACAAAAATTACTATACATATATTCTAGATGTTATGTTCATGCAAACTTGTTTTAGAAGAAGTGTATAACAGCATATATAGACATTAAAATGTAGCACACATTTCCTTTAAGTATCGGAACACTTCAACTCCAGGGGAAAAGACAATAAAGTTCAAACTACGTTGCGTATGTCCTTAAGGGGAGCTCACCCGCCCCCCCCCCCCTCAAACTGTCAAAGTTAGCGTAAATCATACAAAGTTTCATCGAGGAAATGTAAACAAAAAAGAAAGAAAGAAAAAAGTCTACTCGGCCGGTAGTCCTCATTTTTACCCTACAAAATCTCTAGATAGAATCCAGACCCCCTGTCTACTTTTTGCCCCCCCCCCCTTCAATTCCTGGATCCGCGCCTATGTATAATTAAATTTCTTTTAAATAAATAGAGGATATTCAATGTTAAATGCAGCTGGATATGGAATTCATTTTACAAGTGGGACAGGATTTTTTGATATTTTCACGAGTGTGAAGCACGGATGAAAATATCAAAAAATCCTGTCTCACGAGTGAAATAAATTCCATATCCAACTACAAAACATTGAATTTTATGTTTATTACATTTTTCCTTGATTTTCTCTTTGCATCTGGCATTTCTTAACACAGTGTCATAGACTGTGACGTCATAGTTGAGCAGTTGAGATGTCATAGCTTAGCAGTTGTGAGATTGAAAACATTGTAACATGGATTTTAGCAACATATTTGGGAAGAAATTGGCAGTTTTAGTCTCTTTAAAAATGGTTTAGTTACTATATATCTCATTACAGGCCAATAATTATTTTTTACTTACTAGATATCCTTTCACACTGTGAGAGAATATCACTTTGGTATCCTTTCACACTGTGAGAGAGTATCACATTTATTCAATAAATAAATCACAGTATTTCACTGTTGAAAATGTAATAAGAAGTCTTATGGGTCTCAATTGAAACAATTAATACATGCATTAATTGAAACATTTTATATATCATTGATATACAGGCCCGTAGAACGCAGTGGGGTGGGGGACCTTTTCTGAGTGTAGTATTTTGCTATAGTTAATTTTCCTTTAGATGCTCGTTGCCCCCCCCCCCCCCCCACTTTTTGTTGCTCAAAGGTCGATCACTGGCAAATTCCAGGATTTGGCATAGTGCAGTTAATATTTTTGTTCAGTTCTGAAGGAAGGGGGGGGGGATGTACAAATTGGTTCGGTTCTTCAAATATGTATAAAGACTATACATTGTACGTGTTCCATTTCACTAAATCAGAGATAGTGCATAATCATATACATCCATTTTAAGTGTACACGTTTTCCTCATTTAATCATGTATTCATCATTAAGATATCTCTGAAATCGTGCTGAAAGTTTTCGATTATCACAACACAAATTCAATTTTATCATAGGAATCAGCAATTTTCATCCGATTCGCCTCGAATTCGTATTGAATCTCCCTTGCCCCACACTTTCAAAAGAATTTCAAATTCCTTGACACACCCTAAATTCTAATTTATATTTTCCTTTTCCCATGACACACTTTAATATTTTATTGTAATTTTTCTTGCCCCATAACACACTTCAAATTCTAATGTACTTTCCCTTTCACCATATGACACACCTCAAATTCTAACGTAATTTTCCTTGACCAATGACACACTTTAAATTCTTATGGAATTTCTCTTGTCCAATGATTCAACTCAAATCAAAGCAAATTTCCCTCTCTCTCTCTCTCTCTCTCTTAAAAATTTTCATTCGTCCATGCAACTTTTTGAACTGATAAAGGACGGATCGAAAGACAATATTAAACGTTATAAAACAAAACGTACAAACACAGTATATAAACGTAACGTTAGATGATAAAATTAAGTTGATGAAACATCTGTGATGAAATTATTGAGTATAACATATTTTTATTAAAAGTTACAAATGCTTTGATCCCTTTTTCGTGGTCTGGTACATGAAAAATATTTCTTTCATTTTCAAATCATGCTGCTAGTGCTTAAATTACAAAAAAATTCTTGGATTTGTTTGAAATCAAGTTATATTCATAAGTGTAAATTTTGAATTTACCGGGTGGCAGTAAGTACAAAATTATACTTTAATTTACAGGGTATTTACCACCGCCCGGTAAATTTAAGTTTTACATTATGACACCGGTCAAAATTTCATATTTTGGCCGAAGTAACGTATTAACTGTGTGCGCATCGGAAGTACTGTAAAGCGAATCGTAACCATTGCAGGTTGAAAATTACGTAATTAAATCCACACAGATAAGGGGATAGGAATTAACATTACATATATACATGTAGTTATTTTACAATATAATATACTTTATACACGCAAAATTACATCAATTTAAACAGAAATTAGCATATACATGTGCATGGCTGGTATTCATGTCAATTCAACCTACAAATATTCATATTCTAAAAATTTCTTTTATAATAGAACATGATTTGAATCTCACCACGTTAAAGATTCAAGAAAATTAGATTAAGTTTAACACACCGGAATTTCAATAATCTTGAAATGTTCTGTGTGATGAACAGGACAAAAATTGCACTATCGAGTCACAAATAAAACAAAGGTGGATAAAAAGGAGTTCCGAGGGTTCCAATTGGAAGCGGAAACCTTCCGCTATAAGGCAACACAGGGAAGCGTTCGGGTGGAATACTTGGATCACCGGCGAGTTGGGATTTCCATTTATTGCGTCTGTTTTGAAACCACACTTTGACTTGAGTTTCCGTTAGATTAAGAGTGGAAGCTATTTCAGAACGCTCAGTGCTTGACAAATAACGCTTGGCGTCAAAAGCAGACTCTAAGCAGAAAATCTGATGGCGTGAAAACACAGTCCTCGTTTTCTTCCGAGTCTTTAAGCATCCGGAATCTTCATGGTTTGGATTTATTTTCACATTTAGAGTCCTTTTCTCACTTTCTGCTTCCTCTGATGATGTTTGGATTACGGTGTTAATGTGTTTACATTTTACAGCTTTTCCTTTTGGGAAGTTTGTATCCGTGTTAGTCGGGCCATCGTCCAGATCTTCCAAAAAAAAGTTCAACAAATAAAAATGTGTTACAATAATTAAGGTTTAAATCTGTATTAAAACTTATTTAGATTGAATCTTTTATGGTAACAAATTATAGAAAATATTAAAATTTAAATTTTATTCTAAATTGATATTACTATTTCTGTTAAATAATCATATTTCATTAAGAATATTCTTTGTATAAGATATTTTCTCTCCTGATTAATTACCTTTGATGTCATCGTTGAATTCTCCATCAGCATCGTTAGAATGTCGATGATGTGTTTTCTCACATATCGAGGTTTTTCTTGGACGTTCCTGCAGTTTTGAATCGCTTGTAGACAGAAGACTTTCAATGGAAAAAGAAGAAGATAATCTTTCTTTTTCTGTCATAGTTAAATCTTAATTTAAAACCATTATCAAAAAACCTGAGTTAGCTCCCGAGAATTTTTTAAAAGTGTTAGATTTATGACTAGGTGGTGTGAAATAAATATTTCGGGAGTTAAACTACCCGTGACGTCATGTGGATGGGTTGGAGTGACCGAGGTCAGAGAATTGTCATTAAAACCTTCATTTTCCTTTATTTCTTTAAAGCAGAGTCAAGCGACCGGGTACGGGGATAAACGGTTATAATTAACAAGAGCTGGACAAAGTGATTTTAAAACTGATAAGTGTAACGATCAATTTGTAATACTAACCGCGACACAGAGGCCCTCAATTGCTCACTTATCAGTTATCGTTTCTCGGGGCGGTCTTTCTTTAATGGTCCATACAGAAGGGTAGCCGCTGCTGACCAGTTTAGCTGATGGGGCGTGTAACAAACCCTCCCAAATCCCCCTCCAAACACAGGGTTTGTCAGTATCCAGCTCCATGATGGATGAGAGCGCATCGCGCGAGCAGCGTATTAGCGTGATCGCACATTGCGTGAGACTCGCGGGAGGACCTGTGATCTATAATTCCCTAATTTAACATTTCTTCAGCGCCATATGGTGCTGCGAACTTTCTTGATTATCTGTCTGGCGGAAATAATGGGAGGAGTGGGTTCTTACTTTTGATTCTCTTTGACTTTATGAAAATAACTGATTGTTAAATAAATCCCGTTTGGGAAATATGAAAGGAAAAATATTTACCCCCCCCCCCCCGCAACATATATTTTTCTTAATTTTAAGTTTGTTTAAAGAAAAATTTTCGTAATAATATTGTTGAATCATGAAATATAGAATTTTAGACATGTAAGAAAAATAATCACAATATAATTTGATTACTATACATATGTCTTTCGGAATTCAAATGTACTTGTGCAATTCAAAGGTCCACACCATTATGAAATAAATAGACTCCTATCGACCCGTTAATGTGTGACTGTACTCATAAAAATTTCTGAGATTCCGGAACCTGGAATATATTTGATGTAACGTTCATCGTATCTCATCATCTTCAGCAAACACTTGGTGTTACTTTGTTAACGACAACAAATTAGAGAGAGTGCTTGTTAATGACATTCCGTGGGTCGGTTAAAGGAGAGGAGGGGGGCTGGCCCTGTGATCAGGGTCCGAGATGTACAAAAGGTCCCCTGATATGATCTCAGCTAGGACAAACTGACCACGGAGGACATTAAGATAGATTGTCCGACAAGACTGGACAATGGATTCAATTCCACAAAAATAACATTCAATTTACAATAAGCTTTCTACAGATATACCAGCGTCACGTTTCGGTAGAGTTTGTCTCCGTTAAGTAGGATTTTTATTAAAGCAGAATAACAGTTTGAAATTACGGATATAAAATTTTAAGTTAGATTTAATTATGGGAGGGAAACAAGACTTAATCAAAATTTTGCAATTGTAAATGAAAATAAGGACATTAATATGAAAATGTTGGCTTTTTAAGTCAATAAATGTATGCACGTATTCTTTAATTTTCCTTTATGTTGGTTTATTTGCATGGATTTTTTTTTTCTTTTCAGCAGTCGGCAAGCAAGAAAATAAATAATTTAATTAAAACTGTTCCCAAACAAAATAAGTCATAATAATAAAAATAATAGATATCAATCTTTGTAACTTTTAGTAATTTATATAAATTCTATTGAACATGAAAAAGACATTTTGGGTGGGACTACTCCTCGACTAAGCATAAAAAAGTCTTTAGACGTAATTTTTGAGAGGACACATCCATAAAGTAGCTGTTTTCTATAGTATACTTAAGACAAAATTGGGGGGGGGGGGGGAGCACAGCCCCGGTGGTCCCCACCCTCACTCCACCGGTTCCTACTGCCATTCATTTTCGGTATTTTTTTTTATGGTTTCTTGAATCTTCTTCACAGGTAATAAATAAATATATCGAAAGTACGGATAAAAACTAACACTAGTACTCACTTCATCCTCCAAAAAAAAAAAAAATTAAAAAAGAAAAAAATTATATCAGAGCCTAATAACATGTATTGAAGAAAAATTTAATTCTTTCATGTAGATAGGTATTTTCAAGCTATCAAAGCAAATGATGAACAGATTAAATACGTTCGAAGTAGTTTGATTTAACATATATGTAGATCCGCCCCTTTTTTCCGGAATCAAGCATTCCGTCCGGTTCAAATATTATAATTTTATTTTAACTGACATTACATGATATAAAATATTCAGTATTTTGCATATCTCTCTTATCAAACTATATATCGAAAGTGAAATAAATAGTTTTCATGCTCAAAATACAAACATTTAATATTTTTACAAGAATAAGTACAACTTCCTGTTTCTGGATGACGTCACAACAGAGTGAATGTGCGAGTGAATGAAAAGGTCTCTGATTCAGCTTCACTCGGTCATCGGTGAAGAAGAATGACCTCTATGGAAACAAAAATGGAAACATGTAGTTCCATTGACGATAGATCTGATCGCAAACTGGTAGGTTTGGCTGGAAAAATATTTGATGGAATTGTAAGAATCAGGTCGCCATTTTTTGTTGTTTGACAACACCTCAATATCATTCAACAAATTGATATGGGCTCGGTATTTGTGTGTTTTATGTTTGTCAAAATGCAAATATTGCAAAACGGTCGCTTTCAAACTTTTCCAGATATTTTATGGTGATGTTTTCTTTCAAAGATTGATGTGAATGTTCATAACATCTTTGTTAGCAGGTAGAATCTTGTATACAAAGAAGAAATCAAAACCTTCCTTATTTACAACGTAGAAAGAGTGAACTGAATGTCTTAACATTGTCCAAATATTTTTATGGATAAAATTAAGTATATATCAAAGTAAAATGTTTTCCTTAAAAAATGAAATGTTGTCAGAAGACCAGTTGGATATGTAATTAGCAAGTTATTTGAAAGTAACCTAAGATACTCCCTGACTATTTTTCAGTATAAATATGAAATAAACTTATAAAATAATATAATTTTGTACGATTCTTGGTTACTTAAAGAAACTGGTCTTTTTATTTACAGTTTGTCACTGGCCCATTCAAATGTTTTATGAAGGATGAATATGAACTCAGATTTCCGATTCAGTAGATCTTCTTGCTTTATACATATATTAATTAGCATGTGCTACAATGCGTATATTACTTATTCATCAAAATAGTTTTAAACTGATATAGATACCTTTTAAAAACTTATCTGGGAAATGCCCTGAAAAATTGAAAGATTCTGTATTTGTTTCCAATATTAAACGGCTATGCATATCTCTCATTTTTATTTATTTTTTTTATTGAAAAGTCACAAATTCAGACTTGTCGAAATTTTCAAATCACTGTCGGACATTTGGTCTGACAAAGTCAAATGTTCTGTCGGACTGGATGAACCAGATACGTGTACCTTATTTTGACGCTGAGAAAGGAAAATAAATAACTGCACCAAAATGTCCTTTATTATTTTCAACAGCCTTTAGTCTCACAAGTTTCTTTTGGGAAAGAGAATCTTAAATCAGAGACATAAATGACACTTTTTATGTCTTGCTGTAACAAATTTAATCGACCACTGTTACCACGCTGCTGTCTCTTTTATTTTTTGTGACCTTCACCTGCACACCCCGATCCCGATCTTTTTAAAATTTTCGTCACGCTTGATCTTTTCAAACAGTTATTTGGACCGACGTTTTCTTGAAAGTTATTGGTCCAGACAAATTTTTACCAGTCTTGCCGACAGGACCGACAGATCTCGACAAGTCTGAAATTGAATCAATATCTGGTCTGAGTACTTCAGATAATGGAGATATTTTTTTATAAAATGATTGTGTTGAAATGACTCTAATGCTACAGAATGATAAACATTAATCTGTGGGTGATCTGTATTATATTTATAAGAGATACCTGTATCACACTAATTTGTTAATTTACAGGATACTGAAACCCAAATCAAGTCTTTACAGCCTGCCCCTCAGAAGAATTCAGAGCAGTACTTAAAAGACAGAGACAGTTGTACCAAATATTTTGACAACTGGACTGAATATGACCAAATCACATTTGTCGAACATTTGTTATCACGCATGTGTCATTATCAACATGGACAAATAAACAGTTATTTAAAACCCATGTTACAGAGAGATTTCATCTCAGCTCTCCCAGGTATGTTTTCATTACCATGATTACTGTGAACAAAGCTTAGAGTGTCCGATACACTATCTGCTATATATTGATTACCAATATACTTGAAATATTTATTGACTTATCTCACAACAGAAGAAGGCTGACTTTGAGTTGATATTGTTATATTAAGTCAGATGCATGTCACAGCTTAGTATATGAAGTCTTCAGGAATAGTATGGTTGTAAATGTATTCTATATTAAAGAGAGTCAAGAACTTGCAAGGCAAATGTATATTTATTCCCTCAACATGCTCAAAATAGAGAATGGCTCAGATGAATTATACACATACTAATTCTTGTTCCTTTACAAATCAGCAAAGGGTCTTGACCATATAGCAGAAAACATTCTGTCCTACTTGGATGCCAAGTCCTTGTGTGCAGCGGAGGGAGTGTGTAAGGAATGGTATCGCGTGATCTCGGAGGGCATGTTATGGAAGAAACTCATTGAAAGGATGGTACGAACAGACACTTTATGGAGAGGGCTAGCTGAGAGAAGGGGATGGTGGGTATTAACATTGAAAAACACAAAACTATCTAGGAAGTAGTTATTCTGATCCATCTTGTAATGAAGTATTTATTCACATTTAAGTACATTAAATAATTAAAAGTATAATTTAATTATAAATGTCAGATTGAACCAGGATGGTATAGATCAGGTTGCCTGAAGGCCAGAAAAAATTGTCAGCCAGTTTTTCTGAGTGAGAGAAGATATTAATGCCATTAACCATGTGATACAGTTTATAATCATATGAAAAGTAATCCCAATACTGTATGTGTACTTAAAAAAGCGGGCTTCATATTTTAGCAGCTTTGGCGCAAACAGCGATGCACTAATTCATGAATACTGCTAAGAAATCATAAATACGTATATAGCACAGACATGTATAGCGCTAACTCATGATTTCACCAACAACTCCATACCCAGTGATTGCGCAAAATTTTGAATACGCCAATATATGTACATGTACAGTATCTACATTCAATTTATTATTGTTTTAAAGAAGAGGCTATGAACATACAAATTACCGTATTCTGAGAGACTGTAGGCAATTTGGTACATTTCACTTTTGTCTGATATGGAAAAAACTCCCAGATTCATAACTGGTTTTCTTTATTTTTCATTGAAAATGACAGTTTAATATATGATTTTTTTTGTCTTGTTTACCTACAGATTTTGCCCTGAAACACCTTTATTTGACCAAGTTATAAAGCGTCATTAAAGGAATTTGTATCTCAAATTTTAGAAATCTATAGACTCCTTTCATTTACTAGTTCTTGACCTTAAGTGATATCATTGACCTGATTAAGGGTCTAGAAAATTGGTTTTTTAAGTAGGAAATGGTGAAATCGAAAGTGCATTTGATAGTAGAATCAAACCACAGTCAGATTCCAGAAAAGTTCATAGAAATTCTTACACGATACAGTCCTCAAGAGTTTTTCCCACACACAAAATTACTTGCATTTGTGAGTTATTTGCAACTCTGCAAAGTTAAAGAAACATTTTGTTTGTTGTAATGTACAGGAAAAATTCTTCCCCAGGGGAATGTATTTATAGATAACTTTCATTTGTATTACAGGGGAGTGTATTTATTCAAAGGAAAAGCAGGGGACACGCCTACAGACCACAAATTTTACAGAAATTTATATCCACAGATTATTGAAGATATAGAGGTGAGTCTTGAGAATAATTAACATTGAATCATACAATTTACATCATTTAACGTTGGCTAAGATATGTCAAAGTATGCTTAAAAATATCTTAAAAGAAAACCACTGAATGTTTGTTTATGTTATGATTTTACTTGACTTTACAGAGGATAGAGACAAACTGGAGGACGGGGCGCCACACCCTCCAGAGAATTCACTGTAGGAGTGAGACAAGTAAAGGGGTCTACTGTCTACAGTACGATGAGACTCGCATCATCAGTGGACTGAGGGACAACACAATCAAAGTCTGGAAGTCCAAAATGGTCAGATTTACATCCTTAAACTGTAAACTCTGTAATTTGATCTACTTGTGATATGGTCAGTTTCCTTTATACTGTGACATTTTCCAAAGTAAAATTTACTTTCTACTGATTTATAATTTCTTTGCTTTACAGATGTGGGATCGTAACACGTTAGAATGTGTTCAAGTTTTAACTGGTCATACTGGCTCAGTCCTATGTTTACAGTATGATGATAACATCATTATATCAGGGTCCAGCGACTCCACTGTCAGGTATGTTTACAGTGTAATTATAACATCATTATATCAGGGTCCAGCGACTCCACTGTCAGGTATGCTTACAGTATGATGATAACATCATTATATCAGGGTCCAGCGACTCCACTGTCAAGGTATGTTTACAGTATTATGATAACATCATTATATCAGGGTCCAGCGACTCCACTGTCAGGTATGTTTACAGTATTATGATAACATCATTATATCAGGGTCCAGCGACTCCACTGTCAGGTATGTTTACAGTATTATGATAACATCATTATATCAGGGTCCAGCGACTCCACTGTCAGGTATGTTTACAGTATTATGATAACATCATTATATCAGGGTCCAGCGACTCCACTGTCAGGTATGTTTACAGTATTATGATAACATCATTATATCAGGGTCCAGCGACTCCACTGTCAGGTATGTTTACAGTGTAATTATAACATCATTATATCTATTAGAATGTATTGATTTTTATTGGGAGTTAGTGTATCAGTTTAAGGGATTTTTTTTTTCAGAGTATGGGATGTACATACCGGGGAAATGTTAAACACATTGATCCACCACTGTGAAGCTGTACTACACTTGAGATTCTGTGATGGCATTATGGTTACTTGTTCCAAAGTAAATTTTTTTTATATCTGAACTTTCATTAAACTAAGTTCATACTCTCAAACTATGTGTAAATATCCATTTTCAAATGTACAAGAATATACAGTCAGTGCACTTGGTATGATAATATTTTGTGATGTGTACCTGTAGTATTTGAAGGCCTATTTTAAAAATTATATGAAATGCATTTTATTTGCTCACAAATTAATGAAAAGCATTAATTGATTTTATTTTTTTTAATTCTACTTAATTTTTCTTGATAAAACTAAATGCAGTGTTTATTTTCAGCTGATAAGACTGGTGATAGATGTGTTATGTTGTTTTACAGGATCGAAGTATAGCTGTATGGGACATGCAGTCGCCAACAGAAATAAATCTGCGGCGAGTATTAGTTGGACATCGAGCTGCAGTCAACGTTGTGGACTTTGATGAGAAATACATTGTATCAGCATCAGGGGACAGGACGATCAAGGTGAGGAAACATTTATAGACAGGACAATTAATGTAAGACAACTCTTATAGCCAGGTCAGTCAATTTCAGGTAAGATAATCCAGGTAAGACAACTCTTCATAGTACAAACAAGGTTAGACAACTTGAGAGACTCATGGAAAGTTCAGGTCTTTGTTACTAAAGGAGCTAAGGGATGGAAAATAGAAAAATTGTGTCTGGAAAATGATAAACAGAGAGTGGATTTTTACTAGTATATGCTGTGGAGTCATTTTAATTTTTGGTTGTCAAAATTTGATTGGTTCTGACATGGGGATGTAATTTTGTGGATAACTCATACATACAGAAGATTAATTGAAATGATATGTTTACACTGTTATGGTTAATGGTGACATAAATTCACAAAGTACAGTGACCCACAAAGTCTTTGAACCTTGGTCCTCCCTGATGATTCCTCAGTTATCCTTGTATTTATTGTCTATTTCTTACTGACTTTTTGAATGGTGTGTTATTGCAGGTATGGAGTACATCTACTTGTGAATTTGTACGCACATTAAATGGACACAAGCGGGGCATTGCTTGTCTCCAGTACAGAGATTGTCTAGTAGTCAGTGGCAGCTCAGACAATACTATCAGGTAGTCTTACAATTGTTCATGCTGTATTCAATCCAGTAAGGGTCCTAGACAAAATGTAACATTTCATATAATAAAAAAAAAAATAAATGTTATTAAATATTTCAAGATAAAAAATAAAAAGTTTCAAGGTAAAAATACTGCCAAACTGAAATCAAATTGTATTTTCAGGTTGTGGGACATAGAAAGTGGGGCATGTCTGCGTACATTAGAAGGGCATGAGGAACTTGTACGATGTATCAGATTTGACAACAAACGTATTGTTAGTGGAGCATATGATGGGTATGCATCCAAAAAAAAAAAACATTTAGTAAAAATTTATCTGGATAAAACAGTCACATTTAAGTAGTCATTGTGGATTATAGGAACTTATTATAAGAGGGTATGTCATACTAATAGAAGAAATTGCTATATTTAATTATGGTTGGTTAACCGTCATTGTCTTGTATTTTTGTCAACAGGAAAATTAAAGTATGGGACCTTGCAGCTGCCCTGGATCCTAGAGCACCTGCTGGTAGTTTATGCTTAAGGACTTTAGTGGTATGTTAGTCCTCTTTTTAGTAATGTTAATGTAAAAATAACTCTGTTGAAGTGACATTTCACAGATTGGCAAAATTGTTAGAAATATGATAGAATTTAGCAAATATATGAGTTAGAATGTCTTGTATCTTCAAGTGTAACTTTCTTTCTGGTATTTTTAGGAGCACTCTGGTCGAGTATTCCGCCTACAGTTTGACGAGTTTCAGATTGTCAGTAGTTCTCACGATGATACCATTCTCATTTGGGACTTTTTAAATGTGCCAATAGAAACTACATCAACGTCCAATAACCGCTCTCCAACGCGGACCTACACTTATGTGAATAATTGATCTCAGAGGGTGGTATCCTGCCCTCATTGTGCGTGTGTGTATTGAATGTTAAGGAGGGAGAGATAGGAGACCCCCTGCATTCCAGCATCCCCTCCATAATGAATGTTCATAGTGTGTGTCATCGCTCCATGTGTCTGCTGTTTCAACAAGACTGAATAACTCCCTGTCTCACACAGAATCAAGTAAACGTAAAACACAGTGGAGCATCTCATTTCCATTGTTGTCAGCTTTTTTATGTCTGTTCTATTAAGTTTTCGATTATTTTTTTAAAAGTTCAGTCATATTAATTTTGATTGACAAGGGGAAAAAAGACATAGTTTAATACCAAAAATTGTCAAATATACCAGTATGAATTTGGTTTGTAGCCCTTGTTTATGTATGTGTCCAACTTGCTTTTTCTTGAAAATTATCTTGAACTGAGGCTGAACAATTTCTAGAGAAACAATTTTTGAATCAGGACCAATGTAGCTTTTAGAAGATAATGCAGTTTTCATCATCAGCTTTATTATTTTCAGAAGTAAATGCAAACAATTTATGTATTTTACTGTAATGCAGATTTAAGCATCTTCTCTTGAATTTTGAATGAAAGTGTGGCTTAATGTTCAGGTTTATGTCTGAAATATCTGTTTATATTGATTCTCATAAAATGTAAATAATTTCAAACTAAAATGACAGGTACATTTTCATGTCCATATTACAGAATAAAGATATTTGAATCTCTAGGTTGAAAGAGTTGGTGGTGCTAATATAGCTTTTAAGTGGTGTTCTGTGAAACAAACAAAACAACAACAACCTGTCTATTCCTTTCTAAATTTTGCATACTTTAAATAAACTACCTTTATGAAAAGCACAGGTAAATGCATCAATCGACTACATTTTTTTTCCTTGTTTATAAGGATTTTTATTTTTTACGAAACTCTGTATAGGATTTTATTTAGATATCAGAAAATTAATAAAGAATTTGAAATTAAGAAGTGCTAATGTACAAGAGGTTCTATCATAGAGCAGAGATGTTTGTATGAATATTGTTTGTCCTGGAGATAAATGTATGTATACTATATTTGTGTTCTGCACTACAGATCAGTACATGTGTACTAATCCTATACAGTGTACGTGTACCACTGTGTAGTACAGATTAGTGTATATGTATTACATGTACACTGCAAATTAGTGTTTTTATGTACTTCAGATTTTGTATGTGTACTGCAGATTTTGTATGTGCACTGCAGATTAGTGTATATGTACTGTAGGTATACCAAGGATTAGTATATCTATGAGTATTGAGTACTTCATGCACGGAAAATTGGGTGAAAATCAATGTACAAGTACTACTAGTACATTGGTCATCAATGTGTGAGTACTACTAGTGCACCCAAGATCAGTGTTTGAGTACTACTAGTGTACCAGAGATCAGTGTTTGAGTACTACTAGTGTACCCGAGATCAGTGTTTGAGTACTACCATTGTATAGCAGTGAAGTGTCCGGACGTTTTGTGTACTGAGAGTTTATGCAGTGCTGTGTGTGCCTAGATGTAAATACCTTTGCAATATGCCTAATGATTGTGATGTACTATTTATTCTTAAATTTCAGGGGGATTCATCTGCTCTATTTTTTTTTTCTGTTATATCGATTGAGGAAATCTCAGTTGAAGAAGTAACTTATAAATTCTGTAAAAATACAAAGTTAGCTTTCTAAGTAATGTGTGTCATTATCATGTGATTTAACAGCAAAATTGTACGGTTATTTATCAGTGGTTTTCTCTAATGTTCCCTCATACCAGAAAACAATAAAATTGTTTACTTATTGTTTCAGTTTTTGTTTGTCAGTAATTTAGATAAAAAGTATTGACAGTGACTGGTTGATAAAACATCTGTCATGCTAGGTTATCTGGTCTTTTGTTATTTGTAGGTTAGATAATTATGTTGTATATCTTTGGTTATAGATCAGGAAAGCTGAAATGATGTCATTTGTTTATCATCCATCAGAGTTACTGTGATATCAGAACTACTGATATTTCCTGATGGAACGTGGATGTGTTTTAGCTCACCTGAGCCTGAGGCTATATGTGTGTTTTCCAGATCAATGATTGTATAAATAGATCGATGTTTGTATGAAGGCATGTTTGTAAACTCCTCACATTTCTCTGCTCCTCTCAAGAACCATTAAGCCAATTTCAACCAAACTTGCTACCAAAACATTTGGGTAATGGAAAGTCAATAAAATGGAGGGCTAAACTCTATTTCAGTGGATGATAGGGTGGATTCTTTAAAAATCTTCAATGCAATCTGCTTAAAATCAGACGTTCAAGTTTCAAGCCCAGGGCTTTGGCAAAGGTTCAAAATTTACATGGGAAATATGTTCATATATGAAAAGGTAGGTTCATTACTGCATCCTCTATTTTTTTTAGGTTCAATATAAACACACACGACAAAACTATCAACAAGACTTATGCCCTGTTCACACGGAGGGTTTAATTCAAATTAAACGTAAGTTACTGCAAATTAAATTTGATCCGCATCACACAGAGAATTTAATGCGAATTAATTTAATTCGAATTGGATTACTGCGCATTAAATTACTTCGCATTAGCTCCATGTGAATGCTAATTCGAATTAAATTTTGACGCATGTGTTAGGGCAGAATTTAGTCACAGGCCACATGTCGATGGTCAAATATAGGTCCTTGTGCTATTTTTGACTGGAAAACAAAGGAAAAATATGTTAATCACTAATATGTGTATAGACACTATGACATTTTGTTGTGTATATGCTCTGCACAATGTTACGTGATTTGTAAATGACGTCATAATAGCCTCACTGAATAGCCTTGTTGTAGAAATAAAATTATAATTCGCATTACTTTACTTCGCTGTCATGTGAACGCAATTTAATTTCGCATTAGTTTAATTCATGTCATTTTACTTCGAATTAATTAACTACGAATTAAACTCTCCGTGTGAACAGGGCATAAAATTCCTTTTCTGTCTTTCGTGAAGGTGATGTAACTGAATTCAGAAAAAAAAAACACAATTAATTGTGTAACTAACTTTACAGAATATTTAAGGAATGTTTTTAAGTTTTGTGTGATTTATTGGTGTGTAAATCACACAGACTTGTCACGTAGGCATATTTCATGAAGTGCGCTAGCGCTTCATGAAAAATATGCCTACGTGCAAGTCTGTGTGATTTACACACCAATAAATCACACAAAACTTAAAAACATTCCTAATATTTACATTTTACAAGTTTAAAAGAACCATCGATATACTCAATATTTAAATTTCTTGCTGCCCTATATCGTTACATTTTTATTAACGTCTCTGTAGCCTCATTGTGATGTCACTTTAGCGCGAGTTTCACCGTGTATATTTCTACGCGTGAGTATACACAAAAATGACTTCCAAATCAATTTTACAGTTAGCTTAGTAGAAAAACACAACAGATGTAAATATAATGAATTGGAATAGTCTGAATTAAGAATTATAATGTCATTGTTAATGATCCAGACAGACCTGGCCCCAAGACCATAAACTGAGAACATACTTAAGTCAAAATTTCAAATCGATATAACTTTCGAAATAATTTTGATAATAAAATTTTCATCATATGTTTGAATTGAAGTGTTTTGCACATTAGCAACTTTTTAAGCTAATACATTGAATGAAACTTATTAAAAATCAAAACTTTGACTTGAGTCTGTTATCGGTTTATGGTCTTGGGGCCTGTCCTAGTTAACAAACAGTTATCATGTCACTCTTAATCATATTGTAAATGATCAAGACAGACCTGTGCAAGTTATGAACAACAAGCAGTTATCATGTCACTCTTAATGATCCAGACAGACCTGTGCAAGTTATGAACAACAAGCAGTTATCATGTCACTCTTAATGATCCAGACAGACCTGTCCTAGTTAGGAACAACAAGCAGTTATCATGTCACTCTTAATGATCCAGACAGACCTGTCCTAGTTAGGAACAACAACCAGTTATCATGTCACTGTTAATGATCCAGACAGACCTGTCCAAGTTAGGAACAAGCAGTTATCATGTCACTGTTAATGATCCAGACAGGCATGTCCTAGTTAGGGACAATGAGCAGTTATCATGCCACTCTTAATGATCCAGTCAGACCTGTCCTAGTTAGGAACAGCAAGCAGTTATCATATCAGTTTTAATGATCCAGACAGACCTGTCCTAGTTAGGAACAACAAGCAGTTTAATATATTGTCACTCTCAATGATCTATATAGACCTGTCTTTATTAGGAACAATATAAAATTATGGACTGTTTAGAAGGGAGACATCACAAATTATCAGCTCTAAGTAGGGTTGTCACCCATAGGTGCCTGCCTCCGAGGGTGACAACCCTAGACAGACCTGATAATTTGTGGTGTCTCTCTCCTAAATAATCATGATAGTTTTATTATCCTGAAGAAACTAATTTAATGAAAAAGAATAGAAAATATCAAACCTGTTGTGGTCTCCTAGCTACTGCTCAGATTCCATACTTTAATATTTTAACAGACAACATCAGTGTCACTGTTGGAATTTATTGTTTACAGATCTTGCATATTATATATCAATTATATATACCGGGTATATGAGTTATCTCACTTACTGCATTTTATTTCCATCTAAAGGGAAATGACAGAGTTGTCACCCTGCATGCTCACTTGCACTATTTCATTGTCATCTGAAGGGAGACAACACAGTTGTCACCTGGCATGTGAGGGAGACATCAGGAATTGTCTCCCTGCATGTGACATGCTCTAAACCAGTCAGGTTGTCCATAATTTTGAAGGATAATAATAAGAAGTTCAACATACATGTAATATCACTCTCCATAATTCAGACAGATCTGTCTAAAGAAAAATAAGCAGTTATAATGTTACTCTCGATGATTCAGATATATCCAAACGACAGATTTATATGTAACATTCTAACATACAGGAATATATGAGAAGTCATCATACAAAATGTACGTATTTGTTTATTGCACAAAAGTTTTCAAGTAATAAATGTTGCAAAATATAATATATATATGGTAATAATTCTAGAAGAAACTGTCTTTCACAGAAAATCAAATTACAGAGAAGGTCTTGGTATAAAAACATTTTCATCTAAAGCTTGAAACATTCAACTTTTTCTGTAGAAATAAAACTTTGTTTTCAATTTCTAAAAATCATACATTCATAGTTATATTATTGCACACAGTCCCTTTTCTAAAAGAATATGCCCAAAAAGTTTGTCTGTTTTATCTGATTTGGTTCAATTACAAATTTGAGATTCTTTGATATAAAGAAACAGCCACTTCTTTATCAAATAAAGCTTTAGAGAATCCAGGCACTTGTTGCTGCTGATTTTTTTCACTGCTGTAAGTTCCCAGTCTTTTGTGACTTCATCTACAGTGCAAGACACCTAGTTTATATATCATCTTTTTCTAAAAACAACACTCTGGCTTAGTTTGTACAGTAGCTGTTCAATCGTAATACTAGTATCACTGTGGCTTAGTTTTTACAGTAGCTGTTCAATCGTAATGTCACTGTGGCTTAGTTTGTACAAGTAGCTGATCAATTACAATATTTGGCACTCATTGATTTCTTTGATTTTTAAGTAGTTAGTACATACACATTCTGTTTGTAAATCAACAAACTTTCACTTCACACTCTCTGATATGCATTTCATTTTCTTCAAGAAATGGATTGCGCATAATAAAGTTCATAAAGGTAATGTATTCTTATGGATACAGTAATTAGCACTATAAATGTTGTGTATCAGTTGATTTCATGAAGAGAGCTGTTGAGAGCTCTGATTTAAAGTCCTTTTTCACCACACAATAATTATGGCAACCAGTTGCAATGAAAATATTGTGCATCAAGCTCTTGCACCTGTAAAGAATATTAGATGCTGTGCTGCTAGCATTATATCAACAGTAGCAAATTATTTGGCCTTGAGTGTTGCCTTCTTGATTAATGCTCCAGCTGTGACAAACATCAGGTCTATTTACAGACTTCTAAGAGTCCTAATTATCACAAACAGGCTGTACTCTGTGGTATTAATTATTTCTATAGGCAGGCATCCTGTGTACAACAGTCTAGTGCTTTGTACTCTATGATATCAGTCCTTTGTACATGACCCCTTTACAATACGATATCAGACTTTGTATATGACCCTTTTACTCTATATCAGTCCTTTGTACATGACCCCTTTACATTACATTATCAGTCTTTGTATATGACCCCTTCACTCTATGATATCAGTGCTTTGTATATGACCCCTTTACTCTTTGATATCAGTCCTTTGCACATGACCCCTTTATGATACGATGTCAGTCTTTGTATATGACCCCTTTGTAGGGATACTTTGTATATGACCCCTTTGTAGGGATACTTTGTATATGACCCCTTTACTCTATATCAGTCCTTTGTACATGACCCCTTGGTATGGGTACTTTGTGTATGAACACTTTACGGTATCAGTCCTTTAGATTTGTACACAGAGTGGTACTGTGGCTTTAAACACCATGGTGTGGCCTTTAAATCACAATTCAACACAACACTGATAATTCTGGCAGGTGCCCCCTCCACTGTGATGTCTACTCGGCTCTTTACAGTATAACGGACATTACTGGCTCCTGTCTCTCTGTCAAGACGACTTGTTTTCTAAAAATAGAGAATAAATTTATTCAACACAATGAACATTATTAAGTGTAATAAAAAGTCTCACACAGATTAATCAGATGCATGATTAAACAGAAATGTTGTGGCCTAAAAAGGTCAACATCATTTTGGTTGAAGCACTCTTGACTTCAAATGAAATACATGTATAAACATGTCATATATCATAACACTATGTTATAAGATTAAAAATTTCAAAAAATGTCTTTTGACAATATACCTTTCATTCAAATTCAATCAAGCCAGAATTTAGGCCAGAATTTACCATGACCTTTATTTGTTCAAGACAAAATAAATCTGACATCCTGACTTTTGTGTAAAGAAATGTTCCTGCAGATATTAAAGCAGATTCCACAGAATAAAAACGTACTATCAAATACTACTTTGAATAATTCATATACTGGTACATACAATGTACATTAATAACAGGCCCCCTGAGTTATATGTAAAACTCTATTTCCCTATTGTGATCCCACCATAATCAATGAAAATCCTTGAAACTGCACTACACTAGCATATTTTCAGATATACCTGACCATCAGTAGCCCAGATTTTTGTAGAATTTTTTTTGATATATTACTGCCTAAAACTTTAAACCAAAACTATACTAAATATCCTACTACATTAGAACTCGCTTAAAGCAAAGTGCCAGGGACCAACAATTTTGACTTCTTATAAATGTAATTCATTATATCTGTTCAGAAACCATGGGTAATGAAAATCACTTTACCTTAAGCGTGAATTCATTAATATTTATGAGAGTGTTCGTTATAACTGTGTTTTACTATATCTCTAAGGAAAAATACATGTACCGGTAGTTAGGCTAAAATGTGATTTTAAGACTTTAATCAGACTGCTGGCTAAACGTTTTTCTAAAATTAAACTATAAAATAGCAGACCTGTGTTTGTCCAAAATATCTGTAGTTATCTCGTGGGCGTTTCCTTCGGTTGTGGATGTGTCGGAATGTCTGGTTACCTGTGGTGATCCCCTCTGGTCTCTCAATCTGTCAATTAATTATCTTTGTTATATTTTCAAAAGTAAACATGTTATTCAAAAGTAAACCATTACTTGATGGATCAAAATTTCAGACTTTAATTATTTTTAGAAGTCCTATGATTTAAATTCCTGGTAAGTTTCCTCCATCTCTGATTAGATTATACAGAAATGATTGATTACGATTGGTTATCAAGTCATGCAAAAAAGATGCATAACTTTAAGCATGGTCACCATCCATTTCTACACCTGATCATACACATGTAGTAATAAAAGGTTTTATAAAATAGTTCGGGTTTGGGATGTATATATTTGTATACGTCACGATCAGCTGATCACTGAACTACCATATCAAACCAGTTGTGAATTTACTCTGGATGTATACAGAATGTTGACACCTGTCCCATCCGGAGTCCACAGCTCAGGTGGGTTGTAAGCTACGTTACCCCTCACCATTTTCACAAGTTATACTAACTAAATATTGTACTCCCTTATACTAACGCACTTCACAATACACCTAAGTTGATGAAAATGTAATGTCATACTTATGAGCACTTTTGACACATTTGAAACAAATTTTACAGGAAAACACACTTTAGAGCCCTCTATACACTGCACACTAAATTTTGACTTAGTGGTATTTTTATGCAGATAGAGTAATCTGCCCTTTGATCAAAAATAAAATAATTGAAATGTACAGTTTATTACTAAATTTGTGATCAAATTAAGCATTCATAACATTTTAATCGGCCAAGATGAATAGATTGAAAACTCCATTTGCAGGTATTTTGCTCACTTAATTAAGTAAACAACAGTGCTTTCTGTTCATCGGTACTTCATTGTCTTTGAACATTTTTCCTGGGGGTAAATGCGAAGTACCCTATGTGGAAAATGTAATAGATAAGCTCTATATTTACACCTTTACACACTATAACAAAGTGCCAGGGGTGAAAATTTTTATTCATTATACATGTTATATACATAACTCGCTATATTCCTTAAGTTCACAATTTGTTTTAAAAAGCATGGGGAATGAAAATAACTAGTTACTGAGTATAGTCATTCTAGTTACTTAATGTCATTTAGCTACTGAGTATAGTCATCCAGTTACTGGGATATTAGTCATCTACTGACTGTTTACAGTCATCTATTTACCAGGAATAGTCACCTATAGTCATCTATTTACCAGGAATAGTCACCTATAGTCATCAATTTACCAGGAATAGTCACCTACAGTCATCTATTTACCAGGAATAGTCACCTATAGTCATCTATTTACCAGGAATAGTCACCTATAGTCATCTATTTACCAGGAATAGTCATAAAAATAAACCTTACCTCTAGTGCCTGATGGTGCATTCTGACGTAGAATTCATCATCTTCCCTTCCCCAACCCCAGAAACGATTAGACATGCCATTCGTCTGAAACATTTAACAAAATAAATACTAAAACTTGAAACTTTTTTCAAAGATGTACATGTAAAAGACATTTATAAAACATCTAAGGATCCATGTGTATTACATTTCTATCAGTATAACTTTATTTTCATGTTTGTTTCTGCAGGAGGAAGTCATATACAGTGTGACATCAACTAGACAATTCTAATATTTAAGCTCTACTGTACACAAAAATAACATTATTTGATAGGACATTACAATAATCATTACTTTGAAAATGTAATGACAGATTGGTAACTAGTATTGTCATACAATGTTAAATTTTTGTGCTATTCACAACAGGGTTCTCACTATGATTTTGCTAACTTGAGTCCCAGGACTCAAGATTTCTGACAAGGTTGTGTCCCAGCTAAATTTGATGCGTCCCAGAAAAATTATGTTGAGTCCCAACTGAATTATTGCAGTATCCTTCCATCCAAACATCGAAAAAAATCTTTCATTATTTTAACAGTTTGTTTACGAAATATTAACATATTCAAATATGTAAACTGGTGATGCATCCAAGCCATATTCTAAAATACACGCGTAATCAACTGCCATAAAAATAAACTTGGTGTTTAGAAAGCTAAATTTAACTGTGTCACAAGATTAAATTTTTTTCTTGAAGCTTTAAAAGGCTCTTACACTGACGAAGGCATCCCTTGTGAGAAGCAGAATCCCTCCCACAAACTTTGGGTAGTGATACAGGGGGTGGAGCTCTGGGGAGGCGACATGATAGACTCCTGTCCGGGGGTATGGGTAGGTTATGGCTGGATTCACGGGTACCAGATCAACGTCATGCATGGCAATGTAATCACAGTCCTTCTGACTTTCCAGAAAACCAACATTAATGAGGGATGCCCTGTTAAACCTGCAATTATAATCATAATCCTCATAAGATTAGTGTCTCAGAGATAAAAAGTGCTCTTTTTTGTGCGCAATAAATACACACTTTTTTCAATAGGTGGCGCTGTAGCTCTCTGGTAGTCCATCCCAATTTTTTTTCAGACCAGCAAGCCACAGATCTGCATCTATAACTAATAAACTATTGCTACATAATATTTTAAAAGTATGATGCAATTAAGGAATGTTTTTAAGTTTTGTGTGAGTTATTGGTGTGTAAATCACAGAGACTTGTCACGTTGGCATATTTCATGAAGCGCCCTAACCAATAATCCACACTAAACTTAAAAACATTACTTATATTTTCATTTTACAAGTTTAAAAGCACCAGTAATATACTCAATATTTAAATTTCTTGCTGCCCTATATCATTACATTTTTATTATTTACGTCTCTGTAGCCTCATTTTGACGTCACTTTAGCACGAGTTCACCGTGTATATTTCTGCGCGTGAGTATACACAAAAATGACTTTCATATCAATTTCACAGTTAATTTAGTAGAAAAGCAGAGCAAATGTAAATATTAGATTTTAAAACAAAGTATATACCTATAGTCATCCACCTGATTAATCACAAAAATCTGATGGGCGGTTCCTTGTTTATTGAGAAAGTTGTGAATGTATGGCACAAACTCCAATAACTCTTCAAATCTGTCTCTGAAAGGAACCAAGATAGCCATCTTATGGTCATCTACAGTAGCTACTGTCCTTGGCTCTTCGTTTTCATGTTTTCCCTTATTATCAAATGGTTGCTCTGTGTCTCTCTGTAGTTTAATCATGAGGAAGATCATAAATAAAAAACACACAATCAAACCCACCAGAAATATGTTGGCTCTCTTCCTGAGTACCAAGCAACGGCTCCATGCTGGCATCGGTATGGATGATTCAAGTAGATAAATCTTTACAAACGAAAGATTATTTTTGTTTAGATATCGTTTATAAAAGACAACTTGAGCACCTATCCATCTGACTGGAGAAAAAAGTTCTGGCGACACTGATGATTTGTATTCACCCTAAAGCTAGTGAAAAAGTGATTTTTCTGAATTTCTCCAAGCAAACATAAGTGATTCTCAGAAGGATTCCATGCATCTAATGTGATTTTACCATACTTAAGTCTGTTGATGCTTGCGTTTTTTTTTCTTCGGATTCAGGATAAAAACAATACCGGATAAATAACTTTGCTTGCTAAAATTCGAACGGAACCGACTTTTTACGGAAAGGCAATTAATGCAAAAAAGTTGTATTTTAAATAATGTTTCTTACTTTAGGAAGAAAAAAATAATTGTATGAGGTATCCAATTACTGTACTGATATTATGAGGCCTGATGATTTTTTTGGGAAAAAAATTATTAAACGGCTTTCTTGCGGACTTTGACCCCCCCGTTCACGCAAAAAGTAAACACGACCTACATATTTTATCCAATGAGTAGACACGTGCCACGTGAACTGTGCCTTTCGGATACCTTCTGCGACATGACTTTATGTATATTCAATGAAGAAGCTAGAGAACACCGAACAATAGAAAACGTGATTAAATAATATTAGCATAAATGTGACAACAAGGCCATATGCTCACCTACTGAAGGCGAACTGTGTAATTTCTGTTGTTCTTTGCAATCCAAACAAAGACGATTACCGTGGATTAACGTGCTTGGTAAGTATTAGGGATTATAGGGATTAGATAATGCCATTTATATAATATTGGTAAGGACTGCATGTGCAGAATTTCACTAAGATCTAGATAGCCTAGTTCACAAAAGCTAACAAGTGCATTGTGTTGAGATGCTCAAGCAAGCCGGCGATATGGTTAACTTTCTTATATATTTTTTTATATTAAGTAAATTGAAATGATTTGCAAAAGCACTGTCCTCCAGAAGAATATTATAGACTTTTACAATACGCACAATTAATACACACAAGTGAATCTGACTGGGATTAATAATTTAATTTACTACTCATTCACAAAATTCGCATCATAATAAATAAAAATTTGAAAGAAGAAAAAAATGAAAAACATTAAAAGGAATATTTAAAAGGAAAACTTTACATTTTATTTAATTTCTGAGCGCTAACAAAGTTTGCATCATATTAATAGATAACTTTAATTATAACAGTGATAAAGAAAAGTAAAAACTAAAATTAAAGTCATATATGGCGTATTTATGATAAGTTCAGACTAACTAAAATTAAAAGGATCTTTCTATTTGTTTTATTACTTTATATAAATTTGGACTTTCCAGTAAATTACACAAATTAAATCAATCAAGTTTCATAGATATAAGAAACTTAAAACAACAACCGATTCATTTAACGACTCCGCATTAAATATCAGACACAGTTTTAAGTCAATTTAGCTATAGAAACGTGGGGTTATTCATGTTCAAAATCGGTGAAAATTTTAATTTGAACGTAAATAACAAATGTCGTGTTCATCTACACTCAATCTCGTATTTTTATTTTTTAGCTCAGATACGCCATATATAGCTTTAAGTATCAAAAAGGGGGGGGGGGGGGGAACGTGCATTTTACTATTTGATTCATTGGATAATGTTATAAACTAAGTTGACTGTGGCATGTCAAACGTTGCAATATTTGATCTTTTCCATTTATATTGTATAATTTTCCATTTATATTCTATAATTCTCCATTTATATTCTATAATTTTTCATTTGTATTGTATAATGTTTATTTGTATTCTTTAATTTTCCATTTGTATTCTATAATTTTTCATTTGTATTGTAAAATTTTTATTTGTATTGTATATTTTTTCATTTGTATTGTATATTTTTTCATTTGTATTGTATAATTTTTATTTGTATTCTATAATTTTCCATTTGTATTCTATAATTTGCCATTTGTATTGTATAATTTTCCATTTGTATTCTATAAATTTCCATTTGTATTCTATAATTTTACAATACAAATGAGAAATTATACAATACAAATGGAAAATTATACAATACAAATGGAAAATTATACAATACAATTAAAAATTATACAATACAAAGGAAAAATTAAAGAATACAAATTGAAAATTATGCAATACAAATAAAGATTATACAATGCAAATAAAAAATTATACAATACAAATAAAAAATTATACAATACAAATGAAGAATTATTGAATACAAATGAAAAATATAGAATACAAATAAAAATTTTACAATGCAAATGAAAAATTATAGAATACAAATGAAAAATTATAGAATACAAATGGAAACTTTTACAATACAAATGGAAAATTATACAATACAAATAGAAAATTATACAATACAAATGGAAAAGATCGAATATTGCAACATTTGACATGCCATAGTTGACCAGCTGACCAGGATAATTTTAGTCGGGCATGCATGTACATGAACAACGCATTCTAACTTCGTTCAGCCAAAAAAAAAAAAAACAAAAACAAAACAAAAAACAAAAAAAAAAAACAAAAACAAAAAAAAAAAAAAAAAAACAAAAACAAAAATAATTAACACAAAACAAAACAATACAAAAACAAAAAAAAAAACAAAAAACAAAAAAAAAGCAAACAAACAAACAAAAAAAAAAAAAAATTGTTAATTTTTTAAGCCAGCGGGCCCCCTCTCATCCCCCTTCCAGTCGCAAAAAGGGGAAAAATTACGAATTGTAAAAATTGCATGTACAGTTATCAAAAATATAAAGATTTTGAACATGATATGGATACTGGGCTTGCTTTTCTGCTATTTTTTTTCTTTAAACACTTCATATACAGCTGTACTTCTCCGCGCCCGAATACTTGGTACATTGCTTTTTTCACAAATCGGTTTACATAGGATTATCTGTAATAAAGTACCCACCTATAATGTATTTCATTCGTCTTTTCCGCAATTTAAAAAAAAAAAACAAAAACAAAAAAAAAAAAACTCTGTTACGCGTCTTTTCCATTCTGAACATCCTGATATATTTACGTATATTTAGATGTTGACAGCCACTTTTTCTTTCTTTTTTTTTTTTTTTTTTTTACTTTAGCACGTTTCAGAATTATTCTAAGAATGAATTTGACCGGTAGACAAATTAGCACATAATTTGATTTAAATCTTCAGCTTGCACTTTAACATTTTAGGATTAAATCATTCTATCTGCAGATCATAGTCTGTAACGGTATTTTACATTCCAAAGACATATCCTGGCTAAAATCTTACTTCCACTTCCCCAGGGTAAGCAGGAGGCAAAACTTATATTACCTGCATTTTTCTCTTAGAGAGGCAGTATGTTTTATTGCGGAATTGCTTCAGGATTTTTTTTTTGTTCGCGGAAAAGTGGAAAAGCGAAGAGTTCAAAATATAAATATTATAACTGAACGATTTCTTAGAAAGTCGCTGCGGGGCGTGTGTATCATGTAAATATTAATCCATATTTATCCAGCAAAGTATTAATCACCATCAGGCATAACCATTACTTGTTATATATATATAAACAATGAGCATTTCTTAGAAGAAAAGACAAAGACGGTCGTTTCCTGGTACGCTGTACCTGCACACGGTGAAGGCGATACATTTTACGTGCATAATATCATTAATTTGCTATTTCCAAGAAAAGTCCCCTTGTCTTTAGATTTCGAAACTTCTGTCATAAAGTGAATTACAATGTATACGTAATATTTGACAACCTTTCGTCTTTGTCCTTTTGAATGCTGAAAACCAAGTGGGTTTTAATAATGATGTATTGTGGTGTAACGCATACTTATGAATTCATTGCTTTTTCACACTGAAGAACTGTTGTATCGTTTTTATTTTTGATGTAATAGGAACAGCTGGCTGAAAAATCTTAATCAAAATGGTGAAAGACATTTGCAAAGAATGCAGGAATGGTGTTCACGCGTGGTAAGTTTATAACCTTTTAAAATAATCATATTTATAATTCATTTTTATGGTTTGAACATATTTTATTGTCTACAAACTTTACAAATGGGATTGGGCAAAAGTTCTTAAAACTTAATATGCCCTCTCCCTACATATGAATTATACCAATCATATTTACAATGTATATGGGTTTCAGCTTAAAATGAATAAAACACAGAAAAGCATAATAATTAGAGGAACATTATACAATACACAACATGTATAGAATTTGCAAGAAGTAATTATTGCATCAACCAAAACGACCTGACCATTTTATATATCAGTAATTAAAAATTGTCAAAGAAACATTTGATTTAAGTATCGTTTAACCTTGGACGAATCTGTGATGTCAGAAATGTTATAAATCTTAATTTTTATGATTTTCTTTTTTTTGACTTTTCGTCAAAAATTTGTATAAACTATGCCAATTTACCAGCATCTCAAGAATCCTCTAAATATAAGCGAGTAAAATGTAACGAAGCTGTTCTGATACGTATATTTTATGCGTCAATGTTTTTTCAGTGGCAGTGAACCAAAACAGAACGAACAGTACCGACCACCGCCCCCGTGTCACCATGGTCACAACAGAGAAGACACAGTGGCCGCCCCTAACACCGACAAAAAAGTCAACACATGGGGCTCATTCAAAAACAAAGACAATTTTTTGGAGCTCCATTTTCGCTGAAGGATTTTGAATATTGAATGAACTTTTTACTTATGGAAATGTAACGGAAGATTTTTTTTAAAAGAGAAGCATCAGAGTAGATGTATATGTATATATTTAGAGTAAAATTACGGGTTTATTTGTTTAAATTGCAATGCAAATATAAATATTTAGTACACTTTTTTTGTACAATGTGTTTGTGTGTGTGTTTGTGTGTGTGTGTGTGTGTGTGTGTGTGTGTGCTCGGGCGTAAATTTTTATAGTAGAGTTTTAAGTGGGTTTTGAAATGCTTGATCTGATTTAAGAATATCCAAAGTGTTCATTTTATATTAACAAGTATTTGCTGAAACAATGTACGGTATAATCTATTTGCATAAAAAATTTAATTTACATTTTGTTTTATTTGAAATTTTGTTTCGTGTTATGCGATGAGTTAGTGTCGGATTTTCCCTTACTTTTATCTCGGAATCTTACTACAAAATACACACACAAAAATATTTTTTCATCATTATGCAAGATATATTTTCTGACATTTGTAAATTATCTTGATGATTGATATAAAACCATTTTAGGCTATAATTTTAATGTGACTTACATGTTTCATGTATTTATATAATAGCTACTAAGATAAATTAATTTTTTTTCACGCTTTTCAAAACCAAAGCATGTGCGGATCCCCCTTGAATTTGCACCATCACCACCACGAAATAGGTGTTTGTCACCTTTGGGAAATGGATGCTTTTTTTTTTTTGCTTGTCAAGAAATTATTTTCTTGGTTTAATACGTTTGGGTTTTAGTTTTTTTTCTTTGGTTGGAATTTTTTTTTTTTACTGGGGTGGAACCCCCTGGAAAAAAAAAATCCTGGATCCGCACCTGCAATGTACTAATTTAGATATTTGTGATTTCATAATTTTAACAGGAATTAAAAGTTTCATCCTCTTTACACTTATTCTTGTTGTACGTTGCTAACGCTGTTAGAGAAATCGTACCAGTTCACGGTTTGTTAAATCGTTCTAGGCCTCCTGTCGGTCCATTAAGGAATTTTTTGACAAATGTTAAGTAGAATCAGTAATTAAACACCGCCACACCCCAGTCAATCTCGCCCCGTTTATTCTCGCTTTATGGCGTTACACAGGAGGATACACTGTACAACGATCACGTCAAAATTTTCAATAATGTTGATTGAAATGAATTCTTTCTTTGAATTTAGCAACACTCCGACAGGAGGTTTTAAAAAATTGGACGCCACAATGATACATTAACTGACAAGAGAGCAGCTATTGAAATTTACCCGGAAAGTCCAAGGTGTAGATGTAACAATCCAATACTTCTCGATGTTTACCGATATTAATTAACATTTCAGACAAAAATAAGAGAGTTGAAATGGAAACTTGCCTCATCTCACAATTCCATGATACTTTTAATATTGACCCGGCCTTCTAGGCCCTTAGAAGGATGCTAATTGTTTGTTGGAAGGGGTTGAGCAATATTCAAACGGGAAGAACTGAAGAACACTTACCGGTGTTGTAGAGTAGGATTTCCCCAACAGCCAGCCCCTCCCCCCGGGAATCAGTACTCTAGAGTAGGATTTTCCCCGAGGGAAAAATCTCACTCTAGAGCCAAACTTCTCCCTCCTTCTCTCTCAGAGTAGGATTTCCCCTCTTTTATCAATGTTTACATCATATCGACAATATTTGGATACAAGTTTACATGAAAGTCAACTGTTTTTGTAATGGAAATATTAGTGTTTTAGACTCAAAAATCGTCGAATTTATAGTATGAAATCTTAGAATATGAAATTTTAGAATGTATAGTTCATATTATCCAGTCTCAACCCAAAATTTTAACTCGTAGGAAACTGTAAAATTAGTTACTTTTAGACTCGATATCTCAACACCCTACCGCGCAGCGGTACCTGTTTCTTCACGAAATTTAATATGTACATGTATATCAGGTCACCTTTAGTGATTTGATAATTTATTTGCCCTCTAAAGTCCACGTGTTTCATCTGTGGATCAATCTTTTTTTTTTTGAAAGATCGTGTGAGAAGATTTTAACTTTATTTTATTGATAGGTTCCACATGCCATTTTGTGTGTATTTGAATCGAGTAGTTCTGCAAAGGGATTTAAAAAAAAAACAACCCAAACCAAAAACAAAACAAGAAACTCTGTCTTTGCAAGCTGAGGCATATGTCTCTTCGACCCCAGTGTAATATTGGAATTGAAAGCAGAGAGCAAATACTTTCTTGAAGTTTTGCAAAAAAATTTTTTTTGTTGAAATAAATGATCAATTTTTAGCTCCACGTCAACTGCAGTTATTTTGGATATTTAAAAACCAGAATCTATGAAAGACACACATTGATCAGTATTATATGTACATGTAGTTTGAAATACAATTGGAGAAAAAAAAATCCATTTAAAATAAAATTCCTTTTTGCTCCCATATTGGATACATTTAAAAATTTGTCCAACCAATTAAATTGTACTAATATTATTTTTTTTTTTAGAAACCAGTTCGACCTGATCAAAAGAATAAGATTTTAATGCTTAAAAAGAATTGGTTGGACGATTACTGGAAAAATGAGATTAAAAATTTTCAATTTTCATACTTTGTATGTTTCAATGGAACTGGTCGCCACTTTGAAGAGGGGACTCTTTAACAAAATGTCGCCGCCTCTCTCATACATAAGTATAGCCAAAATATTTTATTGGGGGGGGGGGGGGGGTGGCCCTGGGGGAAATAGCACTGTATAACTATTACACAGAGTAGGATTTTTCCCCGGAAAATAAAACTTGATAAAACTAGAATCAGCCCTGTTAGAAGTAGATATAAAATCAGCCCTGTTAGAAGTAGATATAGAATCAGCCCTGTTGGAAGTAGATATAGAATCAGCCCTGTTAGAAATAGATACAGAATCAGCCCTGTTAGAAATAGATATAAAATCAGCCCTTTGGAAGTAAATATAGAATCAGCTCTGTTAGAAGTAGATATAAAATCAGCCCTGTTAGAAGTAGATATAGAATCAACCCTTTGGAAGTAAATATAGAATCAGCTCTGTTAGAAGTAGATATGGAATCAGCCCTGTTAGAAGTAGATATAGAATCAGCCCTGTTAGAAATATAATCAGCCCTATTAGAAGTAGATATAGAATCAGCCCTGCTGTAGTAGATATAGAACCAACCCTGTTAGAAGTAGATATAGAATCAGCCCTGTTGGGAGTAGATATAGAATCAGCCCTGTTAGAAGTAGATATGGAATCAGCCCTGTTAGAAGTAGATATAGAATCAGCCCTGTTAGAAGTAGATATAGAATCAGCCCTGTTAGAAGTAGATATAAAATCAGCCCTGTTGGAAGTAGATATAGAATCAGCCCTTTGGAAGTAAATATAGAATCAGCTCTGTTAGAAGTAGATATAGAATCAGCTCTGTTAAAAGTAGATATAGAATCAGCCCTTTGGAAGTAAATATAGAATCAGCTCTGTTAGAAGTAGATATAGAATCAGCCCTGTTAGAAGTAGATATAGAATCAGCCCTGTTGTAGTAGATATAGAATCAGCCCTGTTTGAAGTAGATATAGAATCAGCCCTGTTGGAAGTAGATATAGAATCAGCCCTGTTGGAAGTAGATATAGAATCAGCCCTGTTGGAAGTAGATATAGAATCAGCCCTGTTGGAAGTAGATATAGAATCAGCCCTGTTAGAAGTAGATATAGAATCAGCCCTGTTAGAAGTAGATATAGAATCAGCCCTGTTGGAAGTAGATATAGAATCAGCCCTGTTAGAAGTAGATATAGAATCAGCCCTGTTAGAAGTAGATATGGAATCAGCCCTGTTAGAAGTAGATATAGAATCAGCTCTGTTGTAGTAGATATAGAATCAGCCCTTTGGAAGTAAATATAGAATCAGCTCTGTTAGAAGTAGATATAGAATCAGCTCTGTTAGAAGTAGATATTGTCACGACAGCCGTCGTGTTCTGTTCAGTCAGACACAACAAGATTTTTTTTTTCTATTTACATTTTTTTATATATCAATAAAATCAGTATTAACAATATTTACACCATATTTATATAGTTATAATTTACAATATGTATATCTTAAAAGTCTCTTTCAATCCACGTCATCCTGGTGTTCGCTCACAACCACGTCCAGACACGCCCCGTTTCACGACGGACTCCCGCCAACTGGCTCCCAGTGGGTCTCCGGTCTGTTGAACGTCATTGCCAACACACACATGACTAGATATTATCAGGATTATATCAGGAACCTTTAAATTAAATAACATTTTTAAGTCACACGTTACGTATACCTAAAAAAAAAAAACTAGTCACCATTGACTATCATTGCACAAATGGCACACCGTACAAACAGTAAATCTATCCAAACACTGTTATATATGTAGACAGCGTTAAGAATACACAATTTCTTAACATAAGTGATTTTAACAACTAAACCCACGACACCGACTGTATAAGCGGCAAAACAAAATACATTGCGTGCGTACATAACTTAGTACCTGCACAAAACCAGAACATTACACGCATGAGTAACTCTACTCAGCAAAACTTGTATACGTAAACAGTAACAAAAACATTACTTAACCCATTTTCTTACAAAGTTAACAAATCTTAATGCAATATCAAAAACTAAATAATAAGAAAATTTAACTTACCCCTCATGGAGAAATGGTTACCGTTGTAAAAACTACCTATCTACACATCTTGGATTGTACGTCAAGCATGTAAAAAGTATGAAAACGTGGACCCCGGCTACCTGGTCAGCAATGCAGCGATTTAAATACTCCAAATACAATAGGCCGTAACTGACCAATGCCTGCAATTTCTAAATTTGAGGTTCATTACAGGTAACAGAATAAAGAGGTCCCGTAAAGGAAAAATAAGTAAAAATCATAAACATAAATAAAACAATAATCGGGATTAAATTTTGATTGTGACATATCTCCCAAGCAAAAGAAAGTTCAATGAACTTTTGAAAAAAAAAACACAATCAATATGGCATAAAATCATCTATACATTATATACAACATAACTACATTCTGCTAAGACAATCAGCTCCTACGTTTTCTGATCCCTTGATAGAAATAATGCGAAACCTGTATGGTTGCAGTAATAATGCTCATCGCATTAGTCGTGCATTTGCTACTTTGGCTTTAGTAAGATAAACCAGTGGTTGATGGTCTGTTTCTAGTAGAAATTCCTTTCCATACAAATATCTACGAAATTTTTGAACTGCCCATATTATTGCATAGCATTCCTTTTCAATTGTTGAGTAATTTACCTGACACTTGGACAGTTTCTTGCTGGCGTATGCGACAGGTTTTTTCATACCATTCTCGTACTGGATCAAAACTGCCCCAACACCTCGATCTGACGCATCTGTCTGTAAAACAAAAGTTTCATTCAAATCAGGTAATTTAAGTACAGGTGTTACCGTTAAAGCAGTCTTGAGAGTGATGAACGCATTCTCTTGGGGTGGTCCCCATGTCACTTTGTTTGGCTGGCCTTTTTTGGTAAGATCTGTCAAAGGTGAAGCAACAGCTGAAAAATTCGGAATGAATTTGCGATAGAATCCTACCAGACCTAAAAATGAGCGTACTTGCTTTTTTGTTGAAGGCTGGGAAAAGTTGTGAATAGCGGAAACTTTGTCGGGAAGAGGTCTAAGTTCTTCGTTGCCCGCAATATGTCCAAGGCACTCAAGGCTTCGGTAACCAATGAAACACTTGCTTGGTTTTACAGTCAAATTCGCTGCACGAAGTCTTTGTAGAAAATTCTGAATCACATTGATGTGTTCCTGGAAAGTACGAGTATATACAATCACATCATCAATAAAGTTATCCACACACTGCATTCCATCCGCATCAGCCGACTGAAACTTGCGGAAGCGTTTATCAAGCCAAAGGGCATCACCCTGAACTGAAACAAACCAA